GGGGGAGGGCAAGGGAAAGGAGAAGGGGAAGGGGAAGGGGAGGAAGAAGGGATGAGTAGTGAGTACTGAATACAGTGTGATACTGATGATGGTGATGGGATGATGGGTTTGGAGGTCAGGAATTTATCGGTTCAATGAACAGCCGCTTTGCTTTGAAGGAGCTTTTTAAATGAAAGTCTTCATTGTGAGTGATGGGTGGATGGTACGGGTTCCTAGGAAGGAAAGGCCTGGGAGACTCGAGCGGGCAACCAACCCACCACCAATTGATGATTGCTGAGAACCAATGTGCACTACAGGCTGGAATCCCGGCGCTAGGTGTCACAGTCGATGAGGTACGTTAATCATGCAAAGTTCTTTCATAATGGGCATGGAATAGAAGAGTGACAGTAACGGTGATAGCAACTTGTTTGATATGCGTCCATGTGAGCCCATAATGTACACCGAGAAAGCACCATATTGAATGGAGTCCCAATTTTCATGTTTCCCGTAAATGCAATTTCGAGGGAGATCGCCATCAGCCCTAGCTAAGCTTGATCAACTATGCTATCTGCATCACCCAGCGCCGCCTCTTGCAAGCGAGTTGTCAGAATCCACCCGCTAAACCCTAGTAATTGGTCGCAGCGTTGCTCTGACCCTGATAATAGTTGGTCGATGCTGCGTGTGCCGTCTGTCCATGCGGTTGTCCATAGCCAGGCTGACCATACTTGGGCTCTGGAACACCACCGACCATGGTGGTATCGGTGAAACCTGTCTCGTGGCTTGGTCTGCCGTAACCGGTTGTGCCTGGAGCAGTTGCCAACTCAGCATCTCGTGTAGCACGCTTGTTGCGGTTACGCTTCCAGAATGGCGTCTTGCCGGGGCCAGAGGTGTAGTTGTTGGATGGGGAAGGGCCGTAGCGCTTTTCTTTCTTGTGGTTGCGGATCATCAGGAACTGTAGGATGGCAGACAGGATGAAGAGGAGTCTGCAAATGTTGATCAGTGATGTTGTAAATCTTAGATCTATCGAATTTTTACTCACATAGCAAAGATCGAGACGGCGAAAACTGCAGTGTTGAGTCTGCATGCAGTGCCGAGTCTGGGTGAAGCTCCGGAATCCGAGGGGCCATTGCCCAAGGGCGTGTCGACATTAGCGGAACAGCCTCTCGCTCCTCCTCTGCTGAAATATGCGATGGCGGCAAAACAGCCAATAAAGCAGATGTCAAGGAAGATGGCGAGATAGCCAAGGAATGCCACTCCAGCGAAGCAGAGTGTCAAGAGAACAGCGAATGCGGTGTAGATGATGGCAGCTCCAGACATGCCAGTAACAGCTCGGACATAGGTAGCGACAGGAAGATCGCGTTGGGCGAGGATTGCGAGGAAGTATGCGAAGACACCACAGGCGACGATAGCACAACATAGTTGCAGTGCGCGGATAAGTGTCTGCGAGATGCGCAGCAAGGCGCCCCCGATGGCCATCTTGAAGAATGATCACTAGGACGGAGCGAGGTGCAAGATGAAGACAGTCGATCTCGTCGCGAGCGTAGAGTGTATTTCTGAGATGAATGCCGATGGCTAGCACAGGAAGTGAGGAATCAGTGTAACTTGTAGTTATCCAAAAACCAGAATCAGGTGGTGGAAGTCGGATCCGGTGACGTTGACGTTGATGGTGTGGCTTGTACATCAGCACTTCAACCCTAAATTGTGGGGGCAGCAGTAGTAGCACAACCAAGAAAACTTAGGTGCCATGGCCTGCGCCGTGCCTTGGAATAGCCCAAATCTTGGGGGGTACCAAGGCCTTGGAGCTTGGATGATTCCAATTAAACGTGTCTTGGTTGTGGCTGAGAAAGAGCTCGGGCCGTGCTATGACGCACAGTGAACTTAAGTTACTAGTACTAGTACTAGTTAGTAGTAGAATCTCTGCGTGGACCTTGGCATCAAAACTCGATCGAGATCATTTTCTTCTATTTCCTTGTTTGATCTGCTATTTCCCATCGAACCATCAGAGCTGGCAAGACTTGCATACCGCTATTCGTTCCCGAGCCAGTCATCTTCCTTTTGGTCAATATCCCCCCTCCCAGAGAGCCTTGAGTCCCTGGTGGAGCACTCTATTGTGAGGTAGAGGCTCCAATATCAACCAGTATTTTGACATGATTATCCTTGTCATTGATGAGGGCATTGAAACCCTTCTCTTCAACTTCATCCAACTTGATCTTCCTTGTAATCATCGCTTCAGGAGTCAATTTTCCTATCCTTGTCAGCGGCCATTCCATATTCTATGCAAATCACTTACCTGTGCTGATTGCATCAATGACCAGCTCAAAATCACCTAGTGCATAACATGCAGTCCCAATATATGCCCTTTCTCGGAAGACAAGCTGATTAATGTTCAGTGTTGCTCTCTTCTCCCATACCGCGATGTTGACCAGCGTTCCACGTGCTTTGATTACAAGCATCGCACTGTCAACGCCAACCTGAACACCAGCCGCATCAAATGCGATTTCTACCCCTTCACCGTGGGTCAACTTGGTGACCTCGGCCACAACGTCGTCTTTGGTTGGATCGATCACATGGTGAGCGCCAAATTCTTTGGCATATTGCCTTCGTCGAGGGGATATTTCCGATAAAATGATACTATCACATCCTCGTGCTTTCAGCACTTGGACAACAGCGAGACCTATCGGACCTCCACCAAGGACAAGCACCCGATCGCCTGGCTTATATGGCGAGATAGATAGGGCATGCCATGCCACAGCTAAAGGTTCCACTAAAGCTCCAACTTCCAGGCTAATATTATCCGGCAACTTCTTGACTGAATCTTGAGGCAGCACAATATGCTCGCTCATCCCACCACCCCATCCGCTAAGACCAACGAAACCATTCTTGTCACAGCAGTTGACTAGACCGCGTCTGCAAGAGAGGCATTCACCATCATAGATTGTGGGTTGAACACAGACTCGGTCACCAGCTTTGAAACCCTGCACTTCGTCCCCAACCTCTTCGACTATGCCGGAGAATTCGTGGCCGAGAGCAAGCGGCAGGGTCTCGTTGGTGATAGGATGCGGTGTGTCTTTGGGGATCAGGTTTGCTCCGCCAAGGTACTCATGGAGATCTGTGCCGCAGATGCCGCAAAATGCGGGCTTGATCTATAAAGAATCACTGTTAAGATTGATGGGCTAGTGGCATTAATAACAATTTGCCTCGATATTTTCTAAGCGGCAGCTATGCACAGAACCATGAAAGTTCTACAGACCTTGATCTGTCCTCGTCCACATTCTGGCTCTTCCACCTCTTCTAGCCTGATATCTTTCTGTCCGTGGAACCGTACAGCTTTCATCTTCATGCAAAGGTCGCTACGCAGCCGCAGAGAAAGTTGTGGAGGGAACTCTCTGGCTGATACGAATGTTGGTCCAAAGGAATCGAAATACCGCTTACTTTGTTGAACCAAACGACAGACTTGGTGACCCGGTTGTTGCACTTGCGAACATGTGAGGCAATTGGAAAGCTCTTCCGAACCCTTGACGACCTCGTACTACGTATATTTGCCAGCGAGTGCTCGGTTTGCAAATGTGGTGAGTGCGGGGATGGGACAGAGAGCCCCCTCACCATGAGGGGTACGCATATATCCTACGTAGTATGCACTACTGAACAACAGTGGCCATTCGCGGTTTTGGAGGCCCACATCTCTTCCCAAAAGATGGTCGTCTACTGCATTGTGGTGTTCTGCAAGTGTTAGACCCTGAAGATCAAAGATCCTCAAGGTTTAAGCTGAAGCTACTCATAAACCAAGAATGACATGGAAACATTAGGCTGCCAGGCAAGTCATTCGGCCTTGAGGAACTTGAGGGTGGTCATGGGCGAAAGATGGTTATCCATGATGCTAGCGGTGAGATAAAGTGCCTTCTGAAGCATGAGTCAGCTGAACTGGATGCCACCAATCGAACATCGAGTTAAGAAACCTTCTTCTGGGATGATGTTGGCATAAGGGTGGTAATAAGAGGCTATTCTAACCTAAGAGGACACTTTAGAAGATGTCTAAGAGAGGGTGTCCTTGGAGAACGTTGTAAAAGGCGAGGGGACCCCTAGAAAGATGTCCCAAGAGTGTCTTAGGAGGGTGCTGTAAGAGGATATCTCAAGAAGATGATGCTCCAGAAGCGTGTCCCAAAAGGATATCCTGTGAGAGCCCCTTCAGAAGATTATTACTTATTATATGAAGTTGTTGTGACATTTTACAGTATAGTTAGCTGGCATAGATCTGCTCGTTTTGATATTTGATATTTGACTTTGCTTACTTACCAATATCATCACCCTGACCTTGACTATCCTGAAGTCCAGATTAAATATCAAACATCACTCGGCTACCATTGGCTTCTCAAGTAAGTAATGACCAGCGTACTTGACCTGGCGTCCCGCAGTAAATAAGAAGGCTCTATTGGTCTCCTACCTTCGGGAAACATCTTCCTTCCATACGATAGATGAGTGGATCTGTCGGTACGAATGCTGCATGACCTTAGCCTCTACCTACGCATTGTTCGTATGACTGGGAAATACACGAATGCCTGCTCAAGTACAATAGCAGGAACCTCTGCGTCGTCAAATTCTTCTCTACCTTAAGACTGGACTGCGGCCACAATGTCACTCGAAACGCTGTCTACGATATCTCCTACCACCAACTCTGCTGTTATCACCCGTCAAGCTCTCCCTCCACAGGAGATTGAACGTCTTCCAGCTATCGGTCAGGAAGCATTTGCGTCGTATCGCAAATCCCATCCTACCCTTGGAAGCCGGCAAGAAGTGGTGGCCAAAGCATTAGATCTATTATCACGAAGGAAAGATGTATTGGCTAAGGAATTGACGGAGCAAATGGGCAGGCCAATAGCGTACACAGGGATTGAGATTGATACAACCGTCAAGCGAGGCCAGTACTTGAACAGAATAGCCGGGGAGGTATTGTCAGAGGATGTACCGGGAGATCCGGAAAAAGGGTTCAGGAGGTTCATCAGAAGAGAACCAGTCGGTGTCGTGCTGATTATCTTTGCGTGGAACGTCAGTTGCCCTTGGCTTCTTCTTTCTGTCCATGTCCATGCTGACCACGTCTTTAGTATCCCTATCTTATTCTTATCAACTCCCTTCTTCCCGCCCTTCTTGCTGGCAATACTGTAATTCTCAAACCTTCACCACAAACCCCTACTATCGTTGAACACATGTCAGAAATCTTCACCGAAGCCGGTCTCCCCAAGAACGTACTGCAGTACTTTCATTGCGGTTCTCCATCTCATGTTGAATTGATAGTCCGCTCCCCACAAATCAATCACATCTGCTTCACAGGCTCGGTTGCAGGTGGCCTCGCTGTCCAAAAAGCAGCGGCGGACCGAATCGTCAATGTCGGTCTCGAACTTGGCGGCAAAGACCCGGCATACGTCCGACCAGATGTCGAACCCCATTGGGCGGCCTCAGAAATAATTGATGGCGCAATCTTCAACTCGGGTCAATCCTGTTGCGCCATTGAGCGAGTCTACGTCCATAACGACATCTATGAACCCTTTATTAACGCCTGCAAAGCCACTCTCTCCAAATACAAAGTCGGCGATCCCATGGACAAATCCACCCAAATCGGCCCGGTCATCTCAACTCGTGCAAAAGAAACAATCCGCTCCCAGATCGATGAAGCCCTAAAAGCGGGTGCCAAAGACGAAACCCCCCCAAACTCCTCATTCGAGAACCTACCCCAACAAGGAAACTTCATCAAACCCACCCTCCTCACTCACGTCAACCACTCAATGTCCATCATGCAGGATGAGACTTTTGGCCCCGTCATCCCCATCATGTCCGTCCCCTCCGACACTGCCGCCGTCAAATACATGAATGATTCTCAGTTCGGACTGACCGCGTCGATATGGACCAAAGATGTAGGTGTAGGAGAGGAGTTGGCGGGAAAAGTGGAGGCCGGCACGGTGTTTGTCAATAGATCGGATTTTCCGAGTCCCGATCTGGCGTGGACGGGTTGGAAGGATAGCGGCAAAGGGGTCACGTTGAGTCGGTTTGGCTTTGAGCAGTTTGTCAAGCTTAAGAGCTTTCACTTAAAGGATTATCCAGGGAGGTGACGAAGGGGAAGAGTGCGGCTGCAACAAAGTGGGGGGATGATGGGGACAGGCTTTGGATTTTATGAGGGTATGAAATGATCTCCGGATCGGCTTATTACGCGGCATAAGTCAGGGATAACGGTGCAAAGGAGGTCGTCACCCACAGCTCCTGGTAGCAGCAGACTGAACAGTGGGCGTAAAGGGAGAGGATGTACAATCCATGGATTCTGTTTCAGCAAGGTCCGTTGCCGATTATATCTTACGACACTGATGCACACCGAGCGAGCCAAAAAAGTTGGCCAAATAGAAACAAATCGGCGCCTCAATAGGGCTATCAGCGAAACATATATACTGCCTTTCTGGTAGAGAGGTCGTCGTCTCATCAAAAATAGTGAAGCTATCGCAGCATATCTCATTTTCCCCTTCCCCCATTATTAGAAAACCCCCCACCCCGGTGAACAACACCAAACCCATCGCCAGACCGGACCTCGTCGTTGTTTTCTCCATCTTCTGATAGCATAGCTTAATAATACCTCCCAAAATAAGTAACTGAGAAGTGACAAGCGACACATCTCGCATCGAGGCGAAACTGGGAGCGAAAGCCTGAGCCTGAGCAGATTCGCATAGAAAGAAGGAAGCGAGTGAAGAAAAGATTTTCTGATTTGAGGTTGGAAGTTTTGGGAACCTAATGAAATAAATAAAAATACTTGAATGCATATATACACGACACATAAATCGCCGCTTCGCCTCTCACCCCTGGGGCCTGCCGTGGTAGATATCTCGACCTCAGTGATTCACATCAAATAAATTCTACCTGGATTGTACATATGTACATTCTGTACAATTGTGTCATGGGGTTTATTTCCGGTGCTGATTTGACCACGCCTAGCCCTTCCTCATCAAATTCCTCTCTTCTCCTGTGTTGCAAATCCCGACCCGACGCGGATGAGTTGGGTGAAGAAGGTGAGAAGGATTGCCCATCCCCGCCTGGTCTCCTACTACTTTTCCATCCTATCCGCCCTGACCTCACCGATCTGGAGGGGGGGGGAAGAAGCTAAGACGAGGAAGAATAGGGTTCATAAACTTTTTTTCTCATCTATCCTGAAACCACATCTGGCCAGGTTTTAAAAAATTGGGGCTCGAGCTCCCCTTGCGGCCCTGAAAAATGATGAAATGACGAACCCGTTGAGTGGAGGGGAATGTGATGAGGAGGCGGGGTGATACTGGCCACATTCCAATTCAAGGAGGAGGTGTCAGACGCGAAAGAAAAAAAGGTGACGTGACCCAGGTACGCGGTTCGAGCAAGTCGGGTTTTGAGTTTCGTGTAACTAACAACGCGGATGGAGGAGATTTGTGGTACACAGGGACGGCCTTTGACGATGACGATGATGGTTGTTGATGAAGAAGAAGAGTTGTCGCTGTCCTTCCGGGGCATATACGGGGTGGTCTTGGCATCCCTTGCTCGAGGGCTGGTATGGTGTGAGGGCGGGAAGCTGGTGAAGCACATAAGAAAAAGAGCGTTGCACGCGTAATTTGATCTGCGGAAATTGAGCAACGGACGGCCACGTGGGAAGCTCGGAGACTTGTTTCCCTGATACAGCTGGCTGTGAATGCTGTTTCAAATTCTATAATCTCCGTCGTATCCTGTCCAACTTCCCTTTCTTCAGTTCCAAATTGCAACGCTTCCTAAACGCCCCCCGGGCAACAGAGAGTGTCTCTCCTACTTCTATTCTTCTGCTGTTGTAGCGTTTTCTGCTGTCGGTCTTCTCGTTTGAGCATTTAGCCAAAAAGCAAGCAAGCGTGCATTATTCCAGTCTTCTGATTTGAGTCCCATTTTACCAAAATCTCTTGTAGGAAGACTCGCCACGGTCCATTCGATTGAGTGAGAGCACAACGATCATTTCATATCTCATCCCTCCCGGCATACATCACGCGTTGTCTCGGTCATCGATCAATCGTCATTGCCATCTGCAATTTGAATCATGGATCAGCGTGGACAGCTTCCTATGGCAGCCATCGTAAAGGTCAAAACCACGGCACAACGTGGCAGTCGATGGTTGAAGAGCAGATTCAATGGTGCTCGTGGCTCTCGCACTTCAACTGATACCCACAATCTTTGCATCGTGAGTCTGTTCTCTGTCGTTGCCCGTGGCAATGCGTCTGAACAGGATTCCCAGGGCCCACCCACGAACTTCCGCCGAGAAGAGCTAACTCTAGGGTCGGACGCTGCTGGGTGAGACGACACCATCCCATTCATCCCGGCTATCCAAGCTGTGTTGTTCCCCAATGCTAACGAAAAGGAAAGAAACCAACTCCTTGTCCTGCAAGCCCGAGAAGACGCCCATAATATGCACAAAGGTTCAAAGATGGAAAAAGTGAAGCGGCATGCTAGAAAAATCTCTTCTAGCATTGGCACGATTGGAGAGGCAAATCCTTTCGAAGGTGACGAGTATTAGGTGCCGAACCGAGCTTACGGCAACAGTCCAGCGTCGCTGCTCTTGAAAGGCCTGAAGACACTGCCGAGACACTTGGACAGCTTTAGAACACAGGACAGGACGTTCAACACCTCTGCGTCATACCAGAAAAGTTGGAATGTCATTCATCTGCAATTTTCGGTCGTTCGTCTGCTTCCGCTTGTGGTCCTTTCGTGATGGTGACGCTCTGGGTCTCTTGGTAACACTAGCAGTGTGGTCGAAGTCGTCAAACTCATCGAATAGTTTTCGGGTAGCTATAGAAGGTTCTCGAAAGCGGGGATGAGATGTTGAATCAGCGGCATTCTTTATAGATGGCGGCTTGGTGGTTTTAGTCAAACCCCGTGTTGAGTTTGGGTCTGCCTCGCGACTGATGCTTAGTTCTTCGTTGCGAGAGCTCTCTTGAGGCCTAACTATCGAAGCAGTGGCTTGCACTCTGCGGGAATGGTTCGGGTCCTTCTCGATTCTTTCGCGCTCCTGCTCATTGGTAGCATTCTCCTTGTCCTTCTTCTGCCCTGCGAAGATATCCAAGACACTCACTTTCCCTTCCCGGCTTGGTGGGCTGTCGCCCATCCCCCTTCCAAATCCCTTTGCCGCTCTTGTCGTGCTTTGCATCTTCTCTAAGCCCACCAATGCTGTTCTCTTCTGAACATTTGCATCAGTCATAAGTCCTGCCAGACTCGTTCCCAGCCAAGGGTCGTCGTCTTGCTCCTCATCTTCTTCTGCCGACAAGTTGATGCCGGTTGTGATGTTCCTAACGGCATCCTTCTGCTTTGCGTGTAGAGCTCTAGCCTCAAGTTTCTTCTTGACCTCTGTTCTCATTTGATCCGTTGGCTGAAATGTTGGAGGGGCTGCATCTCTAGCTTTCTTCTTCAGGCGCTGGTACTCGGCGTGGTGAAGATGTTGCGTAAAAGTTTGGGCGACCGAGTGAAATTCGTCTTCCACCATGATGTAGATATCGTCATGGTCGTAACCCTCCATCATGTACCTAGAAAAAATCTTCGGTCAACAAGGGTATCCATACGCCTGCATGTTCTATGCGGCATACTCTTCGTTCGGCGGACCCGGCGGAGGCGACGTCGAGGGTGTTCGAGCTATGATATCTAGTTAGTAACTGTATGCACGTGGCTAGAGGGTGCCCATACAGCTTACTCGTTTCTTGATGGTCTTCAGAGGCGTAGAAGAGCTGGTCTTCATCCTGGCGACTTGTTCGGGGTCAGACGAAGACGCTTCGCGCTTCCTTGACACTGGGCGTGGCCTCTTCTCTTTGGGAACCGGAGTATCCTTCGTTGCCCAAGGGAGTTTGCGCGGCATGTCACCAGAATAAGAAAAGGGATTGAGGATGTAAGCTATGGTCATGGAGGATATTGCCTGATCCCTCTTGCATAGCTAACGCGCTTAAGTCTCATTGCTGCCTGTGAGTTTCCGCTTTGTTAGAAGTTATTCAAAATGCTCGACAGGGTGCAATGCAGATAGATGTTTCGCTATGCTTATATATATCCTCAGACCTGGGTCTGCTCAGCGATAGAGGCACTTTACATTTTATGAGAGGGAAGGCAAACTTTAAATGGTCATGCCCAGGCCAGAGAAATGATGGAATGGCAGTTGGAAATTTTTGATTTGTATTCTAGAATCTCAATTTTGGGTATCACATCGAAGACCTTGTGCTTGAGCCCTGGCCTTATCCAGCTTAACAACGCCCTCGCTATGCAAATTCTAGAGACCCTTGTGAGAGTCGTCTTCCCTTAGCTCAAGCCATCAAACACAGTTTCATCATTCATACCACTCAAGATGCGCCTAGTTTGCAACAGAAGAGGAAGCAGGAACGGCCATGTCCATATTTCATTCATTTCTCATCCGGCTTCTTCGCCGCCATGCTCACAATCTTGACCTTCTCCGAATGCAGAGTCGTACTCCCATCGAGCTTGAAGTTGACATCCTTCAATAGAAATGTCCAGACCTCGTCACAGAATCGGTAGGTATCGAGATGGCCCTGTAACATTGCAGTCATCAGTAATCATGGTCTTCAGGAGTTTCGCAGTCTGCTTCATGCATTGGACGCCTTCAGGTGTAAACATACCTTGAAAGTCAACCTGGCCTTCACCTTGTCCGCCAGCACTTCCTGGACAATCTTGTCAAAGTTGCCTAGAATCTTCATGGCAAGCTGTGGCTCGATGTGACCTTCGTTGATCAGGTCGTCGATAGTATCCATCAAGGAGGCGCCGATACTGATATTCGCACTAGGCATTAGATCATGCCATGGTACGATAGTAGGTACTTCGGGGACCTTGTCTTTTCGCTGTCTCTTTGATGCTCGGGCCATTTTGGAGATTTACAGCACAGTATGAAGACAGAAAGAAGGCGATCGCAGGCTGTTAAGCAGGATTATATAGAAGTTGACTCACCCACTTGTACGATATAGCTCGTTCACTACACCAGGTGCGGCGGCCATTTCGGCAGACGCGAAAGAGAGTCACAATGAAATTGTGACTCGAAGTGAAGTGATTCTTTGTGGGATAGTGGTGCCCAAAGTGTTTAGAGTACAATTAAATTATGTGAAGGGTGTGTGACTCACTTGCAGGCAGGTGAATCTCAAAGCCAAAGGCGGTTAGCCTGAAGCGCAAGCGGCACCAGGTTGATGATGTCAGCCGGTTTTCCTTAGAAGCATCATTACTACCTACTACTTAGACACTGCAAGATTTTTCAACACACTCTTCAATGCTATACATTTAAAAGCTTCCTAACATAGGGATGCAGCTTTCTATAGGTATGCGAGGTACGGCAGTACGCACCACAATCTTTAAGGCCCTCCGTCATCAGCGACTACTGTCCACATCATCTCCACTCCATAGCACCACACCGTCCTCAAACTCTGCCTCAAGTAACTCGAGCTCTCCGGCTGCCCGATCCTCGCAAGATCAGCAGAACAACGCAAAGCAACAGCAGAGCCATAAAAAAACAATGGCCGAGCTCGACGAAGAGCTTCGTCAAAAGCTCGAAGGCATGTCAGGCGAAGGTGGAGCAGCCGGGATCGAGCTCGAAGACGGCAAACCTGTCGCTATGAAGCGTGGTGTGAGGGATAATATGTTCAGGTTGATTTGATGGGTCTTGGTACTACATACCTGGTGATCATCAGACTGTCACTGGCCAATGAATTACATTACCTTGGGCACATACCAGAATCGAAGTGCGCCATATACGTGGCCGACTGAAAAGGATACAGAAGAGGGCTTGATTGAGAGTTCAACAACAGATGCTCCACAACCAGTGTCATAAGAGAAATATCATCGTTCTGGGAGTGGCGCCGTCTGCCGTCGCTGACGATGCGAAAGTCATCTATGATGATTGACAACAAGGAAAAAGTCTAGGGCGGCAGTTATTCTATTGCTCTTTGGATATCAAATGTCGACAAAAACTTCGACCTCCTCATCGTTCTACAAAGGCTGCCAAGTCGATAACCGGCCAACAAGATATACCAATGCTATCTCAGGAAACACATCCATCACAAACACCTGTACCAGAGACACCCAAGAGTGAACTCACCATTATGGAGAGCGGTTATACCGCCTTTGCACGTTATGCAGAGAGGGTGGTGTGGGCTTGCAGGTTCTAACGTCACTTCCATTCCCCGAACCAGCAGTGGAGCATGAAATGGCTCCTATAATTGACAGGTCGAAGGAAGGAGCTTTGTATATAGTATCGTAATCTGCACAAGCATTGACAGCCAGAATTGCTTAAAGCAGGATTACATCGGATTCCTTTCTCTATGCCCAGAAAAAGGTATCATTGAAATACATGGAAACTTCTCTGACAACTATTCAACTAAACATTCGGTCATCTAACCCTCCCTGTCATTAACAACTAAATCCCCAAAGAATACTCCGTACATTGTCGTGCCGAGGATAGACCCAACCTGCTCTGTCGTCCGCCAAGACCATAAAGATAAAGAACCTCGGATGAGTAATTTGACCGCAGCCTTGGACCGACCATCTGGGAAAGCAGACCGCAACCCCTCAAAATAAGCCAGGTGATGGTGAATAAAGTTCCGTATGGAGTGCCTGAAAGCTGGGGCAGGAAGTCTAGAACTCAGGGGGAAACCTTGGCATCCCATTCACGATGCCCCGATCTATACTGAAGTGATCTGGGCCCCCCAACACCGATACGTCGAATCCTCGCCCCAGTAAACTCAATATTAGTCACGTAAAAAGTCCTGTCCACACGTGCATGCTCTCTGCAGGTCTGTGGATCTATGCAAGGTCAAAAGTCCCGTCTTGGTGGGCTCGGGTAGGACAGGCGAATCTGACCAGTTACCTGCAGACGGACAGATAGTTACGAGGAAACAAGCAGAGTGGAGGTAGATGGAAGAGGCTTAAATTGGAGCAAAGCTCGGCTGGCTAGCCAGTCATATCTCTGGTGTAGCGATTCGGGATTTCTAGACTGCTGCAGTCAAGCGATTGACTATTGATTTTCCACCTTAATGGTCACTAACCTGTCCACTTCCACTATGTTTCTACATGACATTTTATGATGAGAGCATCTTGTAGAGAGTGAAAAGTAAAAGCAAAGTTTCCGTGCTCAGCAAGAGTTGGAACAGCTCGCCTGATTCTGTGGCTTGTGTAACCTCACTCCCCTTTCTTCTCCATCACGGCTTTGTCACCATTTCTGTTGGCTTCCGTTCGGCCTCGTTCCAAGACACGGCTTCTGCATCCTCAACCAATAAGCTTGCTGCAGCTGACGGTCACGGTCGGGCACCCAATCACACAAGTAGTCTGGCAGGGCGTGTAGCTGGTGACAGTAGGCGTCTTGGGGCAGCATCTGTTAGGGCAAGGAATCGTTTCGGTCTCGGCTCGGAGGCAAAACAGAGTTACACAGGGTTCTTCAATTGATAAACAGAGAGCCGCAGGATCTGGGCCGGTGACAGTGGAGGTATAGCAAGACTTTGCACCACCAAGACAGGGTGTGGGTGCTGGCCGGAAAGAGGTCATGTAGGGTGGGACGATGCCTTGAGCACTTAAGAGAATGAGGTGTTAGTGAGCAAATTCTCATGTCTCTGAGCAATGTGTCTTGACTCTTACCTGACAGCGGCGGCCGCGGCCAGCAAGGTAATGGTAATGGAGAGCATTGTGATCAAGGTTGTTGCGAGAAACTAGCTGAAAGCTGATTCGTGTTAGAGAATTGAAATTGGGTACTATTGAAGGATCCTGAATGCCAAAGAAGTGAAGAATGACAGTTAGTAGAAGATATGTCACTGTTAGTGTCAGCCATAGTATCACATAGTATCACGTGTGTAGTGACTCAGACAAAGGGATGACCTCTTGGCAGGCAGAAGCCAAACTGCTTTCCAAGCTGAGCAAGGAGGGAAGGTACGGGTTCGTGCTTGCAGTAGTCCATCCTCATAACATCGAGGCCAAAATCCTAAGGCGTCCCATCTCCTGACCACTGCACTAACCTCGCTTAACAACGTCCACCAGATCACTGAACCTCTTTGATCCGTCGCCGACCTGGATTGTTCTATTGCCTGTCTCGAACCTAAAATGTTGACCATAAGTCTTCAGTAATCCGCATAAGTCTTGTTAATACTCCTGATCATCTTGACGTAGTCGTCCTAGGTGCTACCCAATACACAATATAAACCCGAGATAGTTGGGTAACAAGAATATACTTCTCCAACGTGTTCTAAGGTAGCAGGGAGTAATACGTAGTTATGTTGAGCTGGGTGTAGACAGAGCTCTGAATATAACAGACTGGTACTCGACTCAACCCTTGCCAAGGTGGGGTGAAGAACATGGTGTTGGAAAATTGGATTGAGGTATGTGTGGCTAGGGCAAAACTTCAGAGGTTGATAATATGGCAGTTTTGGTGAAAAGACGTTGATACCGCAGAGAACGAAAGTGATCCTAGCACAAATCAAGCCTCCTGCCGTTGCTAGAATATGGTTACAGTTTCGTCCTGATGATGGTGATATAATTTAGCATGGTCCCTAAGGACGGTATCAATAGTTTTGCCACCTGGACTCCTGGAGAAGGTTTGAGATGCCCGTTAAAGCTGTAGCCAGACTGTCAGCACTGTATATTCGGTTCCCAAGCGCATTTAACCTGATTCAAAACCAATATCCCGTAGACAAATCGAGCCAGCAAACCCCCTTGTCACTGTTCAGAAAGGTACCTGCAATGATTAATTCTGGTATATTTCACCCACAATTTCAATGGCCTCATTGATTGAAGACTAATCCAATTGCCATGAAATCGAAACTGTTAAGGAACCTAAGGCAATCAGTAGGACCGGAGTCATTTAGCCCGTGGCAGATTCGGCTCGTTTATTTGAGTTTCCGAGGGTGAAACGGCGTGTAAAAGCTCCGGAGGCTGCCACGCTGCCAAAGTCGAGTAAGCGACATCGGAGCCCCAAAGCTTCTACGCTTGGATGACAGCATAAGAAGCTAGTGTCGAGGTGCCAGTGGGATCCTGGCATGCAGCAGCTTCTGTGGCCGTTGCAATAATAGGACGATATTGTGTAATACGGAGAATAGTTTCACCCAAAATGTTTACAATACGACATACTTTCTCCCACACCTCGTCATGCATTTCCGCACTCAGAGCAAATACGGACATCAACCTCCTACACACATGGAGGGAAAGATGTGCATCACAAGAGGCCCGAGCTTACTGATGTACTTCAAACAATGGCTGTGGTCTAAGACGACTTTAAGAAGTCATGGAATTCTCCCAAAGCAGACAAGAATCAGCCTGTCTCCTCTGGCCCTTCGTCTTGGCCGTCCATGTCTTCCCTGTGGTCAAGTTTCTCCAACCTCTGTGCAGACGTCCCACGTCCGGCATCCCCTTTGAGTCTCATACCCGTCGCTCGGTCAACTGATTGAGCATTGTTCGCCAGTCTGTCAGTGACCGTCTCGTTGACATATCTCCAATACCCCTCCATTCTCTGTTGCCTTGCACGGGCTTCATTCTCACTCTTCTCGATATCTGCAGCAATCTCTTTTCGGAGCTGAAGGACAACGCTAACGGTTTGCTTCTTGCTTCTTGGCGCCAGGGAATCAGTATGTGTTGACCTTGCATGGGGGCCTTTGTGACTATGAATCCCAAGTTGTACGAGGATCCCTGAAACAAGCTCTTCTATGTCTTGCTTCTGTACCGGTAGCCCGTTCTGTGCATCTTTGTCCTGCTGTATTCTCAAAGCGTCCGCACCTCTTTTCCCGTTCCTTGTTCGGCTCACCTTAACCTGCCTTTGAAGCCATGACATATGTTCCTTGATCGCTGGGTTGAATGTATCGTCCCTGTTAAATATGTCACCGTCATCGTTTGTTTCTGTCCTTGGATGACCACCTTTTCCATCCACGTTGTATTGGGCACCATGTATCACTCTTGCAACGCGGTCGATTTGGGCTTGAGTGACAGATGAGTCAAATTTTTGCTGATTCTTGAAAGCCTTTTCCTGGTTCTTCTTGTCTTTCATGGTCTTTCTGGAAGCTCGTCTTTCGCTAGGGCTCTGAGACCTTTCGTTGATGTCGGAGCTGTACCCAAGCGCTTCTCCAAGTGTCCTTAGGTCATTGGAGGATAAATCGGTGATGGTGCTTTCGTCATGCGTGGACTGGTCGTCATACATGGACTGATTTTCGTCGCCATTATTCTGCCCAACACTTTTCTTTTTCTTCCGAACATGTGTTCTCTGGTCGCCGCCACCAAAGCTGTGCAGCTGATTTACCAACTTGGCGATGGTCAAATGCCTTTGATAATGAGAAGCTTCGTTGGTAATACAACTGTGGACTCTGTGTTAGTGACGAAGTCAAAAGATTGAGATGCATGGAATGACCTTACGCTTTGCAGGTATGTGATCGTCCTACCGCAAACAGGGTATTGTGATAATTGACGCAGGGCTCAGTATGAATCCCGTAGCATGTGCGTTTCGCTTTAGGATTTTTCTGCTTCATCCCACATTTCCAGCAAGAATGCTCTGCAAACGCATGGTTAGTTACACAGTTGAATGGCTACCAAGATAATACAGCTCACCCAAACCCGGCGAATCTTCCCAACGGTATATCGAATTGAGCTCCATCAGGGGCAAGCACTCCGAGACTCTATGTATATGAATCAAGCAGTACTGCACAACCTGGACGTGCCCCAATGATGAGGAATGGTCAGACTGGTGGTGGGTTCCTTTGTTTACTGATTAGTACGGCTGCAGCCATTCTGGTTGTATCCTGGTGCAGCCGTGTGTTTATAGTTCTGAACTCATGACCAAACACTTCTGAACTTCAAACACCAAACTTACTATTTTCAGTTTCTGACTTGACAAGTATTAGTTCCTGCAACGTGCTCATGCTCTCTGGTGCAGCTACATTCACAATATTTAATGCACAGCCTCAATCCACACCAAGCTGCACGGTTCACACAAGAGAACTCTTTTTCAGACATCATGAATAGCATGCATTAAGACATGCACAACTGCTCATAGAAGATTTTTGGCAATTTCAAACTAGAGGAGTGGAGCTAGAGAGAACTTTTGGGAGCTTTAAACTGCTCGGAGCATTTTGAACAAAGGAAAGCAGATCTTGTCTTCAAGCACTGTCATCCCAGGACTGGGCCTAAGCATGTGCTGAGACATTGCGAACAAGCCGCGCTCCCGCCCAGTTGTAAGGATAGTTGCGTCGATACCAGTTGACGCTGTTTGTCATTAGAATCAGGAATATTGACTTGGGAGTATTGGGTGAAGGCAGAACTCACAAAGTCTTCCGGCCAGCAATGCGAGGATGAGTGGCCCAGGAGCCGCCCAGGACAATGTTATGTTTACCGTCGAAGAAGTCAGCTGTGTATTCTGGATAAGTTTTCTGCGGTTCAAAGCCATCCCACTTCTGCAAGACAGAACTGGTCCATTCCCAGACTCCACCGAAGTCACTTTGACCACAGAGCCGATTGCCATGTGGTGTGACCGCTGTCGGCGTCCAGTTTTGAAATCCCACATTGCAACCCGTTAGGTCGATGAATATGTTTTGTCCATTGATATCCTGTTTCCCAGATTGCTCTGGGAGACGGGTGAGACCACGGCCTTGTGGAGGTGTCTCTTCGACCCCATCGTTTGAGAGATGCCTGCAGCTGTTAGTCGCCGCCTGACATGTTTGTGCACGACTTTTACCCATTCACAGCAGAGATCAAAGAGCTCGAGACTTCTTCTTCTTGGCCTTTTTTGCTGGCTTCCGCATAAGAATAAATGCTTCTGGCTTCCTCCAAGGTTGGAATGCGACCATCTGACCATTTTGCATAAGCCGCGAGCTCATCATATGAAGCCATTACTGGCCAGTGGAGAGCATATTGCAAAGGTATAGGTCCATAGAATGTTCGTACGGAAATGTCCTTTAGGAACTTTTGGCCCAGGTCATCTGTACCATTCTGGTTACTGCTTGTCACATCATTCAGAATTTTACCATTCACAGAACCATTCATACACTTATTGCTCGATTCTGTGATGGCCCAGGAAGCAGGGATCGCAGTCTTGTTAGTCGCTTGCAAGTATCTTGCATATTCACCGTTGCTGATCGGCCTCCCCTGTGCCTCAAACTCCCCAACAACGACATTTCTTGGAGGTTTTTCATTGTCCCAACCAAAGTAACGTTCAGGGCCAGAGTCGTTTTCAGGGTCTTGGAGGCCAATCCGGACTTCCTGCTTTGGGATTCTGAACCACTGATTTGGCACAGCATTGGTTTCTGATGCTGTGTGAAGTCCTTCGAAGTCAGGTGTTGTGCTTCCCGGTGGAGGTACGATATTTGAGCTCTGCAGGAGCATGTAAAGGTAGGTTTCTAGATGCATAACCTCGTGCTCGAAAGCAAGCCAAAGTGACCGCCCAACATTCCGATTCGAATCAGCTTCTCCTGAAGTAATCAAAGATGTGACTCGATTTCGTACTCGGTCTTGGTACTGAATTATGTCAAGCAATGGTGGCCATGTGTCAGGGATATGGCTATGTTTGTGGCACAGCTCTGGGTTCTCGACATCGGGATCGACGCCGCGTTCAAAAATGGCCGCGTACGCTACTGGCTCAGTGTGCTTTCGTCCGGTAGCCTTCGTGATCTGTATATCTAATGGTCGTCAGCTTATCGAGAAATTGAACGTTCAGCATAACGCACCACAGAAGCTTGGAATGTGGCCAAGGTAGAATATCAAGTCGTTTCTCAGCTTGATGGGTTTGGTCAACAATTCACCCGTTGCCGTCATACCCCGGGTCACTGTGTCCCATGCAGCCCAAAGCCCCTGCCAGTCTTTGAGCGAAGGGACTGGACGCGCAACATAGTCTTCAGGCTTGGTGGGGTACGGTTTCGCTGCAGGCGAGAGGAGATGGATATCTGTTCGATTAGAGAAAGAAATGTTAGCACTGACGATTGGATTTTCGAGACGAAAATGCTTATATCGTATGTTGCATCACACAATGACTGGGTAAACGAGACATTTACGACTCCTCAGGCAAGTTACATTCGCCCCTTACTCGATTTGACAATGCTGCAGATCTCTATCCCCGCATAGGGGATGCCATAACTGAATGAAGAGACAATTGCATAGCCCTGGGAGTGTGACATACTGTAATCACCTTTTTGGTTACCAAAAGCAGCTTGGTGAATGAGCCCTGAAGCGTGCCACAAATCGGTCATTTGTCCGCGAGAATATTTGTAGGCCGTCTCCAAATGAATCTTGGACCCTGCCGGAATGTAAAGACTATCGATACTAACATCGACAAGCGCGCGATAGTGGGCCTCGTGACCTTGAAGCTGTTCGTCATATCTACCCACCACGTCCCACTCATTTTGCTTGAAGCCTTCGTACCCCAGTAAGCGATTAGCATGAGTCAGTCCGTTCCGATAGAAAGCCTGGGTCACTCCCTTGGAGTCGTTATACGCTCGGAAGATCTGATCGCCATCCTGACAGCTATCAAGACCAATGAGCAGTGAATCTTGTGGACCTAGCACTTCCGCAAATCGATGTAGAAATTCAGCTGCGTCACTGCGAGAAAAATTGCCAATAGAGGACCCAAGTGAAAGGACGCAAGTTGCTTTTGCTGCATCCTTGGTGCGCTTCAACCATGCTAGTCCATCGTCATAGGTGCCGTGAAGCCCCGCGCATCTGACATAGTGATATGTTCCTGCAGGTATAGCTGAAAGAGTCCGGCGAAGCTCCGGTAGTGAGAGATCCAGGGCAAAGTACTCGATTGCTTTCTTCGATTCCTCAAAGGCACTCAGTAGGATATCAACCTTTCGCAAGTTCCTATACCATTATCAGAGCGCGGACAAATGGTGGTAATGCATGCATCATTGGTGCTCAGAACCACCATCACTTCTGGCATACATACCCGCTTCCAAGCTCAACCAAGCGACTTCCCTCAGGAAGATGTTGAGCAATGCCTCTCGCGTGTGTTTCAAGTGCTTGAATTTCAGCATTGGTCAGGTAATACTCATCTAGAAAAGTGATCTCCTCAAAGAGCTTCAGACCAGCCTCTGTTCCCATATAAGTTGGAATGTGCGGTCAGCCACATGATGGGACCTACCGTCGTAGAGAATTAAGGTAGGCAGTGTTCGGGGACCATTGTCATCAGGTTCGAGACATTTGAGCATGAGTTTCAGAAGAGATCCATCGAGATCTTCGCGGCGGATATCGATAACATCAAAAGGAGACTGGGAGAACCCACTAGAAGTTGCCATCCTTGAAGGAAGTGCAAGTAGAGATTTCAGGCTTGCTTGACGCGGAGGACTAGGAAGAATCTGAAAGACTTGATCTTGTACGTAGCATCGAAGAACAGTACTTGAAATAAGAAAACAGAGAACAAGCGCGAAAATCCGGTTATCTCTGGCAGATGGCCCATGGCTCCAAAACACTTTGAAACTATTCGATTGGTAATGGTACGGATGGGAGGTGGAGTCCCCGCGTCCTAACTGCTACTAGTGATACCCATACCCCACGCAATGTGAGCTAGGAAGTGAGAGTGGCTTAAGCCGGAGCTGATATTACGAGGATTTCTTCCTTAGAGATCTTGCGTGTACTCCGTAGACTTTGACGAGATGTCAGGGCAGGAGCATGTGGAGTGACGTCGTACAGGGCTGGCTAATGCGAGTAGCACCGCACTTCGCGCTAAAGGGTTCATCAAGTTGCAGTAGAGGGATGCGGAGAGTTAGCAGCTGCATCGATAATGATCAATGGGATCTGGGGATAGTTGTTGCTAGCGATGTATCTAGTAGGCAACGTTAATTTCGACCGCAGGAACGGCAGATGGTGGAATGTTGGGCAAAGGGACAAATCAAGCTCGCTACCGAGTCACATGGCAGCGAGGCACTGAGCCCAATCAAGAATTTGATGACGATATCAGCTAATCAGAAGTCGGTCCATATCTCCACTCCAGAACAGTGTGAGTTATCGTTGGCGCTTAGCAAAAGATGCGGAACAGGTAAAATGTGTAGTTAGAGCATAGCATAGAAAAGTGAGATGTAATGTGATGGACCGAGTGTTGTGACGTGTTTCACCTGTCGAAGATTAGATCCACATGCTAACCCCAATGCGGACAGCTCCACTCAACACTCTAACTGGGCATGAGTTGATATCCCACACAGACGCGTTTAGAATGTCTGTTTCTGGGCACATGAGAGTATCCCGCAGAGACTGCCTGTCATTGCCCCTCTCCGTTTTCTACTTACCGGCTGGTTTCGCCACTATGAGATCTGGGTTCATGGTTGAGGTTGATGCAGCTGCGAAGATCTGCAAAGACCCGCGACGATGACATGGTCGGAGTTGTATCACAGGCGTTAAACCGTGTTGGAAAGATCCATGATGCAGCAAAGACCAGTGGTAAGTAGTCGCGGTCCTAGACGACGTTTGCAGCTCCAAATGTGTCTCTTTGTTTCAAGTCTCCTTTGTTATAGAAAAATATCAACGTCAGCACCAGCGCAAAGCAGTGTTGGTGTCCTGAATAGGGTACCAGTATACTGTCTACTAGTGGCAGTTTCTCTAAACATTTGAACAGGATGACATCGATTAAGCAGCAGATTCTAGATCAGTTCGAAGTCGTCCGCAGACATAGAGACGAAGCCCAGAATGACCTTAGTCAGGCACAAGAAACAATCACTCTTTTAGAAGCTGAGCTGGCAGCTGTCAAATACTATGGCGACCTAGCCTACGCAAAAGTTACTGAGGAGCAGGGGATATCGAAAAAACAAATAGAGCATACACCTGAAGTCAAAGTCTCAAACGCAGCTACATGGATTGATGACGTCTGGTTCTGCACCTCAGACCACACCGACATACTGCGACCAGCTGAAGAGGCCTGGGCAAAGAATCTACATAATCCACAGTCCGCCATTCTACTTGTTACCGAAGCACTGAAAACAAAACCTGCCAAGAAGGATCGTCTCCGATGCAAGCTGTTAATGGTAGCTATTCAAGTCTCCGCCGGCTTACCAGAGCCAGCGTGTGCAGGCGTGAACGAATGTATCAATGAATGTGGAACCGATCCTCGTTTCAAAGATATTGCGGGCATCGCCTACTATATCAGAGGTCGTATCTTCCTAGCACTGGAATACTACCGACTCGCACATTGGGACTTTAGCAGAGCTGTGTTTACCAAAGGCTACCACGAGCAGGTGAAGAAGTGGCAGGGCTACTGTGAAACATGCATCTTGGAAGGCAAAGGCGTAGGCGAAGGTGGACAAGAGGAAGTGCTCCAGAACGAAGCGGTGCAAGAAGATGTCCAGTGGAGCTCCGACGGAGCCAATCCTTGATGCATGCTATTTATCCGCTTAGGGCTCTACAATGCAAGTACAAGCGATCTGACTTGACAAGCTTTCAAGATTTTCAGGTTTTGAAGGTAGTAAAGAATTATGCATTCTACCTTATGCTTCAGCGAAGAATTTTTACTTGTCATCCACATCTAAGCACTACATGTATACTGTTATTTGATACTTTGCTGTTTCATACCTGCATACGCAGTTGTTGCCCGGATTGGATTATTTTTCCAATCTAAATCTTGCATGGATCATATCTATGGGAATTCTTTGTCTTGATATGAAGGAATTGTTGGCGGCTTTCCCGATTGCGGGCAGTCTTCACAAAGAAGTCTCAACATGGTTGTTGAAATCGACATGTCCATTTAGAATTCTGCACTGTATATGCTGCTTTAGTCTTTCTCAAATCTACCCTTTCATGTCGTGAGCGGCTTATGAATGATGGATATAGGGGAAGCTGATAGCGCAGGCAATGATGGCATCGGTACTTCATCATCATCTTCTCCAAAAGTCGCTCCAAACCATGTTTGGGCCAAAATAGAGGCAATTGAAAGCTCCAATCGTGCCCGGCTACGACTGCCTCCTAGCTTACGTCCTGGACTTTTGGCAGACGGTCGTCTACTTACCCATTCTGAGAAGGAGGTCGATGATGACAATGATATAGATGAGCATGAAGGCAGTGATGTCAAGTCACGCTTTGTTCCTGAAATGGTGGAGGACCCGCCTGAGGAAGCAAATGAGAGTAGTAACTCTCATAAATACGAGAGTGGTTATTCCCACCCAATTCGAATGCCCGCAAGCTTGGAAGACGAGCTCCAGGAAGCGGAAGAAGGTACCATGCTTCATACAAACGAAAGTGGTTGTTCCAAGGTGGCCAAGAGCTCTGGAAGGCGGCAAGATCAGTTCGCGGAGGCGGGAGAGGATACCTACTCCGACGAGTATGAGACGGAAAGTCCAGAAGATCGACTCATGGAAGCGGGAGGGGATGCTTATTTTGATGAGTACGAAAGTGATGATTCTGAACCAGTTCATAGTTCCGACCCCGGAGATGGGCGGCACCAGGGAAGTGGTGATGCCGAACCGGTCCAGATCCCACAAAGCTCAACCAGTCAGTCCCAGGATAACTCCGCAACAATACTCTCCCGCAACGACTTAACGGAACAGGTTTTGGACTATCTCCAGCATTCGATGCTTGAAGACGTTTACGGGGATCTCCTATCCCACCCCCGCAGGCTCAGGTACGAACCGAAATGGCCTAGAGAATCCGGTAATGCTGAAGCTATTCTGCGGCAGCCTAAAAGCCGAGCAGAAGCCAACGCTAAGTTCGAAGAACTCGTGGGGCCCCTGCGCGGCTGGCATAAGCTATCTGAAAACAAGAATCCGACTGAGACCCTCCTTCTGCAGGAAAAGATCAATTCTATCCTTAGCCAACATCGCCAGAAGCAGTGTGCACTGCCACCGCTTGAAATTTGTTCAGGAGACTTCTTGCTCTACCACAACCTTCCAGACGCCGTAAAGGAAGTGACTGTCTGGTCGCTGATCAACAGCGCCCATAATGCTATTCGACGAGAAAATTGGGTGGCCGCAGTAGGACTTGCCACCAAAGCCATTCGATTTGCTAATCCACTGAAATATGCACCCCTTGTTTCTAAATGTTGGTTTTGGAGAGGTATGGCAATGGATGGTCTGGTCGCGGCAAAGAAGACAAGTCGCAAAGAGGCAGCTGAATGTTTCCTGGAGGCCATGCGATGCATTGGTATCTATCAAGAAGGAGAGCTGTTGAAAGAGGCAGCTGCGGAGTATAAGTTCGAGCTACTGGACCTACTAGAGGAGCAACGTGGGCAGGACGAATGGTCTCAGCACCTGGGACGACTCCTAACTGGCATTGACGGTTGGTTTCAGCCTGAAGGGAAAATACAACCACGCCCATCACCTCCTTTAGTTCCACAAGATTGCTGGCCAGAGGACACTATATGGGCAGACATCGATCCGGATGACTGGAGCCTGGCATCACAGGCTTCGTCGGAAGAGCAGCTTGATGAGTATTTAGATCAGCTCAGTAGGTACGCTGATCCTAAATGGTTCAGCAGTGGTTCACTCCGGCAGCGAAACGTCGATTGGGCCATAGTAAGTAGAGTCGAAGAAGTAGCTCAAAGGTCTACTTATATAAAGAAAGAGATGTTGTATCAGCTCTGCAGAGGACTCTCTCCTGCATTTGAGCAAATGGTACAGGCTGAGACATTCACGGAGGGCTTCGATAACTATCCCGATATCGAAGAGTCCATTGCTTGGAAAATACTGAATTATACCAGAGTCAAGGCACGGCTTAAGAGACCAATAGCGCCGCTTAGAGAGGAGCTTACACCGACAGACATGAGTGTCACCACAGTCGATGACTCAGCAGAACTCGACCCACAATCTCTGCCTGATGAATCCAGGGCAAATGGTGGTCCAAATGTCGAGAAATCTTTCCGTGTGCGGCATGGTGGGCTCAACAGAGGCCATCAGTTAACAATCAGTACAAATAACTTCAATGAACCGGGCCCTTCACATGGAACTCCCACAGGCATGAGGAAACGAATGCTAAGGGTCTGCATCACGGCAGAAGAGAAGATAGCGGCATTCCAGCATAACCTCCTTGACGAAGAGAATGAAGGCCAAGGAAGATCGAAAGTGCGGCTCGAGCTGGAAAACAATCCTCAGTGGCAATACGCCATTAAGACACTAGAGGCGCATTTTGACCAGCACGTCCAACAAGAAATGGCAGCATCCAAAGTCGGGTTAAGCAGCGCACAAGACATGGTTACATGCAGGAACGAGGATTACCTTCGGTCAACGTGGGGTGATGAAGGAGTACGGCCACCAACACCAGCTCTGACTCGACAAGCCAGAGAGCAAAGACTACAAGAACGCCGACTCGTAAACGAGCGTTCACTGAAACGCTTTAACGTGGAAATGGAATACATGACTTACCAAAGGAAGTGTGGTATATATGCTCGACTACCCAAGGAAAGACAGGAGTGCATCGCAGAGCCGAAAAGGCCATCAGACACGCGTATTGACTGGTTTGAGCAGGAAGTGGAAAAGATGAGAGTGGGAAGTGTGACTTCGCACGGTTTGACTCTCACCACAGTTGATGGCAGCCATTCCAGGGAACGTCTTGCGACTATTGGCGGTTCTGAGGCAGACGAAGCAGGAACAGAAAGCAGAGGTCAAGACCACATCCATCATATCTCCCCTTTACGTCCTCAGCAGCGATCCTGGCAACCCTCTCCCACCAGAATAGGTGATGAGAGCTCTGACGAAGACGATGCTCCCATCGACTCTATTAGCAGCGCTGGCGGTGAAGTCAATCCTCAGGCACATACAGAGGTTGACAGCCTCCTGGACCAGCCAAACACTCGACAGCTCAAAGCAAAACTTGGTATAGATGCCATGACTGAAGCAATGCAAAAAGCTCTCTTGAAGGACCAAGTGATCAGCTTAGAGGATTTGGTTCTTGTTGGTGAGAGCGCCATTGGTGCAACATTGAGCCGGTCGAACTCTTTATGTAGTCCAGCGCTCGAGCGAGATAGTATATGGGATGAGGACACAGACGGAGTTCGACTCGATCCAAGCCAAGTCAAGGCAATACCAGAAACCCGCACGAAGGAAGTCATGGCACCGGAGGGGAATATACCAATGTTTCAGGACAACGTTCCGGCTCTAAGAAGTGGCGTTTTCCAGACCAAACCTCTCACGACCAGCATCTTTCAGAGTCAAGCTGTCAATACAGAGAACAACCCCCAGCCTCAAGCGCCCACAAGCAACATATTTGGACTCCCACCCCTAAGCATTACATTTGGGAGTTCAACACCAAGCAATGCCGCTCCAAGCCAAACCGCGCCCCCTAAAAACATCTTCGGACTTCCATCCGTGAACACGAGCATGTTCGGCGCGGCAGCCACAAGCGGTACTTTCCCAAATCAGCCCTCCGCTACGAGCAACATCTTCCCTACTCAACCACCCACTACAACCAGCATCTTCCCATCTCAACCACCCACTACAACCAGCATCTTCCAAAGCCAACCTACCACCACAAGCAACATTTTCGGAGCTCAAGCCACAAGCACAAGCATATTCGATACAGCTGTAGACTTCAACCAGCCAGCGACCCTGTCGACAACTTTCCAGAATCCCTTCGCCAATCTCATCAAGCAAGCACCTCAAGTCCCAAGTGCGGGCGACGATCTGAATGATAGAAATGACGCCGACGATGAAGGTGAGGATAATACCAGGAAGGTGGAAAAGCAGGCGGAGGTGGAGGAGGATGTCAAGGGCGTTCAGCTACATCGCCAGGCCTTGAATAGCGTCGATGAGCTAGATGATGGTGAAGGTGCAGACAATGAAAAGGAGGATGAGGATGAGGATGATATTAGGAAGGCACAAGAGGGGGTGGACCGGATAGGTGGGAGTTATATAGAGGAGCAGAAGGAGGAGGATACCATTTCAGAAACAGAGACTTGAGCAGGGCTTGCATACATATGAGTGCATCCATCAGCATCAATATAGCTCAAGCCTCAAGGTCATCATACAGAGGATATCTTAGCCTATCATATCCCGTTCACAATCCTGCGCCATGCTCCAATATCTAATACCAAGTAACTGCCAGAATATGTCATTAATCATTTCCCGTGTCTCCCTCGTCTCTATTTACCGTACTTCATGTCCATAACCTCGACAACGGTATCCCCCAATACCAGCTGGCAAGCGCCACACTACCAAAACTCATACAAGCCGCCATGAGCAGATTGATCTGGTTATTATCCAGCCAATCCATCCCGGTCAAGACCGACCTACTCTCCTCCGGCACGGCAGAGATATCTCTCCCATCCATATCAGCCGCCTTTGTTTCTCTCAACGCCTCATCCCTGTTCCTCTCGCTATGCACAACCTCCCTCTTGGCAGTCTTCCCCTTGCCGCGGCTCGAAACCAGGACTTTCTCGCCGCCAGCCCCTTCGACGATTTTGCCAGTCCTCCGATCCACCACGCTCGCCTGCAGGATGGCGCCGAATAGACTGTCCAGCACGCTTCCCAGGGCACCCCCACCCGTCACCGCGAGGATCCAGATCAGCTTGTCTGTCAGCGTCCAGCCTCGGTATGTCTCCGCTTTCTCTTGGGCCATGAGCACCCTGCCCACCGGACCCAAGCGTCCGGTCTGTGACGCGCCACAAAACGGCATCACCACCGTGCTGGCCACAGCGATAATGAGCGACCCCAGCACTCCAGCCGCCAAACCCGCCGCCGTAACACCGCCGTTCGTGCCCCGGGGAACCCTGACCCAAGGTCTCGTAATGAGTCTCGGCTCATTCTGAGCCAGGATCCCCAGCTCACTAGAAAACGTATCCGCAGCCACGGCTGCATAGTTGGCCACGATCCCGGCCAGGAGAAGCCCCTCGACGGAGCCGGTCGTGGGCACGCACCCCTCCTCCTGCTGCGCCTTCACATGCCCACTCCAAGAACCGTGCTTGAAATTCGTTCGGTACAGATGCAGGAGCAGGAGGAAGCTCGCAACCCCACTGTTAGCCAAAACCTGGACGTGCGTCCTTGGCTCGCCTCCATCGCCGCCTCCCCTCCGGGCCGCAGAAGAAGAAGGAGAAGAGCCACTGCCCGTGCTGGAGAGCGTGTACCGGCTCTTGACGTCGTGTTTCAGTTTTGTGGCCCTGGTCCCCGCGAGGAAGAAGACGACGAGGAGGCTGAATGGGAGCGCGCTCCGGTGCGACGAGTGCAGCAGCGCGGTTAGCGCCGCGGTGACGATCCCCAAGGGCGTGAGCGAATTGTGCGTGTACGAGCGGTAGATGAGGTAGCCTGTCACGGGGAGGGAGTAGAGTGGTTTCATTCTTGAAATTGATGTGTTCGGGGTTACGGCGTCGGGGGGTTTGCTGGATTTGGTGATGAAAGGTAGGTAGGTAGGTACGGGGAGAGGAGTCTGAGGAGAGAAGAGAAAAGGTGAAAAGTTAATTAATTGCCTGGCTGGCTGCTCGATCAGGCTTCGCTCCCCATTGCGAGCTCTTAATCTCTGCGATACTGATATTACACAGTCGATAGAGGGGGAACTCTGTATGGACAAAAGATATCAAAACTGGAGGGGAAATGACTGACTTGTGCGGAGAATCCACCGTCTTGTGACGTGGTGACAAAATATTTGGAAAACTTTGGCCGCTACTAAAGCCTGCAAAATGTCCCATACTTCTGTCCTCAGTGCTGCGTAATTTTCCTTTCCGTTTCTAAATGCCTCTCACTTTCTACACATAGAGCAGGAGATTCATCCTTCTCCCTGAAGTGTTACTTGAGCTCTGTACTTGAGTAGATGATATATTGTACTCGGTACTCTATGGGGTATGCTAAGCAAAAAACGTCCTCCTCTCTAGGACCTTCAACGGAATGGAGTGTTTCACACAGCCAACCGATGCAAGAAATGAACGACAGCTCTAAGCATGCGTGGCTCCCGTAAACATCTTAGGAGGTCTAAACCAGCAAAACCCAAAAACAAAAACAGAATAAGACCACCTGCTCGAAATGCTTGCGCTGGATCAAATCGATCCGCTTTTCGCAGGTTCGAATGCTGCTTCATCCTCCCAATCCTGCTCCTTGTCCGTCGCCTTGCTCGAGGCGGCAGCGCTCCGACTCTTGGGGCCTCCAACGTAGATGACTGGTCTACGCTTCTCCTTTTCACTATCACGTTTCTCCTTCTCTCTGTGCCTTGACTTCTTCATGGGTTGCCGTGACGGTCTTGAAGACCTTTCTTTGCTTCTGCTACGGCTGTTGTTGCTTTCATTCATCCTACTTTCTCTCATCTCATGGATGACCTCTTTCATTCCCTCTTCCAGCTTGTTCATCCTTGCCAGGACCAAGCGTCCGAACATCTCCTGGTCCTCGGATGCTGCAGCCTGTCGTCTGAGACCACCAGTAGCATAGGCCATCTGGGTTGCGAATGACGCTGGTATAGCGCCAACGAAACCACCACCTATGGCTTTGTTATCGCCAATATCAGAGCCGAGATCCATATCAAGTGATGATCTTCGATGTTCAGCACCGCGATTGTGCATCCTCATCATGCCAGTAAGGTTTGGAGCAGACATAAATGTAGGATCATTCTTGGGCGGCAGGATCGCTTGTGCTCTGGCTGGCTCTGATACGAACTTTTTCGGCGTTCGACGTCCGGGTGTATTTGACAACGACTTCGCTGCAGGGGTCATGGCACCGGACTTTGGCGAACGGATGCCGATCGACTTTGTACCTCTGGTAGCGGACTGCTTCTTACTTGGTGGAGACGACTGCACGCGTGTTACAGGATTGTAGATGATGGTCGCTGAAGAGACGTTTCGAAGGTGAGGTCTCGGGCGCTGCCTTTGAACAACACGGTTCGTCACCTCGCCTTGCGTATGCCGTTCTTCCGCTCTCCAAGATCTAGATTGTGCGAGTGGTGGAGAAGAGACGGATGTCGATGACTCCCTGTTTTTCGGCTTTGGAGACCGGGTTGAGAAATAGCCGTCTGGTCTCGCTGTACGGAGCGGCGATACTGGAGACGAGGCATTGTGCGGTCTCTGAGGGAATATCATTCCGTCGTCCTCGTTGTCACTCGTCACCAATTCGTCGTCTCCATCAGCATCAGTTGCTTGCGCAGGTTCAGGTTCATGTTCTAGGTTTGGCTCATGAGATGGAGTCGTTTGATAAGCAGGGAGGCGTTGAACTGAGGGGGTCAACACATCTGTGAAGCCACCAAAATCTTCTGGATCCGAGGCTATCGACCGTGTTATATTAGTATGATCTCTCCTGGGCCGAGCAAATCGTGGCCTTCGATGAAAGATCCGGTGGCCTTCGAGTCGATCAACAACCGCGCGGTCTTGCTCCTGAGGTGGACTCATCACTCCCTCTTCACCGAGATTTTGCATCCAGTTGGTGACAGCTTTGCTAGTCCTTTGTCGAGTGTGGCTCTTAGACGTGTCCCGTAATGTGCCATCATATGGTCGCCGGAAGACTGCTGCTAAAGCACGATCTTTTCGCCATGTAGCAACAGAGGCTTCTCTGACCTGACGCCGGGGGTGAGGGGTGAAGATGCTGATGCCAGCAGATCGATTGATGTCAGCCGGAGGTCTTCCACGAGGCTCAATAATCTCCACTGTGTCAACCACTGATGACCTCAGCATAATTTTCTCATATAGGAAGATGGAGAAGAGGATAGGGAAGTGCGTGATTTTGATGAGCGTCCTATTTATCTTCACAAATCGCCGAAAGGGGACAAAGTATCGAAGAGGAGTGATAAACCAAGCAATTATATTGGTTGGCGCGATGTACGAGAAGAGCGCATCAGATTTGACCATGGAGATCGTATTGACGGCAAACACGAATTGATGTTCTTCGTTCGCATTCTGCACAATCGCCATGAACGAGTTAGTGAGGACAGTAATCAAGATCGTCACGACCAGGAAGTGGCAGATGAAGAGAAACAATGTCAAGATTGTTTTGCCCAACACGTTGTAGTTATCCCACCGATCCCATGCAGCAGGAGTGAACCCCATGAGCATTTGGAATAATGCATAGGCGACAGAGGCAGGACTATCGATCGTATCATCCCCAAAAGACAGGGTCAGAGCAGCGAAGAAGCCGCTGCAGCTGATCAGTATCAACACAAAAACCGCCATCAGATCCGATGCCATCATGCGAAAGGCAATGAGAAGTTGAGAAAAGTAGCGGTAATGATCGAGCACGGAAAAGAGCCGAGGAAACAGCAGCACCGCATCAGCGGCAAGCACATCATATGCAAGATTGCTAACAGAATGCTTGCGCGTGTCTGGCATAATGATCCCATACAGACGAAGGCAGAGATGGCCAATGAGGAGTAGCAAGATGCCTAGGTCGAATGTGTTCCAGAAGCTGGCCCAGTAAAGACTAAAACCTTGCTCGTTGAAGCCGACAATCTCGTCCAATATGTATCCAGCACACCAGAACCAGAAGACAATCTCCAGAGAGGTAATTTCCAAGGATCTCTGTGCCAGTACAGCAAGAAACAGACCGAGGAGGATAGCATATGACCCCGTCGAAAGAAAATAGCGGTACCGAGGAACCCGTAGCCGCGAGAGCTTGAAAAGCGATGCGTCTCGGGGGTCATACAGCGTAACCGATCGTCTTGCTATGTTGCTTGACTTCGAAAAGGACTTTGGCTGGTGGCGTTGATCAAGAGCGTCAGCAGTTTGTTCCCTCATTCCTTTTCCAGGCCGATGAAGGGTATCAGCTATGGCATGAAACACTATTGAACCTGCCCATATGGCTTCTAGCTGTTGCACCACCAATGGATGTGCCAGGAAACGCTTCGCTTGTGCTCTGATTGCAATCTCAAGACATGATATTCTGGCTGGACGTGGAGGACTCCAAGCATTGTGCTTTGCCGTCCTTTCCACACGGGACATGTTTGTGTTGTTCTCAGGATGTGACTGTCCTTGTAGCGGGTCGAAGTCGTACGAGAGAGCATCTATCAACTCGCGGGTCGAGTATTCCCTCAATAGCTTGATAGCAAGAAGTTCACACACCAACGCCCTTGTTTTGCTTGCGCCGCTATTTCCAGGATTCAGGCTAATCTCCTTGTTGAACTGCAAACAGTTGGCCATGAGCGCATATTCGGTTGCTCTAGAAAAGTGTGCAGCTCGAACTTCTTGTTGAATTGGTTTGAGGAGAAATTGTGATACCTGTGGTGACCGAAGTTGGTCCCAGGTCAATGTGGTTTCGCATTTGGACACGATGAGAAGACGTATGGCATGGGTCAAATTGTAGATAGGCAGAGCGTCTGTTTGTTCGTCAGCTTAGACGCAGGTATTAAGCACAGCGAGGAGTCTTGGGACCTAAGTGAGCGGCAGAGAAGATTGGCAGCAGAGATGTCTCGCATCTGTGTCCATCTTCATTGCCAGTCTCAGCTTCTTCCTCGTCATGACTGAAACCTGCGTCGTCTGCATCGTCGTCGTCGTCCGTTTCGCTTCTCTCCGCGCCCCTGGTGGCACTGTTTTGATGCGGACGAAGCAGCGGACTACGTTCATTGGGAGGACCTTGTCGAACAGCTTCAGGCGAAGGGGAAGAGAAAGGCGATCTTTCGTCTGTTTGTCTCCTTGGACCCTTGGAGGGCCGAAATAGCGAGGAAAGCATGTGGTGGCTGCGCGGAAAGAATTGGGTGTCGAGTCGTCAGGAGCCAAACAAGCACATTTCAGAGTATCATCCTTGAAGGAATCAACTGAAATGGAACCGTAAAGCCTCCCTCAATGCACGGAGCAAGACTTCGACAGTCCTGTGCCATGGCCTCCAATTGTCAAAGAGATTGTGAAAAATAATCTTGTTAGGAACACATAGGTATTATGCATGTATGCTGCATCCGCACTTGCAAGCTGCACCTCGGCGGCGTGATCGACCGCCTATTATTATTATTGGAAGCCCCTTACCCAAAGCTCATTGCGCATGCAGAAAACGGTCACAAGATTATTCCTGGTAGAAAAACTTGTAAGAGCCCACAGGGTACGTAGTACACTGCGATGCATGTGGAGATCGAGATAAGCACATCCATCCTGATGGGAAATGTTCTTCCAATCAGCATGCCCATCCAGAACACTTGCATTGCACATTAGCTTAATGCGGGTACGGGGGACTGCATCAAGCTTGTGTCACGCACCCTCTAGCATCTGATTTGCTAAAGCTTTTACAATTATTTTTTTGATAATGGGGTAAGATTGACTTGACCATTGCCAACAACCTGCCTCAGACACCACGCTTTATTGTACATGAGGAAAAGTCAAAATTATCGGGCTGGCTGCAATTCACTTCTAGAAGAGTGTTGTAAGCCCGCGTTAGAGGCCCGAGGAAGAGGTACAAAATGCCTTTACATCGTCAGGAGGAGGAGAGAAGGCCTGTTACGCCAAATTCATGGGTCAATCAGCATGTTGAACCTCAATTACCCTCTAGTCCTTCTCTGGCCGCTTCAGTGGGCTTGAGCTCGTCCGGAGATGGCATCACAAATCCTGGTAGGCTAGGACCTCTTGGTGGAAGACCGACAGGAAGTCTCGTCAGAACGGCATATGCTCAAACCATTAGAGAAGAAGAGAAAAAGATCTATCTGGAGTTAAAAGATGGCAATGTCTACGAAGGTTTCAGCTTCGGTGCTGAACTCAGTGCTGCTGGAGAGCTCGTTTTTCAAACTGGCATGGTTGGCTATCCCGAGTCTATCACAGACCCTTCGTATCGAGGCCAGCTACTAGTGATGACTTTCCCTCTTGTTGGTAATTATGGTGTTCCTTCCAGGTACGTGATGGATGAGGTTTTGAAAGATCTACCAAAATATTTCGAGTCTAGCGAAATCCATATTGCCGGTCTCATTGTTGCATCATATTGCGGAGATGAGTTCTCGCACCATCTGGCACATTCATCGCTGGGGAAATGGCTTCGGGAAAACCATGTCCCGGCCATGCATGGAGTTGACACGAGAGCTTTGACAAGCCACATCCGTGAAGCCGGCAGCATGTTAGGTCGAATGCTTCATCAGAAGCACGGTGTGATGAATGGATTCCCGAATAGTGATCACCTTGCCACAAACTCTCATATTCCCGATGAGATTGCTTGGATTTCCGAGACCGATATGATTGATTGGATCGATCCTAATGTCAGAAACCTTGTTCGTGATGGTAGGTAATTGAGATGCGTCCTTCATTTTTGTTAAGCTCTGACTGTGTTGCAGTCTCGATCAGTCAGGCTCGACTCATGTCTCCTCCCAAAGATACCGCATTGTACCATATATCTGGTCGGCCTCTTCGAGTGGTTTGTCTGGACGTCGGACTGAAGTATAACCAATTACGCTGCCTTCTTAATCGAGGCGTTGAGGTTCTGGTTGTGCCATGGGACTACGACTTTACCTCTTTGGCTGGCAAGGGTTATGATGGGTTGTTTGTTTCCAACGGGCCAGGAGATCCTGCTATGGTATCTGTGACGGTCAAGCACATAGCACGAGCCATCGAAGACGGGAGAACTCCGATCTTCGGCATTTGCTTGGGTCATCAGCTGCTTGCTAGAGCGGCAGGAGCAAATACACTGAAAATGAAGTTCGGTAACCGTGGCCACAACATTCCTTGCACAAATACTCTCTCTGGAAAATGTTATATCACTTCGCAAAACCATGGATATGCAGTCGACGCTTTGAGCTTACCGAAAGGGTGGGAGGAGCTCTTTGTCAATGCCAATGACGGTAGCAATGAGGGTATTCGTCACGTCTCCCGGCCGTATTTCAGTGTCCAGTTTCATCCGGAAAGCAACCCAGGGCCTCGTGACACCGAATACCTCTTCGATGTCTTCATAGATGCTATTCGATCTTGCGCCAAATCAGCAGAAGCTCTCTTGCAGCCAGTAGACTTTCCCGGCAGCACTCTTGCAGAGAATGAACATGCACATCCACGTGTTCAAGTGAAGAAAGTCCTCATTCTCGGTAGTGGTGGATTGAGCATCGGTCAAGCAGGTGAATTTGACTACTCGGGGAGTCAAGCTATCAAGGCGCTGAGGGAAGAAGGCATCTACACAATACTGATCAACCCCAATATCGCGACCATACAGACTTCGAAAGGCCTTGCAGACAAGGTATACTTCCTCCCTGTCAATGCCGAATTTGTTCGCAAGGTTATCAAGCACGAGAAGCCCGATGCCATCTATTGCACTTTCGGCGGACAGACCGCCCTCCAGGTTGGAATACAGCTCAAAGACGAATTTGCTGATCTTGGAGTGCGGGTCTTGGGTACGCCAATCGATACAATCATCACAACAGAGGACCGTGAATTGTTCGCCAGGAGTATGGAAAGTATTGGAGAGAAATGTGCAAGGTCGGCGTCGGCGTCCAACTTAGACGAAGCCATGCATGTCGTTCAGAGCATTGGGTTTCCAGTGATTGTTCGAGCTGCCTATGCGCTTGGAGGTCTTGGTAGTGGCTTTGCAGATAACATGGACGAGTTACGGGAGCTCTGCACGAAAGCTTTTGCTGCGAGCCCGCAAGTGCTTATTGAGCGAAGTATGAAGGGCTGGAAAGAGATCGAATATGAAGTAGTCCGAGATGCTCGAGACAATTGCATCACTGTTTGCAACATGGAGAATTTTGACCCTCTGGGAATTCATACTGGCGATTCCATTGTCGTCGCTCCGTCCCAAACATTATCCGATGAAGACTACAACATGCTGAGAACGACCGCTGTCAACGTCATTCGACATCTTGGTGTGGTCGGCGAATGCAACATTCAATATGCCCTCAACCCGTTTTCGAAAGAATATTGCATAATTGAGGTCAATGCTAGACTATCTCGGTCCTCAGCCCTGGCATCCAAGGCTACAGGCTACCCACTGGCTTTCATTGCTGCAAAATTGGGGCTTGGAATACCCCTGAACCAGATATCCAATTCGGTGACAAAGAAAACTTGTGCTTGTTTTGAGCCGTCCCTCGACTACGTGGTAGTAAAGATACCTCGATGGGATTTGAAAAAATTCACACGGGTCTCCACACAGCTGGGCTCCTCAATGAAAAGCGTTGGAGAAGTGATGGCGATTGGTAGGACGTTCGAAGAGGCAATCCAGAAAGCGATCAGATCGGTCGATTTCCATAATCTGGGTTTTAGTGATACCTTTAACGCCTTGATGTCGATCGACAGCGAGCTGCAGACTCCCTCTGATCAGCGAATGTTTGCTATTGCAAATGCCATGCATGCCGGGTATACGGTCGATCAAATCTGGGAGCTGACCCAGATTGACAAGTGGTTTTTGCGGAAATTGAAAGGTCTTAGCGACTTTGGAAAGATAATGACCAATTATACTGCCACGACCGTCCCCTCATCACTGATCAGACAAGCGAAACAGCTAGGATTTTCAGATCGACAGCTTGCGAAATATTGGAGTTCAAACGAACTTGCAGTGCGTCGGCTTCGTGCAGAGGCGGGCATCCGGCCAGTTGTCAAGCAGATCGACACGGTGGCGGCTGAGTTTCCCGCCTACACCAATTACCTCTACCTGACATATAATGGCTCAGAAAGCGACATCGCCTTTAATGACCAGGGTGTGATGGTTCTGGGTTCGGGCGTTTACCGGATTGGTTCGTCGGTCGAGTTCGACTGGTGTTCAGTGCGGGCAATTCGCACCCTCAGAGAGCAGGGCTATAAGACAGTGATGGTCAACTACAACCCAGAGACCGTCAGTACAGATTACGACGAAGCAGATCGCCTATACTTTGAGAACATCAATCTCGAAACTGTTCTTGACATATACCAGCTCGAATCTGCCAGCGGAGTTATCATATCGATGGGTGGCCAGACTCCAAACAACATTGCACTTCCCCTGCACCGTCTCAACGTCAAGATTTTAGGCACTTCCCCAGAGATGATTGATACAGCTGAAAACAGATACAAATTCTCACGTATGCTAGACAGAATCGACGTCGACCAGCCGCTCTGGAAAGAACTCACCGGTGTCGATGAGGCTGCCGACTTCTGCGCCAAGGTCGGCTATCCAGTACTTGTTCGACCATCATACGTTCTCTCTGGTGCTGCCATGAACACGGTATATTCGCAAGCCGATTTAGCAAGTTTCCTGAATCAAGCTTCCGAGGTCTCCAGAGAGCATCCAGTTGTCATAACTAAATACATCGAAAATGCCAAAGAAATCGAGATGGATGCAGTAGCTAGAGATGGTGTCATGATGGGCCATTTCATCTCTGAGCATGTTGAAAATGCTGGAGTGCATTCTGGTGACGCCACTCTTATTCTTCCGCCGCAGGATCTTGAGCCAGAAACCATTTCTCGGATAGAAGAAGCTACTCGAAAGATTGGTAATGCATTGAACGTTACAGGACCGTACAATATTCAGTTCATCGCCAAGGATAACGAGATCAAGGTCATCGAGTGCAACGTGCGAGCTTCAAGATCTTTTCCATTCATTTCCAAAGTCATGGGCGTCGATCTGATAGCGATGGCTACAAAGGTGATCATGGGACAGCCAGTTGAGCCCTATCCTGCAGTCGACATCCCCAAAGACTACGTTGGCGTCAAAGTCCCACAATTTTCCTTCTCACGACTCTCTGGCGCTGATCCTGTTCTTGGTGTTGAGATGGCATCCACTGGCGAAGTCGCTTGCTTTGGGCGGAATAGGTATGAAGCCTATATCAAAGCGCTCATCTCTACCGGCTTCCGCCTGCCTAAGAAGAATATCCTGCTCTCTATTGGATCCTTTAAGGACAAAGCAGAAATGCTTCCTTCGATTGCTAAGCTGCATCAAATGGGGTACAACTTGTTTGCCACAGCCGGTACTGCTGATTACCTACAAGAACATGGATTGCCCGTCAAATATTTGGAGGTTCTGGCGGAGCAAGAGAAAGACCAGAAATCGGAATATTCCTTGACCCAGCATCTTGCGAACAACTATATTGATCTTTATATCAATCTCCCATCAAGCAACCGCTTCCGAAGGCCTGCAAATTACATGAGTAAAGGTTACCGTACACGGCGCATGGCTGTGGACTACCAGACTCCGCTAATAACCAACGTCAAGAATGCAAAACTCTTGATTGAAGCTATTGCACGCCATTACGACTTGGCAATACAGAGCATTGATTATAAGACCAGCCATCGCACGATTACCCTACCAGGCCTGGTTAACATTGCGGCATTCGTTCCAGGTATTGCAACTCCTGGATCACACGATTTCGAGATGGTGACCAAAGCTTCCATTGCAGCAGGGTTCAGCATGATCAGGATAATGCCGCTGGGCTTTGACAGTTGGGTCACAGATGCCCGGTCATTGAAAGTGGCACAGCATAATTCTCTTGTCGGTGCTTACTGTGACTACAATTTTGCGGTCGCAGCAACCCACACAAATGCTGATCAGATTCAACATGTCACGGCGGATGTTGGCTCTCTGTTTCTTCCTTTTAATCATCCCTCTGGAAGTATCAATAAGGTTGCTACAGTTATAGCACACTTTGCAGTATGGCCTGCTCACAAGCCGATCATGACAGATGCGAAAACCACTGACCTCGCTTCAATCTTGCTGCTTGCTAGTCTACATGATCGCAAACTACATGTCATGAGCGTCACAACCAAGGATGACATCAAGCTGATTGCTTTGAGTAAAGAGAAGGGCCTGAAAGTCACATGCGACGTATCGATCTACTGCCTCTTCCTATCACAAGCTGAATTCCCGGAATGTACGGCATTACCAACAGCTGATGATCAGAGAGCCCTCTGGAACCACTTGAGCGCCATCGATGTATTCTCCATTGGCAGCTTGCCGTACCAGCTGGCTGGAGAAGAGGCAGTTCCAACGGTCGGCATAGCTGATGCTCTACCATTGCTGTTTACTGCCGTCGCAGAGGGTCGTTTGACTGTGGAAGATGTAAGAAGAAGACTTCATGACAATCCAACAGAGATCTTCGAATTACACGAACAGCATGAAACAACTGTTGAGATCGACGTTGATCGGCCCTATGTTCTCCAGGCGGGTCCCGTGTGGTCACCATTTAGTGGCAAAACCATGAGAGGAGCAGTTTCGCGGGTCACTTTCGATGGCTCTACAGCATGCTTAGACGGTGAGCTCATGGCGGTACCACCTAAAGGCATGGACATGTCAGCGCATTCTCTCCATCCCCATTCCCACTCGCCCGAGGCTAGGGCTATGTCACCTGCACCATCTTCACGGTTGGATGGCTTGGCTGATCGCCGTGGTTCTGTGCTGGATGCCAGTATGGCTGGACGTCCTTCGATGTTGAGTCCTGTGGTGCGGCCATCTACAAAGAATCGTAACCTCGACCACCTTCCTGACTCCAGTTTCAACAATATTCCTTCGACAATGCTTCCTCAGCCAGCGCTCCCTTCGGCTCTTTCGCCATCCTTACTCTCCCTGCTTGCTACCTCACCATTCAAGAACCGGCATGTTCTTTCCGTGTCACAATACAGCCGCCAAGAACTTCATCTACTTTTCACTGTTGCCCAAGAGATGCGGATCGGTGCCCAGCGTTTCGGCATAATCCCCATTCTGGCATCACGGGTGCTATGTACTATCTTCTACGAACCCAGCACCCGCACATCCGCGTCCTTCGACACAGCCATGCAACGTCTTGGCGGTCGCACCGTCGTGATCAACCCCGATTATAGTAGCACCCAAAAGGGCGAATCACTACAAGACACGATCCGAACACTAGGCTGTTATAGCGATGCCATTGTCCTGCGCCACCCAGATAACAACTCCGCTGCCATCGCCGCCAAATACTCCCCAGTCCCTATCATCAACGGCGGCAACGGCAGCCTTGAGCACCCTACGCAAGCCTTTTTGGATCTGTTCACCATCCGTGAAGAATTGGGAAGCGTCAGCAACATCACCGTTACATTCCTTGGTGACTTGAAATACGGCCGCACCGTCCACTCTCTGATCAAATTACTTCAATACTACGAAGTGAAAATCAACCTCGTTTCCCCAGCTGACTTATCTCTACCTACGGAGACCCGGGACCAGATCCACAAATCCCGCCAGCTGGGTGTCGAGAGCGAGAAGCTCACTCCGGAGATCATCGCCCGCTCGGATGTGCTGTACTGTACCCGGGTCCAGAAGGAGCGATTTCCCAGCCTGGACGAGTACGAGCGGTTAAAGGATGCTTTTGTGGTGGATAACAGTGTGCTGAAGTATGCGAAGAGTGCGATGGTGCTGATGCATCCGTTGCCGCGGAATATGGAGATTAGTGAGGAGGTGGACTTTGATCAGCGGGCGGCTTACTTTAGGCAGGTGAGTGGATCCCTTTTTCCTATCCTTTCTCCGTTTTTGGTCTTCGTTGGTTCCCTTTGGATGAAGCTGACTAATTGTGGGACGTAGATCAAACACGGTCTCTACTGCCGTATGGCATTGTTGGCGCTGGTTCTCACCCCTTAATCCTACCCGTACCTGCTGGTTGTTCGTTGAAAGATGTATTGAAAATCGTCACACACAAAAGTTCATAGAGCTGGAGGGGAGAAGACTGAAAGATTGATAAAGATTGATCTCTACATATGGGAATCCTAACTGGTGTCTAGTCCAAGATATATGCTCTAGACTCTTTGAGATGGGGAGAAGAATGCCGTGAAAAGCACAATATAGTAGCATGAATCCATTCCATCCGTGAAGTGATGAACGATCTCTCATTCTCACATCTCCAGCCTTTCCCCAATCCTTCTCACCTCTCCTTCACACCTTGTGAATATCAGTCCACAGCCGTGAATGAATAGATCGGAATTCCATGCTGCAATACCATTCCATTCCATTGCCCTGCCCTGCAATGCAGTCCCAGCAGCAGTGAATCCGTCCAGCGTCCGACGGACCGCATTCAAATAGTGGCTCAACTCTCCCTCTCTCCTACCCAATTCCGATATCGGCGACCACTTTCTCTTTCCTTCGTGCTAATACGTCGATGTAGGAGGGCTTGGCCAAGACTAGCGGTCACTTCTACCAGTTCTACCGGAGACCTCCATGGACTTATATGGTATGGTATTGCATTCAGGCTACCTCGCTGTACGGCATCCTCGCCGGCGCACTATTCGGTATTGAAGCCTCTTTCTCGTCCTTGTGCATCTTGAGGTCGATATGGTATCGGTACTGCATTATGGAGACCTCCTGCACCCCTCGTCCGCCGTAGATGGAATTTTCTTCATTTCTGAACGATTCTATCTATATACATATGGAGGCCTCCTCCTCCGCTCTCCTTGACAGGCATTATGAAAGAATCGTCATCCTCAATGGATGACTCATTTATGTGTTTGGATGTATATATATATATATATACGAGGAGAGCCTGACCATCTTACGGAGGGGGGTGGGCGTGTGCCCTGCGTGTGCCACTCTCAACCGACGTTTAGACTACCATGGTCTGCTCGGAAACCCTCCAGAAACAAGACGCGAAGCCGCGGTCTTTTGGTCCAACAAAAACTCTCCTCCAGCGAAAAACAGAGTTCTGAAAGCGCCGTCGCCACTCAGCTCATACGTTGCTTAAATATTACACGTATGGTGGCTGCCGCTTCCTCAGTTGCCGTAAACGACATTGCATGAAGATCAGGCCGGAATCTTCACTCCCCCAGCCAAATGTGTTGTGGATGGTCCGATCAGCCCAGTGAAAACTGACGGCTTTCCTTAACGTGGTGTGCTCAGCACTTGAACCATCAGCCAGCAGTCACAGCAGTTTACTCTAGCTTCGCCTCGGTCGAAGCACTTCTCAACCCCAGTGGTCAGTAAGACATTGATCTCTGACCAAATCCTTAGATATGGAAGGCAGAACACCCACTACGCCCATAGTGGAGACCACAGCCGAATCTTGAGATCTATATTTATATATATATATCATTACCCACCATGCGCCAACCTCAAAGTGAAGATAAGATGCGACATCTGTGACGAGCAATACCCGATAAGGGCCAGACATCAACTCTTCCTTCGCAGGCTAATACTCTGGCGAACAAAGGCACTTTCGAAGCCGGCAAAGCCATCAAGAGCTTGCTTGCTCGTCTCCATCTCAAGAGAGAGAGCGCTCGATACCACAATTCAAAGTATGCTGATGCGCAACGTCACCAGCCTGTCACGTAAGCAGGGTTTTCCTTACATCGCCCCCGGGCTTTTTCAACCGCGCTCGAACGCCGTCCCGTCTGACTTCTTCAATAAAAACTAAAAAATATTTGGAGCCCCCTCGACTTTGTCCGCCGTACTGGATATTTCAAAAACCCTCAGAAAACCCCCCCTGACGAGATATGTGTGTGTTCGAATCTCGAGATGGGGAGAGGGAGAAACGAAGCGATGGAATATCAGCCTAACTAACTAGTTGTTAAGCTGATGAGTTTCCCGATCTCACAATTCACACCAAGGTTTTCCCCACTGGGGTTGAAAGGACTGGGTTGACGTCTGCCCTGACTCAGAGAGCCAGAGCCAGAGCCAGGACCAGGAAGCTGAGGCACGCTTTTCTCCAAAAATTCTGAAAATGAAGAGATTCTTTTCGCAAGCTACCGTGGATTTCTGGACCCGTTCGCCCCACAACAACAGCACGCTTGGTCTTGGTCGGCGTGTCTAGCATATTTGTTTCTGTTCGCTTGGACTTCTTTCAGCGCGAGACTGGGCGGGTGCGGATATAATGTCATGGATCCCCCAAGTTACATGGCAGAAATCGAGCGGGGGGAGGGGTTCGGATAGATCTCAAAACGGGGCTGCTGGGGGCTGTGATATTCTTACATACCTTGAAAGTTAGGGATTGAAATCAAAACATCCGAAGAGGAGATTGTGGAAGCTCTCTCGTATAGAATTACATACATACAGAGCAAGAGTGACACTGTGTGATGGGCGGTGGGAGCAGGCGATTTGGGGCCATTACTTATTACTAAGTTAGGTCGAGATTGGTTCTTACCCAGGCTTCGGTCTACTCCTGTACGTAGTCATGATCGCATGCCTCCAGCCTAACTAGAAGATTGGCATGGAGTTGCATCAACAATGCCAGGGTGATAAGCCTGTGAAGCCCTCATAAGTCATAACCTAGAATCGAGCAATTATGTAACATACGTGTGTGTTTTTGCTATCCATATGCGGCGTTACTGGACAGTCTTTCGATCAGCCCAATCCCACCAGCCCCAGAACTTCGTCTCAGCACTCTTTTTGTCTCCTCAGAGCATCCTCCTCCTCCCTGACTAATCATCCTCTGCCACAAGCTCCGGATGTGGATGTACAGGCACACCGTGCACCCTGACACGATATAGACACGTGTTCTCTCCGCCCCAATTCCGCTTGACCCTCACCACCAGCTTCTTGGTCCAAAACTCATCGTGCTGATTTTGATTGTACTCCAAGCGGAACACCTGCACGTATCTCCCTTCCTTCTCGTTGGCCACGGCGTCGTACTGGAATGTCCCTAGCAGCCCCATTGGGGGATACAGTTCCACTTCTTTTAACCCACGCGGACCTGCTGTCAACGATGCGAATTCCTTGTGAGATAGATGGCCAAAATCGGCCCAGATTTCGATATCTTTGGGGGCGATGCCGGGGAAGGGAGTGGTTTTGATTGGTAGGTGTTCGATCACGATTTCATCCGGAAAGATGTCATAGCCTAGCATGATGGCTAGTTGCACGTAACGGCCATTGCGGCCATCCATCTGGATTTTCGACTTTGATGTGGGATGGTTGGGGCTTTCGGTCAGAGCCGCGCACCAGCAGTCACCAATTTCGGTCCACGGCGTCAATGCTTGGATGGGGGGTCGAGATTGGTATTTCTTGATGCCGGCACTATCCAGGAGGAGACGTTGGTAAAAAGGAAAGTGTTTTGCTTTTGTGGGCGAGGTGAGGTAGGGGTCGATGACTGCGCCAAGGCCAGGGGATGCGTAGTTGATTCGCTTGAAGATTGGGGCTAGGTAGGGTGATTGCCATGGAGATTTAGAGGATCGAGATGAAGAAGCAGCTTGGGCGGCTTCGGCCTTGGCCAATTTGCCTTGGAGCTCAGACTGGTACTTCAAAAGTTCTGCTTGTCGTTCGGTGAGTTCGTCCACGGTGGCAGATGTGACGGACTGTTTCGCTTGCAAATCGTGGACAAGTTCCTCCTGACGTTTGATCTGTTTCATAAGACGGCTGATCTGCGACGCGGAAGTGCCTGTTGAGGTTGCATCTGCAGTGGTATCCCTTGACCGCCAGTCCATTGCGGTATATCTGCACATGCCGTTGACACGGTGGTGCCATGATCCTGACGGGCTGAGAGACCAAGGCGTCTCACAGAACCACCAGCAGAATACAGTTGTCATGAAAAGCGCGCCGGCAAAAATCAGAAAGAGTATACAACCCATAAAAGCCAACTCATAGCAGTGAGTCCGGAATTTTTCAAAGGAATAGTCGTGAAAATACCACCATATACGGTTCCACCGGAGGAGAAAGAAGTCGCGAACATCTGTCACATAGCACAGGAATCTACTCCAAGCATCGGTAGGAGGCTGAGTGGTGCCTTGAGAGTGAAGGCCACGCTCTTGTGTATAGGTGTGGTCCCAATGGTTGAGGTCGGGCATGGTAGACTGTCCACGTTGAGTTTCCGGAGGAGATGACTCCGTGTCTCGGTCGAGAGAACGATGAGAATTGTTCGAGAGAGAGGAATCATCACGGGATTTGAGATCTCCTTGAGACCCGGCTTCTTCCTGAGCATTTTGCCCTCCTTGGGTACCAGCCTTCGCTTGGACATAGGATACCCGTTGCGAACCGGCATCGTCTTGAGTACCGGCTCTTTCTTGGGAGTCAGCTTCTTCTTCAATGTCGTCAAGCCATTGGTTGGTTTTCTCCGTGGAGAAGCCTTTCCGACGGCGGGATATTTGCGGCACCGGCGTTTGATCCTCTTCGACCGAACTTGCTCTGGATTCACGCTCTGAAGATCGTCTAGCAGCTCGCGCCGCACGAGCTACTGCAGTTGTGGTGCCATACTGCTCGGCTTCGACTGCTTGAGCTGCGAAGTTTTTGTTAGCTTCAACAACCCCTATATCAACAATTTCAAGTATCTGCTGGTGGCTTTGTTTCTTATGCGCCACTAGTTGCAAGGGTAGAGGTTTCGTATTGGACGAGCCATATGCAAACGATAGTTCCGCTTCGACATCGGGGAGTGGGGTGGTTTCAAGGGTGGCTGTTCTACCTGGAGTATTGCCGTGGTTTAACGGTCTGGTGGCAGCAGGAAGAGTTCTAGTAGGTGTGGAAGTCGCAGCACGCGTGGTACGTCGTGGAGGCATGATGGTGTAGGGCGACAGGAAATTTGGTTATTTGTGCTGGTTCTGAGCAACCAAAAGTTAGCATTGCCAGGACAGACCTAATGTCGTGTCTTCGCTCGGAAATAAGTTGTTCAGGGACGCCAGTATTAAAGAAATGTTCTAGGCGACAGAACAAGTTGGTTAAAAGATACGCAAAATGCGAAGCAATCACCTGGTCACTCGGTGCCAAAGCCAGGAAGAGATGATAGACATAAAGAGCGCAATTCTGAATCCACAAACCAACGCGATAATTGCATCTGTTCAACTTGGCAAGGCTGATGTTGTCTAGACATAGAAACATAGATTGTGAATTAAAAACGATACGAAAACCAGAAGTGCTGGAGCTCTGAATTGAAGCGCGGCAATTTCCAAACTGGGACACACGAAGATATTCATGGTGTTCACTTACCATCGAAGCTGCTTGGCCCGCCCACCGCCCCAGAACTTGGAAAAGAAGAATGAGCCGCCCACACTTCTATGATCCAAGGTAGGCAAAGCCCGCGATTTTTGGATTTCCTGCGCGCACCAGTCGTCGAAAGCTAGGTTTGTGACCCGGTTCAGATAGCTTCGACCACACTTCAATGCCAACAAACAACCGATCTAGCTCGTTGACCTAAACATCAAAAATTCCGTTGGACATATCCTATGCAGGAGACCAGGTAACTTTTGGAGCTAAGTTCTGATGCTTCAGAGACTCAGTCGCATAATCGTGCTTGCATCGAGTTTGAAAGTGTTTGTTCTTGTTCAGCACCTCGTCCGGCCGTAATTCTGATACAAGTGTGTATCACTTCCGGGCGACTGCGGTCACACCAATTCGTCATGTACGATATCACTGTATTGTTGTTAGACTGCCCCAGTGTCGATGCACAGTCGATGCACAGCAGATGCACAGCAGTAATCCAAGTCGGCTCGACTTCTTTGTTGTGACCGGCGCGTTCCCGAAGTGATGGCCGCATTCCGCTAGACTAGTACCAAATAGGCACCGGGTGAGTCTATTCCGTTCCGACAACGAGGTCGAAATTGGTCTTGACTTCTCCTCCAGCTTGAATACATAGTACTTACTAGTAGCTGGTTGAATGCGATAGAACCAAAGCACACACTTATATCGATCAATATATCCGGCTTCTGTGGAGTTGCTGATGTCAATAGTCACGCTCTGCGTGCATATTCATGTCTCAGAATCTGTTGTGCTCTTCATTGGATGCAATCTGCATTATATTGGCGGCTGATAATACATGTGATGAATGGGGTTGATCCCGCTGGCTAATACAACATATTTTCTATCCTGGACGCCTCGCTAACCATGAACTAATATCATCCGTTCATAACTCAATTCACATCCAGTTTTTCGCCTACTTTTATCTCTCAACGTCTTTCAGAGGACCTTCCTCACAGTCACAAAATTCCTCATCATCGAAGACCTCTTCTTCGCTCATTATCCTTGTCTCCATCCACCCTTCGCTATGGAGGCTGTCGTGCTTGTCGAATTGCTTGTTGCGACCGCTATAATCACCGGCTCGTTTGCTACCGTTCGGAACATGGAATCTTCGATCCACACGGACAAGGATGTAGAGGTAAAGGACAATCGCCTCGATAACAAAATTGAAGAAATAGTAACACCACTTGGCATTATACCAAGCCGGATTGTTACGACCTCGGAGCGGCATGGCAGCTGTTCCGCACCTGAAACCAGCGCCCAGAGTGAGCAGAGCGGTGCTGGCAAGTAAAATGCCAACCTTGGTCCGCCAGCGACCGATTCCGAATTTCTCCAATCTTGTTTTACGGTGAACGATTACACCCAAGATGACCAACGGCAAAGGGAGGAAACACACAAAAGTCAGAAAGCTAGCTGCGGTGAGCTGGATATTTCGATCGATCCGACGAGTGTTGCGGTTGAGAGTGTAGAAGCTTTGCACCGTAGTCGTGATCACCATGATCAACATGAGGATTATGAGAGCATAGAGGGCTTTGAAACCGATCGACACCGCTTTGTGCCATCCGAAATGAGGATGAGCGGCCCGAAGAATCCGTTGGGTAAAAATGAGGTTGATGATGAACATCAGGATGATGCCGGCGCTGGTGAAGATCTGAGCAGCAATTGCTACTCGAATATTCGTACTTCGTGCCGCCCAGACGATGCGCATCACCATCGTTGCCACTCGAGCCATCGAGAAACCAAACATCAGGGCTGACATGATGAACTTGTGACCTCTCCTCATATTGACCTTGAAGATCGTCATGTGGCCCACCGCGGAACCGATGAAGAGGGCCAGGAAGACGGCAGAGATAGGCACATCGACACTGACTGTGGGGACGCCACCCGTAATAGCGCCTGGTGGAGGGTAGGGTGGTCCTGACAGAGGCCTTCCCTAGTAACTGTTAGATTCTCCAGAGAGTTTGGGGTGAAGGTTGACTGACATCTTGCTGGGCAGACATGATGCCCGCTGACCGTGGTAGATATGATTTGCAATGACAGTTCGAATAGATTTGCAGAATACGTGAGGTTCCAACGCGTAGGTACGCTTAATGTTCTCCCCTCGAAGGTGAGTCGATGATTAGGCGGATTACTATGTATTAAGAGGTATCCGGGAAGGGGGCCTGGTTGCTGGGGCGAAGCTTCAAATATGGCTTCCGCAAGTAGAAAGAGAGACACGGTAGAAATGAGGTAGAGCTTACCGACATAAGAGCTGCAGGTCACCCGGCCTCCAGGGTCAGCTTTCCGAGGCACGCTTCTTCCATGCTACAATTAGATAGGTAATCTACCGCAGTACGTACACAGATGGCAAAGTGCCCAGTCCCCGGGGGGCAGAGCGCCGTTTGATGGCATGTCGCCAGTTAATCACTGGCAAAGAAGAGCAAAGAATAGCAAGGGCACCCCTGCTTATCTGCTCCGGCCATGTGCATCGGTGCACGGAAGTCCGCTTGCCGACGTCACCACTTGTTAAGCTTTTCCGGTCATGAATCTTCTGATTGGGCTGAATGACGCCCAAAAACTGCTCCTCCTACCTAACTCAAACCCAGATTTATAATGTTGCTAGTTTTTCCAACGGAGGGGCGTGCGAAAAGGACCGACAAGGCCGGAGAGGATTCAGATGCTAAGGACATCTCGTGTCTCATGGATGGGAGAAGTACTGGGGCTTGCCTACTGCAGTGTTGTGTAGCCCCTAATTGCATCCACGATCAACCCTTGGTGAGACAAGAGGCCTGGCAAGAGACGTGTAACGTCGAACCCAGTACAATGGTTTTTCCGGGCTCATTGTGTCGTGTCAGGTTGCACAGCCAAAGATTATGGGCATCTCTTCTTGACTGTACCGATCTTAGCATACTCCTGTCCTGGCATACCTTTATTCATATCGCCACATGCTAGGTAGCAGAATCTGCCTGCCGTACTTCTACAGCTGATATACAGAGTAAACAGGGTGTTGTCGCTCACTCAAACCTCCCATAACCCATCATCAGTGCCTGCTCTTCTATTCCAGGCCTGCCCTTTCTGCACATGCCCAATGAGCCAGGGTTTTTTGGCATTGGCGAAAGCATTCTTGTACGCCATTCCCCATCTCTCTTCAACCTCCATCAGTACCGCCTTCTGCGGCTGTGCATAAGGCGGTGGTGGAACCTTTGGTTTTGGTCTTCTGCCCCGAGGGGTGCCACTGCCACTGCCACTGCTTCTTGGCGAAGGCTTCGAAGCAGGATCATCCTTCATGACCTCCTTGATTATCTCTTTCAACTCTGCATCATTGCTAGTAATCTGTGCGCGTAGATATCGAAGGTCAGTGTTTGAATTGAGTGTGCTCATCACAGTCTCTCTGGGGGTGTAGTGGATCTTGCTCAGATCAATCTCTCTGCCACCCTGTGGCTCAGTCTGAGGATCGAGATGAGCTTCCTCACCCTTCTCCAGCAGCTGCTTAATGTCAAGGCTCTCACCATGCGGGATTTTCTCTGGATGGCTGGGTGTGATACAGTCCATATTGACCTCTTTCCTCAAGACATGGTCGATATCAATGGCGGAAAAATATGCGCAGCTCTGCGGCAAGTCGTCAATGCCCATCTGCTGGCTGAACATGGCTCTCGTCCATACATTCGCCACTTGCAGCGCCATCGCGGCTTTGTATCTGTCTTCCGATTTCACCAGATAACGGATCTCATCGTGAACGGTGATAGCCAGACGCGCATCGAGATTAAATCGTCGGATGAGATAGTCCATGCTGATGATCAGAAGATGGAGATAATCCACACCACTGGATTGAATGGCCCAGTTAATGCGAGAAGTCATGAAAGAACCCTTGTTGATGAACCTACGCATCAGTGCTTCTGTAATGCCTGCGCCGAGGACGGGGGTACGAGGCCGTTCTTGTTCAGCAAACTCTTCAAGCTTGTTAAAGACGAATGATTCGGTACCGCCTCGCCAGAACCCCGACGTTGCTAGAGCCTTGCGGGTTGTTTTGGTGCCTTTGGTCTCCTTGTAGAGCTTCGTGGCGATGGCATTGGTTTCATCTTCGGACAAGTTAGGGTTGAACTGACGGAGTAAGGTGGCCGCAAACTTCAGGCCAGCGCCGTAAATGCGGCCGTAGTTAAAGACCTTGGCATCATTGCGGCTGATTTCTAAGATCTTCGCCGTCTTGGAATGCAAATCCGTGCCAGCTGCTTTTGTGCCTTCTAGTGTCATGAACCCGATAGCATTACCACCGTGCAGCTGAAATTGTGCGTCTCCAACCAATGAGGCAATCCAGAGCTCTTGAGAGTCAACGTCTGCACCAACAAAGGAGTAACCAGGCGGGGCTTTGACCATCGCCTTCAATTCCGAACCAACCCTATTTTCCTTTGCATTAGATGCCGTAAGCCAGGTATTCTCAACGGCCCGACGCGTTATGGTTCCCATGGGAATGATCTGGGGTAGAATATAACCTTGCTGGGATTTTCCTGCCAACGCCGGGTCTCGGTCGGCATCTCTGACCACAATCTGAGAAGTAATTCTATCCCGTGCCGAGATCCAGTATGAACACGATGCATTCATCTCCAACGCTTCTTTGGCTAAAGCAAATTGGGAAGATAGAGTTCCGGCCTCGAAATACTGAAGATATCCTTTTGCTAAAGGAGAAGCACAACGAGCTGCAGGGCCGTCCTTGTGAGGAAGTTTAAAGTAGATGTGTCTCTGGTCATCTCGCAGCACTGGATTCTTCTCGTCTGACATATCACATTTTGTGACAGGAGAATTGTCGTACTTGACCGAATCCATATAAGGAACCTGAAATGTCCAGCCATGGAGGTCAGACCACACAAGGGGGTGTCCGTCCCACGTCAATTTGAGGAGCAAGGGCGCAATCCGAGTCCGCACTGTCAAATTGATTGAGGATGCATTAGACATGAAGAGATCCTTATACCACTTGGGCATTCCCGGTTTCTTCTGTCTTGCAGCGGGTTTGGGCTCTTCCCCCTTTCTCTTGGGCTTGTTCATTTTTATTTCCTGGCCAGTCCAGTCCAGCTGTTTGAGCCACGGATCCCTTTCAAAAATGTTTGGCTTTTCTTTGACCTCCAATGCAGCATCGGACAATTGCAGCAAGCGTTCCTGGACATCCTTCAAACGCTTCTGGTATGTCGCTTCTGCGCGCTGTAGGTATTGCTCCCATGTATCATTGACAGGTAGAATCACTGAGGACAAGTGTCTTAGTGCTCCAAAACTGACAGGATGCGGGCAAGTCTCGAGAAAGTTTGGAAAGACCTTAGTATAGACTCGATGTGTAATCGCAACATCAGCTGCGCAGTAATCAAGAAGCTCCTCTAGCTTCTCGCAAACACCATCACGATCTAACTCGCCGAAATAGTCCCGCTGAGCTTTGTCGATAGTGACGCCACAGTGAAATTTGGCAACGTCACGTAACGAGTTGATAGAACTCCTTCCCACCCAGAGCTCTTCCTCCTCTTCGCTTAGCATCCTGTTGTCGAGAATCGTGTTGAGTTCATGCAGATTGCCATCACCAGCTATTCTTTCTCTCAAATCTTTGTTCTTCTTATGCTTCATCCAGGTAGGCCGTTGCTGAGAGCACATTCCATTCACGGCAACGTGCAACGACATTGTGTCAACAAAGAAGTTCTTCGATTGCTCGATATTGTACTCTTCGCGCACACGCGCGCGATCATATCCAATATTGTGGCCTACCACAATCCGAGGCACTGAGATATCTCCCAATGGTATCAATTGTCGGTCATTTTCTGTTTCTCCGAGCAGCCATGGGGATAGCCAGGCATACCATGCTTTTGGGCTGGCTGCGCATGCCATTACCGCGAAAGAGCTCTCCTTCCACATAACTTCTGTGTCGAAAGACAACATGTTCTCTTGCGGCGCATCAACCTCTTCTGTGGACCCATCACTGTTATACTTGGTCCAGCCACTCCTTCGTACCCACTTTCGTGGCCTTGGTGGCAGGTTGGTTGTCACGAACTGCTTCGCATGTTGTAGATATGGTTCCGAGGCATCCATGCCAAGTTTGTGGAAATGTTCATCCAGTGTCTGGCCTTGAACACATGGTAGATCAAACGCAATCGGTCCTGAGTCATCTTGGTTTCTACCATATAAATCGTGTCGCGTGAGATGATCCTTGGAAAGTTCAACAAGAGATGAAGGAGGAGCGCTCGATCGACCGTTGAATATCTGAGGATGGACATAACTACTCAATTGCTGGACGCCGATCTCATTGTAACGAGCGTCTGCTGGTGCTGGATCGCTGTCAGCTTCGGCTGGGGCTGCAAAGAGCATCGAACGTACTTGATAGACTTTTGCCATCACGACTCGATTCTGATAACGCTGTGTCCACATCCGTCGCATAACGTCGCTTCAATTGCGCAGCAGCTCGGGCGGCGAAATATGGTCTTAACCTGAACTTTTGAGCTGTGCGTACATAGCCTCTTGCACATTGAGTGCTTGTTGGTGACCAGAGCATCGCGCGGCATATACCTGTCACCGAGGCGTTTGCAAACAAGATGGTGGGACACGAGATAGACGCAGAGCACCGTCGACCCTTCGATTGGGGAGAAGAGCTTCAAGTTTGCCCATGAATTTAGCATTACTAGGAGATGAACGCGATCAGACTCTGCGATAAGCTTTAACTAACGTAACCGGACGACATGTGCAACGGGTCCCCATTTGCAACAAAAATGGCTTGGTGTTCTGGCATATTTCGGTTATTCAAAGGTTGCTGGCCTTAATCTGGAAATAGAATTGATTGGAATAACTTAAATAGGGCCTTTTGTGAATAAAACTTGCTTGATTCTGGCTGTTTGTTCATTCTCTGTGCTGGGTTCAATGCATATTGGTAGAATGGCAGCAAGCTAAAACTAAGGGGTTGATCATTTTGGTAGGGATAGAGACAGTTAAGACGTTGCAAATGTGGTCCGGTCACGTTAGTTAAACTGTGGGGCGAAGATGTGCACCCTGACAGTATCCACCCACCTACCAGGGTTCGGAATTAAGCAGAGCAATCCCTTTCCCCAACTTTCTTCTCCAACATTGTCGTCCCACTTCAATATTCCGTAGTAGTCCACTCCATACTGTCTGAAGCCATAGCAGCACAATGAGGAGGAGCACTCTGCATGGCTGCAACCATGAGTATTACTTTAGATTATGGCTCCTGGCTCGGTGATGAAGGAGATACTACAGACAGCGCAACCTCTCGTGAGCCATCGCCTGCTCGCTATCATTTAGACCAGAGAAGTGAATATGGGCAAAACAGTTCATATACTAGTCGAGGGCGAGACCCCACTACCCTCGAAATCGCACGTCTTTTCTCAGACTCCGACGAGACCGTTCCAGATCAAGACCTTCTCACAGCTGAGATGAACGCGGCTTCTTCCGCACGCATTTCAGACAACTTTTCCCATCCGCCTCCGAATCTGCCTCGTGGCAGCCAAGGCACAAACCACATCTCTGGCGCAACCGATACCGACGACTCCCCAGTCATTGATCTTACCGACTCACCTCCACAAGCTTCAACCAGACCAACTACGACTACGACTCCTTGGCGAACATCTTCACCAACCAGATCACTCCAACACCCAACCATGCCACCAACTCTTCGAAGTCAAGCGCAGTCAAGAAGATCTCCTCAAGCTTCCTCACCGCCACATCACACAGATGAGCGCCCAACAAAACGCCAAAGGATACATGAAAGGCCACCAGAGACATCACCTGCCGTACAGCAACCACAGCCAGTCAGGAACGACAGCATACAAGAAGTCGAAGCCGTAGACTTGACCGAGGTCAACGACGAATCCGACCTGTCCAAAGCAATTTCAAAACAACAACAAGATGCTGTACAATCGCAAATGAAACAAACCCAAGGCGACGACCCACCAGGCCGGACACCACTAAGTTCCTACAAATGCCCTATCTGCATGGACACACCGGAGGACGCCACAAGTACAGTTTGCGGTAAGCAGACCACTTCTGGCTAGATCCTTCCCTTCCTCCCTTCCCCCAACAAACAATGTCTCCATATTCTAAACATTTGTTTCGTCCCTAGGCCACCTCTTCTGCCACAAATGCATCCTCGACACCCTCCGCTTCAGCGCCCAACAACGCCGCGACGAGGCCGCTACAACCAACAACAGCAAAAGCAAAGGCACCTGCCCGGTCTGCCGCAAACCGCTGGCTCGAAAAGACGAGCCAGGCACCGGCCGCACGCTCGTCCCGCTCGAGATCAAACTTTCCACCAAGAGAGATCTGAAGGGGAAGGGAGTCGTGGGAAGGAATGGTAATGATGGGACGTCAGCAATGCCAGGGAGGGCGAGAATGCAGACCAAGACCGAGAGAGAGAGTTCGGCGGATATGTGGAGGGATTTAACCACGCTGGAACATGGCTGACTCCATCCCGGCCGACCAGATTATTAGCATAGCATAGCGGGCATGACGAAGGAAAATGAGGCTCCTGCACGAGAACAGATATGAAAAAAAGTCAAACAGCCTCTCATGATCGTCGAGTATACCATTTCCTTGCCACCCTGATTGACAATGCCTGATGCTGCATCACTCCCCGGCCACGAGTAAAAGGACAGACCATCGCCAACCGGCTGACAATATCTGAGGGAGAAAACAATTGATTCCGCATTCCCACCTGTGCGTGAACGACCTCGTCTACTCCATCTCGAAACACCCTCCCAGTACAAGGCTTTTGCAAAGGTAGAGAAGAGTAGCAGCAGCAGCAGAAGAAGTAGGGGGAGGGAAATCCAAACGACAAGTTACGACACCGAACCTGACCTGACCTGACCTGACCTGACCTGACCTGCCCAATGCAATGCTGCTCCATTTTCTTCCTTTTCTCTGTCGCATCGTAGTGCTATCTCCAGCCAAAAGACTCGATCCGATAGAGCTGTCGCACAGGGTAGATAGATACACGCCATCAGCAGCTGTAGGTCGATGTTTATATTACCTACCTACCAACCAATCTACCATGAAAGCGCCACCCCGAAGCGCGGCCCAACACTGCCAAAATCCCCATAACCGACCGAGCGACCGAGCGACCAAGCAACATCAAGCCTCGAGAGTATTCCTCCGAGTCATCAGACCCCTGCCCACAGGCCCTAGCTCCAACGCGACCTCGTCACCCGCAGCCGCGTTGTCCAGCACGCCCATCCCCCTGCGGCCGAGGATCGTGTCGAGCGCGCCCTTCAGCGCTTCGGGGTCGTATTTCATCCCCTTGACCAGCGTCTCCGCCCCATCGGCGCTCGTCTCCTCGATCTTGCGGCCGTAGAGTTTCACGGTGTGGATGCCCAGGGCGCGGAGGCGGGACGCGTCGACGTGGGGGACCATCTCGGAGGCCCCGGAGAGGTGGATCAGGTGGGTTATGTATGTTGCATGGATTGATGGGGGGTGGGGTTTCGGCGGGGTAGGAGCGGACGCGGTGCCATTGACGGTTGGTGCTGCGGGTGCTGCTTCGCCGGTGGGAGGTACCGCTTCCCGTTGCGGTGAAACGCCTCTCCAGCTCACCCCTCTGCTCTCCTCCCCGGCCCTGACGATCGCTTCCACGAAATCCAGTGCGGTGAATGGCTCGCGTCTCGGTCCGACCTCGCGATCCAGACTCCCATTCAGAATCAGGATTTTCGTCCTCGTGGCGGGAGACTGGCGGATTGCTTCTCCGACGCCTCGGAGCACAATGCTTGGGATGATGGATGTGTAGAGGCTGCCGATGCTGTAGATGATGGCTTGGGCGGAGCGGATAGCTTCACATACTCTGGGATTTGGCGGTGGAGAGATTTCTTGGCCGTAGGGGTTGATGTACCATACGCGCTCGATACGGGAGGGGAGGTCATCATTCGTGGGAGACGAAGAGTTGTGGGAGTAGGATTTGGAGAATTTGATGTTGGGTTTGCGAAGCGTCGCGAGGCTACCCGGAAGATTGGCGTCCTCGTGTTCAGGATCTGCTTCTCCTCCATACTTCAATTCGTGGTCGCTGTCAAGCGTCGCTGCTGCTAGTTCGTCATCCGTAGGAATGGCTTCCGGGTCGCCTAGGCTAAGACGGCTGCGACGTTTTTTACTGCCGGGCGACAAAGGCGAAGATGGAGCTTCAAGAGCTGTGTGCTCCGAGGGATGAGAGATGCTGTTCTGCCCTACGATAACTGAGCCGTCGGCAAGACCGGCAGCAATGTGGTGGGTAAAGTTGCTGTTTATGGCTGGGATTACGCGGACTATGTCGTCGGGCACACCACATATGCTGCCCAGCAGATAAATAGCTGATTCGAAGCTTCCGCTGAACAGGCGAGCACCGGTTAGGAACAGGTTGCCAACACTTGCAGAAGTAAAGTCAAAGGTTGAGGTTGGTGGGCGGGAGCGCTTGAGTATCTCAAGGTTGAGGAGGTTGAAGAAGGAGCGGATGAGTTGTTTCTTGGAGGAGGGAATCAAGGACCACAACGGAGAGGTGCCAGATACTAGGGCTTGCCATTCGACGGAGGCTGCGTGGGAAGAGGAGGAGGAAAGACGGTGGTTAAAAAGGTTGGCAATGGCAGTACGTTCGGTAGACCTCGGATGAGTGGGTATAAGACGAACGAGACGACCTGAAAACATCATAAGATCTGACCATCTCTGCTGCAGCAAGCCAGGTAGAGGTAGACATACTTCTCACATCTCCTATGCCTGGTCCGCCGAAGACTCGTATCAATTCCGACGAAGAGCCGCCGTTGTCACTGATGGGGATGATGTAGCTCAGAGGACAATTTTTACTGTCTCGCACGGAATTGAAAACATCGACAAGACTGTTAGCAGCACTGCCGCCAGAGAAAACAACTATGCCTCGACTCATTGAACACGAACAGTCAGACTATAATCAAACGAGAATGAGTTGAAAATGGGAAGCACCATGGTTTGTTCACGAAACTTCTTAGGACAAATAAATATTTACGACTATCGAGATAGAACGGACTCACGCCATTTCGAAAACAAGGTTGACCAGTCAATTCGGACTGGACACATCAAGGATTACATAGATTGGGTTATTTCAAGATTCGTGTACAGAAGACAGAGTGTGTCCAAGATGGCAGGCATCTTAGCCACCAGCCAAGTACTTAATCTACGCTCGGGTTACTACCAATCGTACACATCGCTCCATCACGATTTCGTCGAATTGGTCATGAAAACGCCGCCTTTCATTAAATAGCCTCCTGGGTCATGGGAAGACACAGGAGAGCGGAAGGATTTCATTTCTCCCCCCTTCTTCTTCTTCCTCTGATAATCAAACCCCGGTCTGCTTGCCTGAGAGTCCACCTCCAGATCTGATCCCGCATCAAAAACATCATCGTCGCCACGACAGTGGGGGTCGCAATTCTCCAAAAGTATGTATCTGCGTCATTCGCTATAGCTGGAAATATTTCGAAATTCATCCCAAAATATCCACAAAGAAATGTTAAAGGAAGGAAGAAGCAGGTAACAAGCGTGAGCTGGCGCATGTTCTCATTCTGGTAGGCACCAATGGTGTTGAAGATCAGTTCGACGAGGTTATCGGCAGAGCGGCGCATTTGGTCGTAGCTATTGGTGATGAGGATGCAGTGATCTTCAACGTCACCCAGATAGGTTTGCGTGAGAGGCGTAATAGTAACGCCTGACTTGAATTCCTTTGGGAAGAAATTAGGAGTCTTAGCCCCTGGTGTGCTGACAGGAGCGTCAGATTTGTGACCCTTCAAGGCGGTCACGACGCTGGTGATGGGCTGGACAGCATTACGGAGGACCGCAATCTCAGAGGTGAGGATGTAGAGACGTTTGGCTTGATGGATGTCCGGATCGGTGAGCACGTCCAACTCGAGGCCGCCCAGGGCGTCCTGATAGGCACCACTAACTTCAAGAGAGAGGTCGATGATCGCGTCTATGATAGCCTGCAAGACCATGCTAGCGTCGCAGGATTGGCGAAGGATGGTTTCGGGGGACTTCAAACGCCGTACGATCGGATCTTCAATGGCCTTGGCAGAGGCTTCGAAGAACGACGTGACCGTATTGTCATCGTTGAGAAATATGGACACTTGCTCCATGATGACCTTGTAGTTCTTCGGTTTAAGAATGGCGTGTCTCTCCATGTAGTCCACACGATCTTGGTTGGCGCCGGCATGATAACGTTGGAGCGTGCGTGCGCTGTGAGTTGGGACGTCTGGATTGGTCATCGCAAACCCTTTGGCTGAGTTGAGCTCATTCGGATTTGGCATATGCTTTTGCCTTCTGTACCCCAAAATATCATTCCAAAAGTCCCAGATCACTCCATTCCTCGCTTTTCTTCTAGACTTCTTCTTCAACTTCCTTTCGCCCTCCTTGCTCTTTCTCATCTTCTTCCAATGAGGCTTCGAATCTTCTTCGCTGTCCGATTCACTGGATGACTCATGCAAATTCTGAAGTCTCTCCAACTTCTGCAATGCGACGATGACGAATGTATGATCGTTGTACCAATCCACTTTCGACCGGTTTCGAGTATTCATCAGATCTTCCACCGCAAGCCTATGCAAGCCTTTGTGGTTTCCGAGGATCCTAATGACATCCCATGACAATCCGTTGACGTTGATCCATCGACAAGTCACCCACTTTGCCTTTGGCTGTTTGAGGAAATCCGCAAGCTCGTCGTTGTCGAGTTCATACATTTCCATCTTGTTCTGACTGAAGTCGACAATGGTAATCTCACAATGAGTGTTCAAATCCTCAGGATGTAATTCGTCTAGATGGCTACTATGGTCGTAATGTGGTGCAGGATCGGACGTGTCAACCCCAGGCTCAAGTCCTGGCTGCCATGCACTAGCCTTCCCACCCAGGTGCTCGGGCGCATACTTCGAGGTGTTACTTCTGCCGCGCCTCCTTAAAGACTTCACAGAGGCGTGCGACATATCAGTAGCAGACCGTCGCACAGAAGTAATAGGCGTGGTGGTTTCATGGCTGCGCTTGCCAGGATCGACTATTTGTACACGCAGGTTCTCGGGGATCACTTCAAGCACAGGGAAGGGGGTTGATTGCGCTTCCAGGTCGACGTGCGAAGGTTGTGAAGGTTGAGAACTGTCAGGGTCATTGGCAGTATTCCATGAAGATTCATGATTTCCCATTGGAGTTGCCATGGAGGATGCCTAGGACACACCAGGCTTTTCGCATTCCTAAGCAAAACAGAGACACCTGAGTGAGGTGGTGAATTGGCCACGGACCCGGGGTAATATTTAAATATTTAATATTATCTCAAGTGAAAAAGCTATGGACGTATAAGAATATGAGCATGAAACAGTCGCATCATTTTCCCCGCAGCGTCTAATTAGTTGAGACCCTGACTTGATTCACCGGATTTCTTACTAAGTCCCAAGCACCCGCTCTTTACCAGGTACAGTCAGTAGAGCCTGAGAGCTTATCGCCAGTGAAGCTTTGGGTGGCACGAAGCTTAAGAAATGGTGAATATGGTACCAGATCAGACTACCCAATGCCTCAAGCCCACTGCCCCTCTTCAAGCTGTGCAGGGAGTATGCAGAATCCTCCAAGTGTGAGTGACAGAGCGCAGCATCCAATACATACGCGACCGGTCTTACTAGATTACCGGGCTCCATTTACTCTTCAGGGTTTGATTGAAGATTTAGCCTGACAAGCGCAGCTTCTTCTCCTTACTAGGAACAATTCCTCTACATGACTAAAGGCGGCTCAGCTGAGGTACAGCACTGATAAGTCCTTTCTCCCTTCTTGAATAACACATGAACCAAAAACCATTGCGTATCACAATCCCGCATGTTTGCTTTCTGCATGTGCATGTGCGTGTGAGAGTGAGAGTGACTGTGTTTGATAGATACTCATCCTAATGGTGACTTCCATTGTCCTGACATTGCACATTGTTCGTCATGGAGGCTCTAGAACTCGTAGCAATTATCACTACATTCGTCGAGTTGGGGGTGAAAGTGCTCAAGCGACTGAAGGAATTTCACGATGACGCAAAAGTTCCAGGGCCTTTTCGATCTGTTAGGAATGGCCTACCGTTGACTATCAGCACACTCAAGCGAACACAGGCTCAAGCAGAAGCTGGCCACCTCAGTCTTGGAACCACAAAAACCTTGGCGCCTTCCGTTGGAGGTTGTTTGAGCCAAGTCAGATACCTCGAAGATAAACTGGGTAAACTTCTATCCAGAGACGACAATGGCTTGGCCAACGCAGCCCCATCAGTGGCTGCACCCCATTGATCACTGCGCCAGGGCGGAAACAAGCTAGCGTCGTCACTTTATTGCTTGACAACGGAGCCCGCATCAACGCCATGGACAATAAGCAGACCATACCCTTGTGTGCTGCAACGCTCTTGGGCAATGGAGATATTGTGAAGCTAATGCTCTATCGGCTTGCGCGTATCAATCCGCCCAAGAACGTCGGTCGATCTGCACTACATGAAGCAGCCAGGCGCGGACAACACATGACGGTACAGCGGCTGCTTGACAGGGGCGCCAAAGTAAATGTTGTTGACGATCATGGATGGACTCCACTGCACAATGCTTGTAAGTAGGGATAGAAACGGACACCCAAGTTTCTGCTAAAGAAGGGCGCAAATCTTGATCTCAAGAACAAGGCTGGTCTAACACCTTTAGATCTGGCCAGCAAACATAGTCATAGTAAGGTCACAAAGCTATTACTGGAGCACAAGAAAGCCAAAGTCCACACACTCTGCCCAAAACCGAAAGATGGAGCTGAAAGACTTGACAAAAGTCCAGTAAGGATACTTTATATGGAGCCGAAGCAGAAAGACTAATGAAAAGGCATGCTCGAAACCCCGGCAGTTCTTCTCGAAATGATTGGGCTTAGGCAATTATTGTTCGAAGTGGAACTTCCTGAGATGACTTTGCGTTGCTATTCATGCCAGAAACGCGATAACGAAGCGGACAAGAGCTGTTCGAGAACGATCTTCAGATCGTTTTCGTGTCTTGAAATTGTAGCAGAGCTCAGAATGAGACGATTGCAGAAGTAGGCGACGGAGTCGCGATGTAGAAGAAATGTGTGGATTAATCACCAGCGCCGGCTGTCCGGGGTCAGAATGCAAGAAGCAACACAGCAGACATATGAAAACGAACTTACTTGTAGGCTGCGGCAACCTTTGGTGCTTTTCGTTTCTCCTTTTGATGAATTTTTTCCTTTTGTCGCTTCGGGCCTTCCTCTACTTCGGCAGAAAGCTCTCCGATGGACCGCTTACGGGATCGTCCCTCCCCGCTGTGATCACTGGATGGTGATGCATGTTTGTCAGCGTTCGTACCAACTCTTGCAGTATTGCTAAGAATTGGCTCTGACTGAGGTGATCCCGCCCCAGGAGCATCGCAGCTGCTATCCTGGCAATTTGTTGGGGAGTTACTCAAAGGATTTCGAGCAACGGTACTAGACAGTCGTCGAGGACGATTTTCGTTGTTATTCGAGCATGAATCATGACAAGCGCTAGTTGGAGGAGTTTGCAAGCTTAGTGCTTGCTGACGAGGTGGTGGAGATCCACTCCTACTATAGCCTTCCCAGCTTACGCCATCAAAAGGATCCGGTCGTTGTTCTGCAGGAGCACTAAGGAAATAATATTGAGCAGCTGTTTCTGGAATGGGTTATGAAAACACGTACTAGGTGTCATGACGCGTATTCGCGTCAAATGTAATAGTTGTGTGCGTGTCTTGTGTAGATGTTGGTTTCGGTGCTGTCGACCGTCGAATTGATGTTCGCACCGGCTTCGCAAAGCCTGTCACCCCGAGTGCGGCCAGTTTTTCTTCTTGCTCCCTTGCTGATCGCTCTTCCTCGGACTCGAATGATTGACATGGTGTTGGGAGGCCCTCTGCACAATAACCGATATTATCTTCGGCTTCTTGTGCCTCATCTGAATACGCTGTCTTTTTGCAATCAAGCTCTCCAGGCTCTTCTCCTCGATAAACTGCGTCTCTCTCAACAGAAAAAACCTGACAACGCTTTGCTATCAGCTCATCCTTCGATATAACTTCACAGTCATCTGTTAGCATGTCAAAAGCAGGATCACCGACGTCTTTAGCTCCACTGATACTTTCGGAAGAGTTTCGTAACAAATCCTCAACAGTAAGGTTCCGGAAATATTTAGAAACGGGTGTTCCTGCTGGAAGGCTTGCGGCGATAGGCAGGCGCGTCACAAAGTCTTGGTCCGTCATGGTGCTAGGTAGTGGCTCTGCAACAGGGTTGGCAGGATGAGAGGCTACAGCAATGTATTAGTAGTCTAGAACAAAGAGATGACAACCTGTTTTACCAATGTTCTTACAATCACAAGAGTCCTCTGAGTAATCAAGGGTTCGCAAGTCCTCCCACCATGACTCTTCCGCTGATTCATCGTGTAAATCCTGCTGTGATCCTTCCGGCTGTTGACGATGATTGCGCCCATGCTGTTGGGACAGGAGTGAATCTCGCTCTTTGGCAAAAGGTCCCTGCCAAGGTTTTTGATATGGTCCATTCGCAAAGGCATGGTTGGATGTTGCTACAGCAGCTGAAGAATGTTGCCGTACACAGTTTGATGAACCGACAACGTTCTGCTGTAAAGCACTGCTGGTCGAAGACGTGGGACTTGTACACTGGTAATTGCTTGCAACAATCGAGGGAGACAATCCGGGCGCAGTCCACTGCTGACTTTGACGCCGAGATAGAGTATTAAAAGCCCACTCAGGTTGCTGCCATGGCTGTGGTTGGTGGCTTTTTGCTGGCATTGCCGTCGGTGTGCCAGCATTTTGCTGCAAATTCTGAGTGGCTGGGGGAAAGGTGAAGCCTCTCTGTTGAACATGCGATTGCTGATTATAAGGGGCACGATTAGTGGCTACTGGTGGAACAGGGTATTTAGTGATGACTGGAGCAGTGATTCTCTGCCGCTTGTTGGGATATTGGCTGGTCACTGCACCGCTAGAGATCGTCCTTAGCATCCTTCTCGAACTACACAGTAGACAAAACTTACGCAGGTACCGCGCGACGAGGCTCCGGACAGTTTTGAGCCCAGTGGTTGAAGCCGCCACAGTTGTAGCAAGCTTGAGGAGATGCTGCAGATATGGACTTACGCTTGGAAATGTCTTGTAGAGTCGTTCCAGCCTGATGTGACTGACTGGCAGACCAAGGTTGCGAATATGAAATAGGCTGCTTTAATTGCTGTTGATTGTACAATAACGGCTGCGAATTCTGATAACCTGATAGGCTGCCAGCCCCGCTTGTGCATTGATACATTGTAATAGAATCTTTGCTGATATCCTGCTTGCAAGATCAGTTGGCACTTCGCTCAGAAAAGTACTGGAACATTCAAGGGAGATGTACGTACCAGGAAAAGTGTCAGGGCACTTCCACAATTTGCTGTGCTCCAGAAATTTAGATATCACTTTTGCGGTCTCGACCAGCAAGCAAACACGCCCATCAAATGTTGCCAAAGGCAGTATCCTCAGAAGAAGCCTTGTGACTTGGAGATCTTAGATGGGTCTCCCCAAAAGGAGCAAGAAACCCTCCAGGTCTTAGTGTGAACTTGGGCAATGGGAAATGACTACCTCCAGGCTGAGAGCAGGATACCATCCACAGCAAGAGGTATAAATCTGCAAAGGTTGCGAAGAGCGGGCTACATGGCTATGTATTACTGACGAGAAGGGAAGTAAAAGGTACAATCAGAAGTATGCAACAAAGGTAGATCAGCTAACCACATATAGTGTTAGCGTAAAAAATTAGATGTGCAGTATGAACGAAGCACTTCCAGTGATATTGTGGAGTTGGTGAAGTTCGTAGCAGGAACAACCACGGACACTCTCATGGTTGTAATGATCATCTGCCAGAAGAGGACGTTGATTCCGGCTGCTGTACGCAAATGCGTTCTGTGAGTCGCCCACAATGATGCGGGATCCTCATCAGTCGCCTCTTCGTACCACACCTCGTCCTCTCATTGTCCCCCTTCACAACTCCTGCAGTCCGTGCTGGACGTGCAAGCCTCGGCCGGCGGCTAGCAGAAATGCCAGGACTTCCATGTAAGATCGACGGGTTCCCAGTCCGAGGTTGCATAGCTCACCATTTTCCAGCAAGCATCGATCTTGATGAATGCATTGAACGACTGTACAAAAAGGAGCTACTGGCAGAATCCGTCATCGAAGCAATATGTGCAAAGGCTAAAGAACTTCTCATGAAGGAGAGCAATGTGGTGCACATAGCCGCCCCTGTGACGGTGGTTGGAGATATCCATGGTCAATTCTTTGACATGTTGGAAATTTTCAAGATTGGAGGCTTTTGTCCAAATACCAATTATCTCTTTCTTGGTATTATTCTCGCATTGGATGATTGACTTACTTCTCCGCTGACCCAGTCCAGGTGATTATGTTGATCGTGGCCTTTTCAGCGTTGAAACAATATCTTTGCTTGTGTGCCTTAAATTGCGATACCCCCAGCGTGTTCATCTTATTCGTGGAAACCATGAGTCGCGTGGCGTTACGCAGTCGTATGGATTCTATACGGAATGCGCAAGGAAATATGGAAATGCGAACGTCTGGCATTACTTCACGGACATGTTTGACTTCCTCACTCTGAGTGTGGTTATCAACGATCAGATCTTCTGTGTTCATGGTGGCCTTTCGCCCTCGATACATTCAATCGACCAGATAAAGATAATTGATCGATTCCGAGAGATACCTCACGAAGGACCAATGGCAGATCTAGTTTGGTCCGACCCGGACCCCGAACGAGACGAGTTTTCTCTCTCCCCTCGAGGTGCAGGCTATACGTTTGGTGGAGATGTGGTCAAGAAATTTCTGCAAGTCAACAGCATGTCACATATTCTGCGAGCACATCAACTTTGTCAGGAGGGATACCAAATCCTGTATGATGACCGGCTGAGTACAGTGTGGAGTGCGCCGAATTATTGCTATAGATGTGGCAACTTGGCTAGTGTGCTGGAAGTTAGCGATTCCGGAGATCGATACTTCAACATCTTTGATGCTGCCCCAGAGAACGATATTCACCGCAATGAGCAGCAACAGCAGCAGCAACAGCAAAGCAAAGACGGTCAAGGACCAGTCATTGAGTACTTTCTATGATTGACTACTTCGACAGGCGTCTTTCATGGAGCACCTATCATTCTGCGGCACAGATTGCAAGCAACCCAGATAAACTCCTTTTGGCTGAGACGTCGGGCTGAAAAAGAACTATGTGAGCTATGCAACGAGGGCTCGAATACCAACAACATCGCTTTTGGACGCATGCGGAGGATAGCTCATTTCCAATCTTTGGTGATGTCGAATGACCATTCAAACTTCAGGTGAGTAACATCATCGTCGTCGATGAATTTGCTCACAGCGTCGTAGTGGCCTCTTGCCATTATGCCGCTCGGAGCCTCTTCTGGAGCAAATTTCTTCTCGTACGTCGGCTTGTCAGTGGTATTTGGTGGATAGCTTCCAATCATCTCCTCGTCCTTGCCGACCCGGATGCCTTTTCGCTTTAGAGCTTGAACATACTTGAGTCCACTGAGCACTTCATGTTGAACAACAAAGATGGCTTTCATCTGGTACCTACAGCCTTCCTTGATGGTGAATGGCTTGTTTTTGAGAGTTTCAACAGCGCCAGGAGCGGAGAGGTCAATAGTGATGTCGGGTCGACCTTGGACTTCCTGGAAGTGACCTTGTTTAGCACGGTGGATATGGCAATAGAAGGGAGGAGGCCGTACCAGAGCAAGAGATTTGATGACACATTTGCGAGGGTCGTTGGGATCTCCGACGGTTTTACCTGATCCTAGACCTAGTGATGCCTTCCATCGATTGAGAGCTTCATCTTCTTGATCTGTAGTACTGCCGATTAGAACAGGAGAGCTCTCTTAGAACAATTCAAGGATACACTTGGAGAATATTTAGCAATATATTTAGCAATATATTTTTGACTAATTTTTTAATATTATCCCATTCAGTGCAAAGCCCGAGGGGAGGGAACAAGCAGCTGGAGGTAGGCAGTATAGTACATGACATACACAGCAAAATATCAGAAGAGCAGAAGAGTGTACTAAGGCGGTTCAAGACATGAACTCATACCTAGCTTAGCATATTCATCCAATGTCTTCTTCTCCCCGACCTTGAAGCCTTCGGTCTTGGATGGAGCAAGATCGTCTTCGTGGCGACTAGCCATTGTGATGTGGACCTGGAAGAGAAGGATAAGGGATAGCTGAATGTAGGATTGGAACGACCGCGTAGGAAAAGAATCTAGATGAAGCAGAGGGTCGGACTGGAGAGGTAGATTTATTCCAGCTGCTGTGATAGGATTTTGAGATAGTGCCGTGTCAAGTATGGGGCTGATTACTTATTGGTGGGGTCGTGATGCGTCTCCAACACTACAACAGAATTTCTTTGTTTCTGCAACCCAAGTTGTGTATTCTTGAAATAAGCCTACCCCTAACTGTACAGTGGACTCCTCTCTAGGCTAAGATGTACAGTGAGAGGGGATTACAGTGAGTCTAAGTATATGTGCAGCTGCTTGAAATGCGCAAGATCCAGACTAGGATGCATGGCTCTGAAGCGAGATAAGCGTTTTGACGGCAAAAGTAGTACCAAGCTCCGCGCTCCAAGTACGACGCAGTAGGGTGGCTGCTGTAGTCCTGGTGTTGTCCCACGAGGTTGAAGCCGTATCTCTTCGAGCAGCTGAGAAGCCATTGAGCATCTCAGACTGATATCACTGATCCAGAAACACCATCATGCTCTCCACTAATTATTCGCTAGTGAACTACTCCGTAGTGTAAAGACAGTTCGAGATCAATCGCGCCTTTCCGCATTAGGACCGTCTCCCCTGCCCCCAGCCTTCGAGTTAAGGAGCAATAAGCGTAAAGCCGGACCCCCCCAAGAGGAGAAACACCCATAAGGCACCCTTCCCGCCAACGGGGTATCCCTCCACATTTCTTCACCAGGTTTACTGACGCCATCGCATAACTACGAGATCAATCGAGCATCAGATGCGCAAAGGATCAAGACACATTGCCACTGCTCGTTTCCACCTCCGCTCGGCGAAGCATCGCTTTCATGCAGTGAGCACTGACCGAAGTCACACGTCACTTTGCGACCGGTATTCGAGCTCCAAAGCTCCTGCGTATCACTCTGCGCCTGCGACCCCCGTGCATCTGCATTGAAGTACTTTCAGCTTGACATACATGATGCGACCTCCTCTACCGGAGAAAACGAATCCTTTGGTCCAGCCAGACCAAACGCCCGACTGTAAGTGCCAGAGGAGCCTGTGCAACTCTGACGTCAAGCTAATGTGATGGACCAGATGATGAGCTTCTGTCGCGCCGACGTCTTGGTCAGACCAAGCTCACCGTGAAGCCTGGTCAGGTTGGCACTTCCAATGCGACCAAGCCCGAAAATCTAGGTCTATTCGAGTACGCGCATCTTCGCGCACCTCTGCCAAAGGACCTCAAAGGATCGGAGATATTCGCATCGCATCAGAACCAGCCACATCCCGAGACCTATTTTCTGATGGTGAGAGCGCCTGGCGCAAAACGCGAAGAATATGGTCTAACAACAAACATAGAGACGAAGTAAGGATGGCTGCATTAGTGCTACCGGCATGTTCAAGATCGCATTTCCATGGGCCAAACACGCCGAGGAGAAGGCGGAGCGCGAGTATCTGAAGATCAAGGAGTCCACCAGCCAGGACGAAGTCGCTGGTAATGTCTGGATCTCACCGGGTTTGGGTGAGTGTTCTTGATCACAGCTATCGGAGGACAAGCAAGTGTTGACATGTTCCAGCACTTGAGCTAGCCGAGGAGTACGGCATGTACAACTGGGTTCGAGCACTGCTTGACCCGTCAGACATTGTTCAGAGTCCTGCAACGACAAAGAAACAAATTTCGCCACCACCAAAATACGATCAATTTCCCGGCAAACCAATCTTACCGCCTCCCTCTGCCTCCAAGGCGTCCAAGTCAAGGTCGACCAGGTCGGTATCGCCTAGCAAGATTGCTTCCCCGGCCAAGAGGGCAGGCTCGGTAGCCTCAACCAAAAAGAGACAGAGCAGGGCATCGAAGGACGCCAATCTTGCCCACGCCAACGCCGCAAGTGCCGCGTTGCAGTCTGCGCTCGATGACGCAGCTTCGACCGTCGAGCAGGAATCAATCAACGGCGAAACAGTCAAGGTCGAGATCGATTCCACTGTGGATGTCAACGGGGACACAGAGACAACCCGCACCAACGTAACTGTGGAGATGCCTGCAGGATCCGACGAGTTACCTTTGCCCGAAGATGCTGAGAAGATGCTGCAAACAGCCAAGAAGATGGTCGAGGAGGCCAGAGCATTAGAAGCCGAAACTTCCTCCAGAATCACTAGGAAGAGAAAAGTGGACGAGGTGGAGCCAGAAGAGCTTGACGCAGACCTGCCTGCTCAGCCGGCCAAGAAAGCCAAAGTGCTAGAGGAGAAGCTGAAGAGAGAGAAGGTTAGGACCAGAGCTTTGGTTGGCGTCACGGCGACATTGGCAATTGCGTATGTTACTTGGAAGCCCCTTGACTTGGTACAATTTACTGACTGTGTGTAGTGCGGCAATTCCATATTTCTTCTAACAGGGACACATCTCGGATGAGTGGGTTACAGAGGGTTTGGCCGAGTCGACGCACATGCTGGCACAGACAGGCTAAGGGAACTTCGGATATATGTCAGGTCAAAGCGGGGGTCTGTGGGATCATGGGAGAAAGAGGCCTTCTGGCCCGTCAATTTCGTTGTCGAATATTACAGACACTGAGAGCAGAAGTGACTAGCTGGGCAAGCTTTAGTATGTTGCGCAGGAGCTGTTCTGGATACTTTCAGCAGATGTCAGAGCTCCCAAATTCAATGCCATAATCATCAAGGTCCTCATTTTCGAAGTCCCCTCACATCAGACTGCGACCCATGCCCATCTCTGCTTTCGTGCCCCCAGTAGCACGTAGTAACTACTAGTAAATGGATTCCGCCTGTAGGGCTGAGCCAAGCGTTTCCACCCATGCATTCCAGACCATACGAATCCGTCAATCTCGACGACATCCTATTCGGCGCCGGTGCTGGCTTCGACCTACGCAATGTCATGTCACTACCAGGGCTGGGTCTGCCAGGTCTTGGACTCGAAGAGCCGTCCGAGCAGCCTCAGACCACCGAGACAACGCAACAGGAGCTGTCAAGTGGCTCAGAGTGGAGATTCGAGGTCGCATTTGGCAAATGCGTCAAAGTCAGGGTCAGTCTTGCTGCCTCACGTCCATCCTGACGTCCATCCTGTAACCAAACTGAGTACGGAGTAGCTACTGAATGGCACAGCCGAGATATTTGGCACTGAACTCATAGAAGGCCCGACATACACCTTCACCGGCACCAAGGCTGCAATATTTACCCACCATGGCTGCACCCTCGAAATCAGCAATGACGCCCCTCAAAGCGAATACTCTGCCGAGGAAACACCCATGGCCGAATATGTCAATGTACATTTCGCCCTAGAGACTCTGCGCAACGAAGCGCAAGCACGAGGCAGAGATGGACCACGCGTGCTCGTCCTCGGCCCCTCGAACGCTGGCAAAACCAGCCTGCTCAAAACCCTTACCGCCTATGCCATCAGACTCGGTCGCCAGCCCATAATTGTTAATCTAGATCCAGAGGAAGGCGTCCTCAGCCTCCCAGGAACATTGACAGCAGTCGCCATCAGAGCGCTTCTCGACGTCGAAGAAGGATGGGGTAGCAGTCCCATGTCAGGACCTTCTGCCATCCCCGTCAAACTTCCCCTCGTTTACAACTACGGCTTGTCCGACCCGGTCGCCGACGACAAATCAGCCGCTCACTACAAGGCAGTCCTCTCCAAACTTGCCCTCGCCGTCTCGGGCAGACTTTCAGAAGACCCGTTAGCCAAAGAAGCAGGCGTCTTAATTGACACGCCAGGCACTCTCGCAAACACAACCAAATCGCTGGCATCTAACATAATCCAACACATCGTCTCCGAGTTCTCCATCTCTCACGTCCTGATCCTCGGCTCCGAACGCCTGTATAGCGATATCCTCCGCCGATTCGAAAACAAACCCACATCCTCCACCACTAGCAACCACCATCACAACGAGACAATCACCGTCGCCAAACTCTCCAAATCAGGCGGCTGCGTTGACCGGGACATGGCATTTATGCGCGCCTTCCGCGCCGCCCAGATCCGAGCCTACTTCTTCGGCACCGGCCACCTGACGAATGGCATCACCCTCTCTCCACGTCAACAACAGGTCGAGTTTAACCAGCTAGCCATATATCGTCTCCTGATCGGCGACGGAGACCCCACAAACGCAAGCGTGTCAGCCGACCTCTTCCGTCCAGGAGGCCAAGACGACGAGAACGACGAAGATGAAGATATCTACAACCCTACAACAAACCACTCCCTAAAATCCCAGCACGCAGCAGCAGCAGCAACAGAAAGTGGGGACGGAACCATCTTCCAACGGCTCACCTCGCCCACACCAGCCCTCCAATCACACATCCTAGCCATCATGAACGCGGATCCCGATGCCACAGAAGAAGACATCCAAACGAGCGGCGTGATCGGCTTTCTATACGTGGCGGAGGTGGATGAGGCGAGGGGGAGGGTGCCTAGACGGGCGATTGTGTGGAGTAGGGGGTGGCCGGAGGTGGTGGTGGGTATTGTATAGCGAGGATGAGAGGAGAGGAGAGGAGAGGATCCAGACTTGGGCCGGATAAGCGAAGGTCGGTCGTGGGGGGATGTAGGGATGACATTGGGATCTGGTAGGAAGATCATTCGAAACAGGGGAGAATGGGTGCCGGCGTGGCTTGGGTTTGCATGACCGAATCAGCAAGATCCCCTCCATATGCACATTCATATTCATATCCCCATATCTGCATCTCTGATTCTGATTCCCATTCCGATTTTGATTACATACCCAAAATTCCAAACTATCTACCCAGACTCCAATAGCTATCCGATACCCCTTTTCCTTTCATCCCATCCCATTCTCCTTCTCAGTTCCCCGTTCCACCCCCAGCTAACTAACTAACTATCTATCTATCTCATTCTGTTCTCCAGTCCAGTCTTAGTCCCGTCTAGTCCCGTCCAGTCCCGTCTCGAAGCCGCGGAAATTCATAGATAGATATCTGAATATATATATGTATATGTACATTTATATGTATATACACAATACAAGCCAAATAGGCTAGTTGGCTGGCTGGCGGTCTTTCCACCATCCGACCGGCTCGATCGATATTACGGCTACGGCTACGGCTACGGCTACGGCTACAGATAAAGATATAGATATAGGTAGTGGTCAAAGGGAGGGGGAGCGGGGCGAGAGATAGGAAGAGCGGTGGCGGGGCGAAGCGAAGGGCAGGGCGGAGAAGGAAGGGAAGAGAAGAGCTATAGTTGTTAGATGGCGTGGAGGAATGGAAAGACTCGTCTTGATTATATTAAAGAGAAGGAGAAGGAGAAGGAGAGAGCGTGCGAGCTCCAAGTTCGCACGTATTTTACCGTACATAGTAATTTCGAATCAGTTTAACTAAATACAATACATCCACAACCCCCCATCAACCCACCCTCTCTTCCCCCCCACCCCCAAACTAACTTACCTAACTCAGCTATCGTAACGCAGCCAGCCTAGCCATCCTTACGTAGTAACTTAGTTACAGTATTTTACAACCTCCCCCTTACCGCCACAGCTCCGGCCTTTTTCATGCATAGAAGAGCAGAAATTTGGGGGGGCGCGGAGTTTCTATATACATATATACATGCTTGTCCGCTTGCTCGCTTTTGTTGCTCTCTTGCTCGGATATCGTGTGAGAGACTCCCGAGCTCAGATACGGCGACGACGAGTAGTAGACCAATATTTACGTAGACTCCGTCCCAAATCCGATTCTCCATGTCGTCGACGTTGAGCGCCCGTGTTGCTTGCTTGCTTGCTTGCTTGCACGTCTGACACTGTACGCGATCCCACTGCTCGCCCCAGTATCACCTGATGGTCAGCCATACATAGCTCAGACAGGTTCGAGTTCAATGCCAAAGGGGTGTGTTTTGACAGCACCATGAGGCACCAGGCGGGCGGCTCCTCCTTCGTCATGCGAGAATGAGCTAGGCAGTAAGAAGCACCATTGCCGCCTTATTGTTCTCCTTTTCAGCCCCACAATTTGCAGTTCGAGCCAGATTTCGTTTCTCCAATCATGCAAAGGGGTTCCTCCGTTCTTTATCGAGCTCATCATCTTCTTCCCTTCCCTTCCCCGTCCTTCTCATATCTCTCGTCCACGGCGCCGCCGCCGCCGCCGTCGTCGCCATCATGCAACAGTGTCACACTGTTAAACTCCAAAAAAGGATCGGTCGCCACCTCCACCCCGTCCCCTCCAGGCGTCGCCAGACCACTATCTAAACCTACACCCTTGAGTTTGGCCGCCGGTGCCGCCAGCCCCAAACCTCCGAACGAATTGGCGACCATCCCCCCTCCCCCCTCTCCGTTCCCGTCTCCGCTTTCTTTCACGTTGCGGAAATTCACCGTATCGATCGCTCTCCCTTGATGGGGGATCATAGGTGGTTTCATGTGGCGTAACAAGGCCCAGGTGATGGGCTTGAAGAAAGGGTGGGATTTAACATCAGACGCGCCGGCACGCGAGCCGAGGCGGCGCATTTCATCTTTTATGAGGAGCTTGCGGATTACGCCTTTGCAGAGACTGTAAACGAATCAGCATGGATATTGGACGCGCAAAGTAACAGATTTTGAGCTTCTGGGTAATAAAGGACAGATGCTTACTTCGATACTTGTGTGCTTCCTGATCCTTCTGGGAATGGCACCTCGTCTCTCAGTATATTGGCAAAGGTGGCATTTCTGTTCTTCCCTTTGAAAGGAGTGGTGCCAAACAGCATCTCGTATATCAAAATGCCAAGTGTCCACCAGTCGACTGCGCTGGTGTGGCCGTTCCCTTTGATGACTTCGGGTGCAATGTACTCTTCAGTGCCGACGAAAGAATTGGTTCGAAAGTCTGCAATGCATGATTTGGTATCAACAAGCGGGTATGTATTTGAGTTGGAACCGTTACGACTGCCCAGGATCATGGTTGGAGCGCCTCCAGAGTCTGATTGTTTCGATAGATCGAAATCGGACAGCATGATATGACCAGATTGGTGAAGAAGGATGTCTGCACATGATCAGTACAACCGACACGGGCAGAAGAAAGGGGAGTCGTACTTTCTGGCTTCAGATCTCGATAGATGAAGCCCATCAGGTGTAGGTACTCCAACGCTGCCGTGACCTCTGCAGCGTAGAATCTGGCATCATCTTCTGCCACACATTTGCCTGGTCGGGTTTGAAGTGCTCGGAAGAATTCTCCACCACTGCAATACTCCATACACAGGTATAGATGGTCCTCCGATTGGAAAGAGTGATAGAGGGTAACAATGAAAGGGTGGTTGCTGGTGGCAAGGATTTCCTGCTCTGCCAATGCCCTCTTGATCTTGTTTCGCTTGATCATCTCTTTCTTGCTTAGCACTAGAATCAGTCAGTAGATGAAAGCAGCATCGGGGTCTGTTAGACGGACCCTTCATAGCGTATAATCTATTCGACTTCTTTTCCCGTACCAAGTATACCTTTCCCACATCGCCCTTTCCAATCAACTTGATCTTGTCGAAACTGCCTGGGCCCACCTCGACATTCCGCACTTTGATTGAATTCGAGCTGTAAGTCCTTCGAAACGCAACCGATTGCCGTATCTGACCTGGCGAGGCGATCTTTGCTCCATTCTGAGGCACGGAAAGTAGGGTTGAATCATCATCATGGACGACCATGCTCACTTTTGGTGCAGCACCATCTTCCACCACGATGGGGTCCTTGCCGAGCTCTGCAGTCCTCGGCCGATTTTCAGCCTTGTTGGAGCTGAAAAGTCCTTGTGCGTTTGGAGCAGATGCCACTCTTCTCAGCTTCCGCGCCAATTCTTCTTTGCCTGTTGTGACGGGCTTCTCCTCTAATCCATTAGCACCATTGGTTTGCAGCTTTGGTGTATCCGGTGGAGAAGGGGGCACGCTGCCTTCGTTGTGGTGTCTGAGGGCTGGCGGACCTTGATGGGCAAAGTATGGGTTGGCCTGAGCAGTCGGTGACATATGTTCTTCCAGTGGATTGCCCTCGCTGGCTACTGTCGTCGAACGATTTCTTCCGAGAGTGGGAAGGAAGCGCGATTGTCGAAACGAGGATTTGGACTCTGGCTTGGACTCGGATTTCGGAGTGAGGGGGCCATCACTGTTCGGGCTGCCTAAGCTACCTAAACTGTTGATGCGGAAGAAATTCTTGATCTTGGTGGGAAGATGTGTGTTGCTGTCGCTAGAGGTCTTCTTGGAAGAGAAGGAGAGACCTGAGAAGTTTCGCTTCTCGGTTGACATGACGACGTGGTCACTGTGGCTTCGCTGACCAATTTTAAGGGAGGTCCGAGGTGCAAGGAGTGCCTGCGATGAGGTAGCCGACCTTGCAGTAGCTCTTTGTGCAAGGGAGTAGAGGTTGGCTGGATTGAGCTGCGGGGTGTTCGGGGTCAAGAGCTGCTAGGTTGCCAGGTTGCCATCTAGGTGACAGAGTGCGTCGCCAACAAGTAGCACCGAAATCGAAAGTGAGAGGGCGCTTGCGATGGTCATACACTCTTGGATTGTAAAACAGTGCTTAGAGGACGTATTATTTATTGATTTAGCCGGGGCGATGTAGCTACGATTGGAGTGAGTTAAGGTTGTCGGGGGATGAGTTGGGGGGGGGGGAGGGGAAGCAGCGCCGACTAACTCGGCAAAGCCAAAAAGAAGCTTTTTTTTTCAGCCGGGGGGCTCAACGAAGTGAAGGAAGGGGAGGGAAAGGGAAGGGAAGGGCAGGGAAGGGGAACGGCAATGGGAAAGGGAAAGGGAAAGGGAAAGGGAAAGGGAGAGGGAGAGAGAGAGGGAGGGTGCGTCTCACTCCGTCTCAGTGGCAATCCAGCCAGGTAAATAGCAAGTGATCACTCAAGAGAGTGAGCAAGTACCGAGTATGATGGGGTATGATGGAGGCCGTTACTGCTACAGATCACCCTCGACAACCTGCATTTGGATGTGCGTGGTAGTTAGTGGAAGTCAGACAAAGGCTAGCTCTTCGGTAGTTGAGTATCACATGACACAAATGGAGCACAGGCGTGGCTGGCGATGGGTCCTTCGGTCCAGTCCTGCGCTTAGTACGCCCACCGGATGGGAAATCTACATGCTGAATGAGCACCTGAATTAAATACTGTATTACCCACCTCACTCCGCGTTGGTGGCAATGGCGAGCCGAGACTTGGTGTCACCGGGAAAGCAGAAGACGGAGACCTTTGCACTGCATGCTTTTATGGAATTTTCTGTGGCTCGATCGATGCTAGCTAGCTAGTCCTTGACCGAGCATTCTGGCAATGATCTCACTACCTCAATGAAAACGGTAACCTCTCGTTGCTCCTTCTTCGAGCACTGGATGTTCGATTGAACATGCTGATCAAATTCAAGTCGCCACCAACAGGCTTCGCCCATTTTTCCTGACGGCTTCGTACACATGTACTTGGTACGAGTAGAAGTATCGATAAACGTTCGAGCAAGTCAGCCCCGAGACCAACACCCCATTCGCCATCCACCATCCACCGTAACGAAGTTGACACCTCAGAATTTGTACATGGACTTTCTCATCTCAGCAACCTGCTGCTCTGCCTCGGTAGGCTCCCAGATGCTCTTCAAAGATCGCGGCGGAGGAGAGCCAAATCTCGAAGGGCTGTCGTTGGCTTGGAGTGCATTCTTGGGACGTGGCTGCAAGGCTGTCTGACCATAACGATCCATTCCCTCGTCGAACCCGGGCATTGTGCCGTTAGCGGTGACACTCTGGACAGCAACGGAGGATGGTCCTTTGTGGCGGAAAAAGTTGTTCTCGTTACGGGGAGCCCAAGGGTTGAGCCCAAAGCTGCCTGGCTTGGTCGTAGTACCCTCCACTCCACGAACACCTCTCCCCATACCCATCAACTGCGTGCCCATGCCATATCGGTCCTGCTCAGACATGACAGACTGGTATTGACGGCCGCCATCGCCTTGCTCCACTAAGTTGGTGCCATTGGCTGGTCCATCACGCCCGCCTGTTCCTTCAATGGTGATAGATCGCCCATCAGCCACAACGATTTCAGTCTTGACACCTTGCTCCTTGGCGCTAGCTTCGAGAATCGCTTCCCAGTCTCTTGGCGATGGGCCTGCGGCTTCTCCCGACATCATGGGTTGTCGTCCGCTTTCGGTGACGTCTGAGCTCAGGGCGCTGGATGCATCACCATTGCGACCATATCCACTTCGAGATGCAGAATTGGCCAAGTCGTTATCGGCAAATGAGACTGTCTTGCCAGCATTGGCTTTTGTGGGAAGGGTGCTGTCAAAGGTTCTAAACGAGACTTCGCTTCGTAGGTCAGGATGTGTCTTCGCCAGCTTCAAGTCCTGCTGGCTTTGCTTTTCCACAGTACCAGGCGGAGAAGGCTCGAGATTTGAACTCCAAGCGGCAATTGGGTGCGAACGTTCAGGAGATGCGCTTACGGCTGTGTTCGCTGCAACAGGCCGAGGAGCTGCCTTAATGCCTTCACACCATGGATAAATTGTCTGGGCTCGAAGCTGCGTTAAGCTTTCGTGCTCATTTTCAGCAACTTCATCAACTGTGCTTCCTCTGCCATGTCCCCAGTTGTTGCACTTCCGGTTGTACATCTCACCAGCAATCGAATTAGTCAGCTGATTGGAAGAAGGCCCCGGCATAGCATTCGAGGGGTTGGAAACGACCAACTGCATATTATGCTCGTTTGAAAGAGAATGTGGTTGGGGTTGATTGATTCTCGTTGCGAAGGACTGGTTTCCGAAGCCAGCCTGGAATCTGCCAGTGGCCCCGTTGTTGGTGAGAGCAGGCTGGCTCACATTTGGAAGTGCTGATGGACGCTGAGTCTGAGTGTGGACACCTTTGGCTTGATTCTCCTTTGGAACCCAAGCACTGGCACGAACGTTGAAGTTTGTGTTACCATTCTGGCGAGTGGAAGCTGACGTCATCTGGTTCATGGAAGATGTTGGCTGGTGATCGGCTGGACTGGGAAGGTATTGCGCAACCGATCTCTCTTGCTCAAGTTGATCACACAGCTGCTTCCACTTGATTCTCGCCGCCTCACGTTCTTCAACCGTTCTGATGCGCTGTTTACGATAGATTCCTTTGATCTGAGAATTGAAGGTTGAGTAATGGAGAGCGGTTTGCTGGTCAATGTGGTTCAGTCTAGCAGAAAGCTGATCAAATTCGGCCTTTGCAGCAGCGACGATTTGGTCGGTGACCTGGCTTGCGGTGTTGCTGGTGGTGCCAGACATTGGCTGAGCCATGGTCATGTTGCTGAACCACCTCTCCATGGCGGGCATATGAGCCTGATAGTCTGCCTGGGCGTGAGTACCGATCTCCGCTGCTAAAGTACCACGTGCTGGTGCAATGTTTGCCATTCCACTATGGAATGGAGCAGAAACAGCATAGGGAAATGGATTGTTGCTGGTGGAGCTGAGTGGCATGACTGGGTTGTAGCTGGCAGACAGGCCCGGCTGAAGACCTTGCTGACTGAAGAATGGAGGCTGATAACCGTGGTTGATCGGCTGACTTGTCTGATCGGCAACAGACACTGAAGGGAAAGGAGCAGTTGACATGGTGGAAGTTGGCATGAAGTCAGACACCATCGTGGGGTGTTGCTCGCCACTGTGAACAAGCATATTGGTGTAAGGATTGAAGATCATAGCAGACGAAGGAAGTGCAAGAGATTCCCAAGAATCGTTGGTGAGCGCTTGAGAAGTCGGGTTGAAGGATGCTGTGTCGTTTGTGACAGCTAGAGGCATACCTATCAAGCTGGCTGGGGCTAGGTGAGTAAGATCGGATTGTCTTGGCATCAAATCTTCACGCTTGAGGTCACCATTGGTGTTCACGTGAATAGGCTGGGAAGCGTTACCGATCTTCTGCTTAGTGGAGCTGGCCGCTGGTGGGTTCTCTCCGAGGCCGGCAGAAGGAATACCGGTGTTGGTGGTGACATAGGTGGTTGCAGTGCCACTCATGGCAGAAATTGGGCATTCATTACCGATCTTTGAATCATCTGTCGTCTCACAATGGCTCATGTTGTCTTTATCACGTGCTTTGTTGTCACTGAACAGGTTGAACTGGGGTGGTGCAGAGCTGGACTCCATAGGAACAATGCGGCCACCTGCAGTGACCCGTTGATGGGTTGGCGATGCGTGCTGCTTGAGAAAACGAGCAAAACCTTCATCAGACTGTGCACGGAGCCCAGCTGGAGCATTACGAGGTTGACGACATGGATGAATATCTTCACGTCGGGCGAAGACAATACGGCTCCCCATGGAGTCGACAGAATCAACAGACCAAGTGCGTCGTCTGTTAGAAGAAACCTCACCCAGAGGCACTGCGATAGGCTTTGATGTGATGCTGGGGCCAGTCACAATACCAGCTATGAGAAGGAGTTGAGTCAGTGTTGTCGTTGTGGGAGTCAAGAGAAAATTCAGCAAGAAAGGGAGATAATATGTCTGTGGGTGTGCTTGTGCTTGTGTGCATGCGACTGACCCTGGATTGCTTCAATGGTAAATATGGAGATATTGACCGCAATGATCGTTGTGCAACCAATCTCAATAAGTTGGGGGATGGAATATTGGTACGTTGGTGAGGGCACTTCTGTGTCGTTGCATAGCTCCATTTGTACAAACGTTTGTGCCCCTAGTACTCCTTCCTAACCCGTTGTGTCTGAAGCGATGCAAGCTGTGTTCTTACAGCCTCCGGTAGGAACAGGACTGGGCGGCGGTGTTCTGCTTTGCCGAGACCTTTGCTTGGTTGGATGTCTCACTTCGAGATAGCGCAGTCTAGCTTAGAGGTGGAAGGTCGTTGGGGATAGGAGTTGGATGCTTTCGCAACAAGAACGAATCGATTAATTTACAGCTTTCCAAAAAGGGTAGGGGGTTGAGCTGAGACGAGGTAGTCTTGTCAGTGCTCAAATCAACGGGTTTCTGGTTGCGCAAGTCGATTCCGCTACCAATTGACGGTGCGCGTATTGTATGATGAGTATGCACACCACCTGATTTGAGCAGCAGCCCGCCAAAACAAGCAGAAAGAGATGCCTCCTAGAAGAGAGAGATGTGGAAGACAGCAAGCCTCGACAGCGACCTAGGGCAAGGAGAACCTGTTGAAGGTAGTGATGGCAAGTGCCACCATTAGATATGTGATATATAGTCGGAAGGCACCACAACAGCGTCGACATGAGCCCCTTCCCCAATAGGTCATCGCCTCCACCTTGTGTCTAGAATCATAAAATCGCAATGGACGCAGTACCGCCCGCTCCTAAGATTAATGCTCATCGTTATATGTGGTAGTGAGTACTTGGTGGGGAACGTATGTATCAATCCGAGGACGTCGGGTTGTAGCCCTTGCTGAAGCTGAAACATTTGCAGCCTTATCCAAATAAAAATAAAAAGCCATGGAGGTTCTTGATGCACCATGCTACATGAAAGTGTATCGGAAATGAGTTGCAATGGTAGACACTATGAACCGGATCAATGACAAAGGCCACTCATCATCAAACCCGATCATTGGGTTTGACTGGATCCGCAAAGGGGCTGACATGGAGATCGTCCTCAAAGCTTGGCCGCCTCATCACCGTTGCAGATGAGTTCAGGCCAGGCTGTTGTGCCTCCTCTGCCTTTTTCTGATCCCCAAGTTCCCAGCTGCCGACACGCTCATGGCCCCGAGTTGGCCCTTCTCCGGCTACAGCTATGGATGCACTTGCACCGCTTTTGGGAATCGTCAAATCCTGATCACTGGCAAGCTTTTCACCTCCTTTGAAGCCATTGAGCTCAGATCTCTTCTTGCTCCTTTGTCGGTAGAGACGGGCTCCGCCGAAAACCGCAGCAGCAGTAATAAGAAGTCCAACAACAGCCAGTGTGACGACTGCTCCTATAACTCCAGCAACCACAGGACGGAGGCCGCCTCTGGATCTAGGGCGCGTAGGTCCACTGCGCCCATCGCCTGCATCGGCTTGGAACGCAGGGCAGAAGATGCTAACGCTGGCACACGTCTGGCACCAGTCTCCGACACTCGAAATCATGATTTTTTGCATGTCAGCTACGAATTCGCTCAAAGTCATGCTGATTCCACTAGGACCGTTCCCGAAGAGTGGATATGCAACCAAATTAGATGTATCGTCGGTGCTGTTCTGGAAGAAGAATCGGACATTGAGGTCTGCCGTTGCAGGGTAGATGTCTGTGTCGTTTTCGGTCAACGAAAAGAGCTCGAAGACCATGCTTGAACCATATTCTGGGATGCCAAGAAATTGCGGATTCTGTTCCGATGCAAGGCTGGCAAGAGCTGCGAAGGAAACCATGGGCTCAAATCCACCAAACAACAGCGTCATTTTGTGAAGCGTGCCGGCAGTGTTGATGTTCCCATACAGAGCCGATACGATCTTGTTGGCGAGCGTTCGACCGGCAATGGCTCGAATACGATCTCCTTCAGTCAGGCCAGAGACTGAGGTATTGCCATACGTTGCCAAGACCCAGTTGTCTGCAAGGATCTTCGCTCGTGTCAGATCCTCGAAGGAGAGATCATCGAGAAAGCTGCTATTGTGAACGGATCCGTAGTTCAGATAATCAAAGATGAGGTACGCATTGAGATAATTGACGCTAGAGTTGGCGAAGATGCCGTTGAGCAGCGCAGGCTGGAGGCTACGGTAGAAATCCTGATTCGTCTCCAAGAGATTATCATAGAATGCCGAATTGAAATAGTCGCTTCTGGATGCAGAGTACATAGGGCAGTTATTCGCGCCCATCAGCCAAATCGAGTTGAGGTCAAGTGGTGATACTGCGCTGATTTGAGGGTACTGATACCCGTCCAGAGGAGAAAGGATATTGGATCCGTTGGCGAGTTGCGACTGCCCATTGATGAAGGTGGCGTTAGAAGAGGCCATTAGAGGCGGGTACAAGCCTTGCATGAAGGCCTGAGCAGAAGCCACGATGAATTGGTCATTCAGTGACACAACCGAGACTTGATCGTTGTCCAGCTGAAAAGGGGAGATGCCCTGAATGACCGTGTTACCATTGCCGGGTGCCGACACAAGATAGCGTTCTCGGAATCTGGTTCCTGCACTGTACATCTGCGTAGCGCCTAGTGGGGTCAAAGTATTCGATGTTGGAAGGATATATGGAGTACGATCTCCATATCGAGAGTATATTACTGTACTCCAAATGTGCTCACGGAGAACAGTCTGCGCTGCAGTGCGCACCACTTGCAGGCCTGTCAGGGCCAACACCACGCCGAGGAACTTCATAACTAGCTGACAGTTGTGAGCAAGTCAGGAAAGATCAAGAAGCTGACCTCAATTACCGGAGCTCTTAACCCACTCAGGATGTCAAGAGAGCTTGCGAAAATACGAGGAGGGCTGAATGGTACTTGGGAGCAGCAGCCTTTAGTAGGATAAACCGAAGCTCCGACATGACTGCAGCCCCCAGCCTGCTATGAGACAGCTGTCCCACCATCCCGCACGCCCAGCTTCAGCTCGAGCTCGCTTGGACAGCTTCTCCAGCGGTGTTAGTGGGGGAGGGGCAGCAAGAAAGCGTGCCACACACGATAGCCCAAGAATTGGGAGGATTGGCTTGCAGTAGTGGTAAGACACCACCGTTGGTTTGTAGCCCAATCGGTCTAAACTATCTGCAAGGCCATGTGCAAGGGCGTTGTACTCACTACTAGTCACGCAAGCAGTAAGCTTCCTTCGATGCATGAAGTCATGATCATGTCAAAAGCAGATGACGGCCTTTGCTACTGCGGAATGAATTGTGATTGGCATGAGAATAGACATGCCTTGACAGGTGGGTGAGCCAGCTGTAGTGAGTCGCAACCACACAACCGTCTACTATACAGCAAGACTGGTCAATGATAGAGACTGGGCCTCTTTGGAACTTCTCGGGGTCCGAGCACTCATTTCCACCTGGAAATCAGTCGATCAAACTGATAAAGTGAGGAGGGTGGTGGTGAGCCCGAGAGCCTAACTGACCACTGTCAAAGTAAGACCGGAGGACCGAGCTTCCAAGACCCCGAGTCAAGACGTGGCAATGGTTTCAAACCCAAAACCAAGAGTTGGGATCAAATGGTCTAGTTAGTAGGAGATATGCCGATACTTAAGATTGTGAGAGACCACTACTCTGTAGTCGATGTCTTTATTGTAAGGCACACTGTAAATATTAGGTTGGCTAAGACTAGTTAAGAGCAAGATTAGGAGCATATTCTTCTGCAACGAACTGTCTGATTTGCAGCAAGCTTTCTATCTATCTCTACAACATCGGAACACACAGTACTACCTTACCCTCATCACATTGACCTTGTTTTCAAACAGCACCGCCCATATGATTTAGTAGCCTTATCACAGACATATAGGCCATTGCGATGCTGGAAGAATATGGCGCTTTCAATGCTAATGCAAGTTGCGCGTGCTGCAATGATAAAAGTCGAATCTTTTAGTCTCCTTCGAGTCCTTTGGCTTTCGAGGTTCAATGCTGTACTGTGAACCTCAGACTACCTGGCTACTCAGCTGGAATGTGCGAGACAACCGGCCAGTTCCTGAAATTCCTGGTGCTATGGTGAGAATGATAGCAAAGAAACGCAGAAGATCACAACAGTATGCTTTAAAAAGCGAGATGGCAACTCTGAATGGCATATTGGAGATGACGAAGTTGCCAAATGAAAGACAAAGAAGGAGCTGAAATAAGCGGATTGCAGTACTGGCACCACTACCTATACTTGGTTGAGAGAATGCGGCAGCTGAGTCGAATGAAGAATTCGTCGGGGCTCATCAACAATCTTAAGTACGAAAGAGTAAGCTGGCGCAAGCTGAGCAATGAGTAGCCGCCATAGGAATGTTCCCTTGGCTGGGTGGCACTCAGAGATCTTTCAAGAATACCTTCGCGGGTTGGTTACTGCGGCCTTTTCTGCTTCGGATCTAGTTATGATGATTGGGTCGAAGAGGAATCGCACCTTCGCGATTGAACTCCATTCATACTGGATGATGGCATTGGGTATGTGCTCTTCACTCGTGCAAAGACAGACGCCTGAACGCGAGACAATGGCCCCGTGTCAGCCATAACATAAATCGCTACACATGGTAATGTATACCCAGATCCTGCATGATCTGGCTGGCGCAGAAACTGAACCTTTCTTGCTGGCGAAAGGTGACCTGTCTCTCGAAGAAGTTGTACTGCTCGAAAGGCGGAATTGGATATTCCTATTCCAAGCTCATATGCTCGTGTTCGAATAGAGCACTTTCACGGATCTCATTGAAATCTTTGGCCCACCAGAGCCGTTTGAATGACTTGTAATCTGTGGACCTTCTATGCGAGTACTTTCCGATGTGCTGACAAGCAATATTGAAGCGGTGGAGAAGTTCCCGCAGGCTGCTTTGTTCATTGTTCAACTCGTTGTCTCGGATACAAATACCCACATTGGCCAGAAGCAAACACGACAGATCGTTTGGGCTGTCTCCAATATAGACAGAATTTCGCTGCTGTGGTTCGGCCTCCAGCTCGGCCAGCATCATTCTCTCCTTGTCACGAGCGGTCCAGATACCTCGGTCTTCGACTGCAGATGTCCGTGTCAACTTTGCGCTTGATCCACTTCCGATTTCATTCGCTCTAATATTGACCTTGTGAGGTTGTGCCTGGGTTCGAGGTTCTCGAGCACTCCCCAGACACGAATATATGAATCTAGCACTCCAATTAATGCTAACGATTGTCGTCGAACCGCCTCGTTCTTGAATTTTTTCGATTAGAGACACCAGCCCGGGCCTCAACAGTACGCTTCGACTTTGTACCGCTTCTCTGGCAGCATTGTCGATGTCAGTGATAGTAACGTTTGCAAATATGCCTGCCCGCTCAACCCGCTCGACGCTTGCCCGTTCGACCTCAACAAGGTTCTCCTGCCACTCCAGAAACTCCTCGATAGAGTTGCTAGACCCCGGTTTCGATTCATGCATTGCTTTGTGGGCCTTGTAATCTGAAAGGTATGCATTTGTGAAATACGACCATGGGGGCAGTTTCTGGTCTCTATGCTTGTTGTAACCGATCGACGCAACAACCGAAAGGGTGTCTGCTGTGGTCATTGTTCCATCCCAGTCGAAGAACCAATTCATACTCAAACTTTGGTGCCCGCTTTCAATCTGATGTTGGTGGAGTTGTCTGAAAATACAATCAGAAGATATTGATGCAGTCAACACACGAGATTTGGTTATATTCAGGTGTCCATGTGGTGGAAATCCCTTTACCACGTGATTACAGCTGCCAGCGTTCACAATCGCTTTACTAAGTTGTAAAAATAGCATTCAGCACTCGGCAAACTTGCATTCATTGAAAAGTAGAGCTACAGTCCTTTAATTCAGAGACCTTGGGATCGCACTAACACCGCTGGATAGACGTAGGGAAGGAGGCAGAAGTACGATTTCGAGGCGTGTCGCAGTGACTTTAGATATGTTGAAGTCCAAGCAAAGGTGAATTTGGCTAGAGCTGATGCCAAGGCTCGCCTCTGAGATTTTCTGAAAACATCTTTGAGGGCAGAGGGCAGAGGGCAAAGGGCATTTCCTGCCTTACCCTAATCTTCCCTACCTGCCCTGATCAAAAGATGCCAACTACACGTAGAGGTCTGACATCGTCGGCCTCAGAGCATGCTGGCCTCACAGCAGGCAACCGAGTAGACCCGAAAGGTACTCATTCACACCGACAATGATTCAGAACGTCGATCTGGACAGCCTCTCTGTCTTGCTCATAGGTGCTGACCGCTCAACATCTAGCTACTCGTACGACCAAAGCAACCCACGACCTCGACGGCCATACTCATACCAACCCCGATCGTGCTGCGAAGAGGCGACGTACCGAGACGCCTTACAAAGATGCCACTACCGTCAAATCGGCCTGCGAAGAGTCTACCCATTTAGACGACCTCAGTTCCAGTGCAATCGAGCTTCGCGCCCAGCTGACGGCGCATCCACAACATGATGGCCCTGGCCCTGAAGACGGTGCTGGGTCAGCTGAAATGCTGGATCAGCTTGATGCAGACATGACCAAGGCCATTTCGGACATAATCGATCACTCAGAGAGATTTGAACAATATTGTGCAATGGGCGCAGCTGATAATGACGGATCTTCGGCATCGAAAAACATGGTCTTTGCCAAGACAGGATCGCGTATGAAAGTCGAGAGCTTGCCGATTCTCGATAACCTTGTGAGAATGAGATCCTGACCATACTGCCCTGTCTCAAACTGCTGACACACCTCGAGTCATCCCAGATACTTTCCACACTTGCAAAGTCATCATATCAGGATATCATTGCACTGATGAGAGAGCCGGAATCCGAGGCCGGTCAAGAATATTCTACAGTCCGATCACTTTTCGACCATACGAAGCGTGTCTATTCTTCGAAGTCCCCCTTCCTCTCGCCGTCTGAACTCGACTTGCTTGCTCCTTCGCAGGTGGAAATCTTGCGGAAAGCCAATCTTGCTACTTTTGTCTCGAGCATATTTGGTAGTCAGGAGATTGGTTTCGCAGAACTGAATGATCATTTCTTAGAGATCTTCGTGCCTGAGAATGGGAGGTTATTGAAGGCGCAAGGCTCTTTGTTCTTGGATTTGAAGACTCAGGCATTCATTTCGTCCATGCACACCCCAGATCGTTCAAAGACTGAGCTGTTATACACATTATTCCCGGACGACATAGAGCCGAGGATACTCGTCCGTCGCCCTGGAGCACGGGGTCTCGCCCCTAGCGAACAGGACTTCGTTAAACGTGCTCATTCAAGAAGGGACATTCTGTTGGCTGATGTCAATAATCCAACTGCTCTTGATGGGCTGCCTGAGAAATATCAATGGGACGACTTCTTGCGGGACATCAGCAGCTACATATCCAAGAACTTCGAATCACTGAATCCACAGCCAGTATGCTTGAAGCCATCCTAGTGTTTCATCTGTTTGCTGACAGGTTTTGGTAGAAGGACAAATTTACTAAAGGACGCAGCGCCAATGGAGAGGTCAAAGAACCTGCTCAGGAACAGCTCCAAAGCAACTTTTCTATCATTCCTCCACCTCCAACCGAGCCTGTCAGTGGGCCTCCCAAGCAAGAAGATTTTGTGGCGAAGGCCGCACGAGCTGCGCAGATTGCCCTACAAGGTCACAATATTAGTATTCCAGCACCGGGGCCGCTTCAGATGCAGCCAAATCCATCTCCCAAGCAGACAAATCAACCAGCTTTCCAGATTCATACCAGTTTCCAGCAGTACGCACCTCCGACACGATCTCCACATCCAGGCTCCGCTCGTTCTAGCCTACCACCGAATTACGGCCCACTTCCCAACCTGCCTCACGTCAGCCAGTCCGCACCCACCCAAGTCCTATACGAGCGTGCCCGTCAAGCAGCCACAACCAAAGCATCACCCGCATCTCGGCGCGCGGGTCTACCTTCGCAACGCCGCCCCTGGACTACCGAAGAAGAAAATGCCCTGATGGCCGGTCTCGACCGAGTCCGAGGTCCGCACTGGTCTCAAATTCTCGCCATGTTCGGTCCTGGGGGTACTATCAATGAGTCCCTGAAAGACCGCAATCAGGTCCAACTCAAGGACAAAGCCAGAAATTTGAAGCTCTTCTTCCTGAAGAGCGGTATTGAAGTCCCCTATTATCTGAAATATGTCACCGGTGATCTCAAGACAAGAGCACCGGGCCAAGCATCGAAGAACGAGGCGCGAGAAAGGGAGAAACAGCAGGGTGAGGAAGATAAAGCGCACTTTAATGGTGTGCAGGGGATAATGGCGCTGGCGGGGGGAAGTCAGCCGCCGTCACAGCAACAGCATCAGGAACTTCAGATTGGGCATTCGAATACACATGGGAATGATGGTGCTGTGAATGAGCTGCAAGGCTTTCAATTGAATGGTCCATCCCAGAACGGTCTGCATGGTCTAGATGGCACTATGGATGCGAATCTAGATCCTAATCTGGAGGGCATTCCGGAGCTGCCACCAGCGGTGGGAATGGAGGCCGACCTCTCTGAGCCGGAAGCAGGGCCTAAGGCGAAGGTTGAGGCGTAGATGCGAATGCGAAATAAAAGAGTCGAGGAACAGCCCAACTGAGGATCACGATTTGCTGCTTACATGTTCTCTTCTTGTGACACTGTGCTGTTGTTTTGGGGAGTTTCTCGGACTGGACTATTGCCCCCTGACCACCCAAGACTGCTGCTTGCTTCAATGTCTTGACAACACTTACACCCAGCCCTTCCTGTATGAATCTCTCCTTCAAGAGCCCCGTCCCTCTCATGGCGAAATTCGTAACTGGTGGGCCTGATATCCACACTCCCACAGCTAGGGTTTCAGGTCTAGCTAATCAGTGCGTGCTTACGTGGACCACTGTACGTCAATCTCTCTGCCCGATGCCAGCACTGAGGCGTCTCTGGACCATGAATGAGAGCTAGTCCTTATCCCAGCCACTTTGACCCTGTTCACATCCTTCATATATCTTCTGATCGCAATCTCCAACCCCCGTGACCGGGATACTCCAGCCTAAGACCCTCAATCCCAGTCCCAGTCTCAGTCTCGGTATCGGTATCGTCTCCTCGTCTCTTCGCCTACCTAGGCCTCCGCCAACGAAGCCCAACCATGCATATCGATAACACAAATCCGGTGTTAGTACCCAGATTTTTCCGTCTCGATCACCACTCCACCCGCTCCCTGGCCCCGTTGTCCCCTACCCCTCTTCTCACGGACCCCTGAGTTATATCTCCTTCTCCTTCCACCTCTCCTTCTCCCTGCTGCAGCACAATACTATACACGCTAGCCTTCAATAGCGTGTAGACACTCGCAACCTTTCGTTCGAGGAGGCGCAGGGACTCGGCGATTTCGAGGGTTAGTGCCGGTGCTGGGGGTGGAGGTGCTGATGCCGAGGGGTTGGCTGAAGGGGATTGAGCGGGAGATGAGGAGGAGGTTGTCGTTGAAGGCGGGTTTGTTAAGTGGGTGAGGGTTGTGGAGAGCTGGAGGAAGAGGAGGGGGGAGCGTTAGTGAGGTTTGGGAAAAGAAGGGAGAGAGCAAAAGGAGCGGGGAGGAATGTTGTAGTATCAACTTCCAGTGGCTGGAACACTGAGAAAAAGGGAGAATATCAAATTTTTTTACAGTAGAGGGCTTGTAGGAGCGATGGGCTTGAGCAAGGGAGAAAGCTGATAGGATAGCTGCTTCGCGAACGGGATTGAGCGCTCATGTAAGAGAGTTTTTTCAAAGTCCATGGAAGAGGGATCCAATCTTCGACGAACCAGCCCATTCGAAATGGCACTTCATTTGTCAAGCACACCAGACAGGATAGGATAGGAAAAGAGCCCCGTTTCCCACAGTCTAGCCCACATCAAAGAACATTCAACATGTAGTTGCAAGCCATTCATGAGAACGCATTCACAGTATCCTTTCCAAAATTGAGGCACGAAAATGTGGACGAGCGCCCTCAAAGTTACTCCAAAAGAAAATAAAAAAGAACAGCACTGCCAGGCAAAGCAAGGGAGATGATATATTGATACAAAGAAAGCTAACCATGGGACTTGTTACTCACCCTCTCCATGTTCCGCGCCAATCTCGCATACTCATCCAGGACTTCCTGCTCCAAGGGACTGAGGTTGTCGGAGCTACGACGATGGGCTCCGAGATGGACGAGTCCATGCTCGTTGGTTTGGGTGTGGGGGGTTGGTTCCATTGCTGAGAAGATTGAGAGGGTGGGGCGGGCTTATTGTGACTGGGAGAAATGGTACAATATTTCCTATAGGAAGGTGTGGAAACGGGGCTTGGGATCAGGGTTCGATACCAGTGCATTTATCCGGTGCGGTCGGATGCTTATCGTGTGAGATGTTGGTGGATAGGAAAGGGGTTGAAGCAGAAAATGTCATCTACTGATGCGATATATTCGGCATCTTCATGAATCAAGGTCTCCACTAATATTCTATGAACACTCGTAGAGAATGATTTATGGCCTCACTATAGGAAACATGTTGGTGATTCACTTTGTCGTCTGGAATTCGTCTCCTTCAAAGTACAATTTCATGACCGCCGCGCTTTGCTCGTCAGCTTTCATGGAAATATATAGTAAGCCTATGCCCGCAACGCTTGCTTGAGACTGTTCCCACGGTTGCATGCTAGGCACAAGTCCTATTTGGTCATCGTATCCCATGTTCGTCTCCCACATCCCTAGTCATCTCTATCGTCCACCTCAACATCATTCCCTTCACCCTTTTCTGCCGCTTTCGGATCATACTTGACTAGCCCGTCTTCACCAAGAGAAAACCCAGGCAGCCATCTCGGTTTCTTGTAGCCATACAGTCTATCGTTGGGCAAGAAGGTGTCAAAGCTCAAATAGGCATTGAACACTTCGTCAACGAAGCAGATGCCACAATTGAGCGTTCGAATGGTGGCCTCGAGTTTCATACCCACGAAGAGGTGCTGAAGGACTGCTTCCTCGACAAAGAATTCATATTCATCCTCTCCTGCTTCGCGAAATCGATGCACCTCTTCCGATTGTTGCTTTACCTGTGACAATGTCTTCTCCTGTAGAGCTTGCTCTTCAGGTGTTAGATCATCAACAGTGGCGGATGGATTCTTCCATCCCTTGGTATGGATCTTGCCAACAGGTCGAAAGTCCTTCGTTCTTTGTTTGTAGAAGTCCCGTGTTTCATCATCTGGTAGAATGATCTCGGTGATTTCCAACCCGACCTCCTTCCTCACTTTGGTGACTTTGATCTCATTCGCCATAGCTTTCTCGTACCAGAGTTGGTATTGCTCCTCGCTACCAGCACAAGCCACAGCGAACTTGACAATCTGTCTGGCTTGATCGTCTGTCTGGCCAATAAATTCTCCCCCATCATCAGCCCAGGATGTCTGACCGTCATATCTCCTGCTGTAGGCACCGTCGAACAGGGTACTACATGCTATGTTGAAGTCGCCAGGGAGCCATCTTTGCGCCTGAACGATCGACCAAAGCTCCTGGGTGGCCTTGACGCAGCACTGCTTTGCGGCTAAGATGGGCTCCCGGTATTCCGGGCATACGTCGTGGTGAAGGAGATAATTCATGAAATTGATAAGCAGAGTGGTAATAGCTTGAACGTCGGCTTCGGTGTCAAGAGCATAGAAAAAGGGAACTCGGCGGGAGAGAAATCCTTTCATCACTCCTTCAAAGTCCACGACCCACATCGAAGACTCCTTGCCGATATCACGAAATTCATGTGACAAACTTGTTTGAGCCAGGGCATGTGTAAGAGTGTCTTTATCCATCGACTCTGCGTCACGTTCGGATATACCTTGGAACATATTTGGAGTAACATCTAAGCCTCCATAGGCGAGGTATTTACGAAATGTGTCCCGGGTAGCTGGAAGCATTTTACGGCGACGTTCGTAGCGATGGATAGCGGTTATGATGCGACTATCGATATACGTCAGAAGTCATAGAAGAGAAACTCGTTCGCACGATATCAGGCAATGAAGCTTACTCAGTGAATGGAAGGTCTCTGTGGCATCTGTCAGCTAGCTGCTCGCAAAGGGAACCCTGGCGACTAACAAGTCGTAGAGCTTTCTCTCTTCGTCGTACTCAGCTGGCGTAATTGGAGCATCCGCACTATACTCCTCAAAACCGCTGGGAGCATTCTATCGGATGTCAAATTAGCACGTTTCAGCCTTAGATGGACGAATTCTTACCAATCCCCTCTTGGATTTTGGCTTGCTTTTCTTGCTTTTCTTCTTCTTCTTCTTTGGCTGGTCAACCTGAAGATGCGCGTCGTCAAAAGCTCCCAATTCCTCTTCGGCACCACCATCATCTGCTGTATCAATGGCTGGAGAATTTTCAGGTCCTTCACCAGTTGGTCGATTATGGTTTGATCCGCCTTGGTCTTCCATAGTATCTTGCATCATACTACTAGAATCAAGGCCTAGGGCATCAGCAGCTGGAGAATGCAAAGGATGATTCGCATGATTTTGAATCGAGTCTTCATTGCTCAATGTATTTTTGTGGTTCATGATTTTGAAATTGGTCACGAAGGGCATTGTGTAATGTTGCGCTCGTTGAAGGAAATGGTGAAACGCAAGTGCCAGCGTAGTTAGGCAAGGCTTCGCCGGTGGTAGTCAGAGATGGCGATGAGCTCAAATTGAGCAAACGATAGACCTACTTAACTTGGCGCATGCGACAAAACAGTATACAAGCCAGATTTTGAGAGTCCTACCTAGAGGCTAGAATCTGCTGGATTGTAGCGGAGGAAGGATTAGTGGTCAAATGATCAGAACCAGAATTCTAGCATGCATTGAAGACATTAAATCAAGTAATGTTGACAGGATAGTGCAAGCTCAGTGGCGGAAGAAGAAGACTATACCAGAGGTTCAATGCGATGTGGCCTATGTCTACTGACTGGTAATAGAAGATATCATGCTTTATGTCGTGTTCCGATAAGATGGAGGACTGGAAGAGAGAACACGATCTCATTCAGCTATAAATGGTAATTTGCACCGTGAGCCTGAGGTGGTAATGCGAGCAACAAGCTGCGGATTTCTGGAGTCTCCTGCCGCTGAATGTTTGGTCACAGCTACTGCATGCTGAAGATATATGGTCATGCAGCAGTAGGTATCCGGTCTTGAATCGACGACTATCGAATGTGATAATTTCACCCATAGGCGTAGGATACATCCGAGTCTCCAAAATTGCAGCTCGAAAACGCTCAGGTCGGCAAGATCTTTCGAGCAAAAGACTAGGCACCAACTAAATAATGGGGCCCACACACTTCACTTCCAAGGGAACCTGTCCGCTAACATTTGCATGCGAAAGCTGAGAGGGGGCAAAAAGTAAATGACCAAACTGAGGGTCGAACTCAGGACCTTGTCCGTGTGAAGGACACGTGATAACCACTACACCATTCGGCCAATATCAATTATTTTTCTATATGTCAATTATAACAAAAAACGCAGGAAGGAGAACTAACAAAACTTCAAATGACCACACTGAGGGTCGAACTCAGGACTTTAAATGTGTATTAGTTTAATTTATCAGAAATTAGAAATACAATTGACTGACCCTTGTCCGTGTAAAGGACACGTGATAACCACTACACCATACGGCCAACAATAATGCAATTTTGGTTTAGATAAATTTTATGCCGAAGCTGGGGAACATATTTCAGAGGACCAGATCGTGCATGATGTCTTTGTATGTTCTAGTGGCAAAGAGTGCATGGTTAGCGAGCTTGACATACTAGAGACATATAACGACAAGTGTTTTGTATACTAACGGGGATATTTAAAGGCTCGTTGATCTCAATGTCGTATATGCTCCGCAAGACATGAAACACGAGTACAGTGCAAAAGTCTATGACCAGACCAAGGTTCTGATCTGAAGACTAATGGATATGTTGGAAGTGTGCTGATCAAGACGATTTGTATAACTTTTACATACCCTTTTCCGTGTGAGAGATAGGTGAATACCAGCTTCCCATCTGGCCAAGCCTATTGATACACACCTTATTGCGGTTTTTTGGGGCTGGAACATGGTCTTGAAGATAGCCCTCCAACAACTGCCAGCACCTCTTCATCGACACAACTCGAGCTAGCAAATCAATCTCCAATCCTTTGGAAAACCCTTCGTCCCTTCTCCCGAAACGAATGAGCATCTGATTCTGCTCTGACCGCATGACCCCATCTCAGCACCTCGACCCTTTTCCCTCAGAACATGGCCCTCCTCAGAACTCAAACAGACCCTTCCACCTTCGTCGCCTACACCCACGCCGCCGCCGGCCACGATGGAGTCCGCTCCGACCCCAGCGGTTCCATCATCGTCAAGCCGTGCACCCCAGCCGAAGTCGCCTTCTATGAATCTGCCGCAACTCATCCGAAATTCCAGGCATACATGCCGACCTTCATGGGTACGCTCGTTCTTAGCGAGAATCAGGATCCCTGTAGTCCCACTGCTCCAGCGACCGCCGCTCCTGCTGTGATATCGAATGATCTGCAGAAAGGTGGCGCGGCAGACTGGGTGCCTTCAGGAGGCAAGAAGCTCGATACGGGATTATCTATTGTGCTGGAGAATGTGACGGCGGGCTTTAAGCGACCAAACGTTATTGATGTGAAGCTGGGAGCGAGGTTGTGGGATGATGATGCGCCGGAGACGAAGAAGAGAAAGCTTGATGATGTTAGCGATGCTACGACAAGTCGGAGTTTGGGGTTTAGGATTGTAGGGATGAGGGTGTATCGGCCCGAAAGGAGGAAGAAGATAGAGGGTATATCTGAGAAGCATATTGCGGTTCAGGAGGATGGGTATCTAAGCTACGATAAGTATTATGGGAGGAACTTTGGTGCTGAGAATGTACACGAGGCGTTTGTGGAATTCCTGGGTGGAGAGGAGACTTTGAAGAAACCCGGCCGGACACAGCATGTTGCGAAAAGATTGGCGAGGGAGGTGAGGGATCTTGCTGCTGTGCTGCAAGAAGAGGAGAGCAGAATGTACTCGGCTAGCATATTGATGGTGTACGAAGGGGATGAAGCGGCAATGGAGGCGGCAATGCAGGATGAGAAACGGAGAGCAGCTATCGTAGCTTCAGACTCTTCGGGCAAAATCGGGGAAGATGAAGTTAGCGAGGAAGAAGAGGACGAACAGCTACCGAAAGTGTCAGAAATGCGACTGATTGACTTTGCCCATGCCCGGTGGACCCCTAGTCAAGGACCAGACGAGAATGTTCTACATGGACTTAGGAGTCTACTCAAGATACTTGAGCAATTGACAATGGAAGAGAAAGGCTGAAGATATGAGAAGCACGGTGTTGCCGCTGTTCTTGAAGATACACGTGTATAAGATATCCCATGTATATATTGTATAGATACCCAATGCTTCACGGCTTGAGCAATAACTTTCCCGTGGTTTTCCTTGCTTCCAAATCTCTATGGGCCTGTGCAGCATTTTCCAGCTTGTACGTATCATGTATCCTAATCCTCAAGTCGCCTGACTTGACAAGCTGGAAGAGCTCATTGGCGTAATACTCGAATTCCTCCCTCGTGTAAGTATAACCCATCAACGTAGGCCTGATGACTGAAATATTCTTGGCCGACAGTCTGGCAATTGGAAAGGGCGGAACCGGACCACTCGCATTTCCATAGAAGACAACTTTGCCTTTCCTGCGAGCAGCCTCCAAACTGTTTTCCCAGGTATCTTTTCCCACGGAATCGTAGACAACAGCTACACCCTCATCATTTGTGAGTCTTTTTACTTCATCTAACCATTTTGGGGCCCCAGTGCTCCTGTAATCAATCACATGGTCGGCACCATGCTTCCTTGCAAGCTCACATTTCTCTGCGCCCCCTGCCGTAGCGATTGTTTTGGCGCCAATCGCCCTCAGTAGCTGGCACATGAGTAAACCTACCCCACCTGCTGCGGCGTGAAGCATAACCCAATCTCCCTTCTGGACTGGATACGCTTCTTTGACCAGGCTCAGAGCGGTCATACCCATTAAAAAGCCACCAACAGCATCCTCATTGCTTATTCCATCTGGAATCTTGATCGTCTTTTCGGCAGAAACAGCAGAATATTCAGCGTAAGACCCAAACTTCATCCACACAACACGATCCCCAACTTCAAATCTGTGTGACTTTGAGCCGGGGCCAACGGCCGAAATCGTGCCTGATGCTTCTTGACCAATGATGGCAGGCTTACTGGGTAAAGGGTATAGGCCAGTCCGGAAATATGTGTCGATATAATTGATGCCAATGACTTCGTTTTTAACCAAGACTTCATCTTGTCCGGGTGCTGGTGTAGGATAGTCTGTTTTGTAATGAAGCTCGTCTGGGCCACCATTCTGCTCGAGTATGACCGCCTTCATCGTTTTAGGAACACTGGATGCCATTCTTCTAAATCTGCACTGTGTAGGAGCACGTACGCTGGACAATAGATGTGAAGTAAGCACGGCGGTACGGCGAAGGGGTGAAGACGAGGTCTGTCGGGAGAAGCAATACATGCGAAGGTTGAACTAAGGTTAGTAATGTTAGGTAATTGCTCTGTTATTGAGTGTTAGTGCGCATTTTTCTGTGCATTGCGGCAACCATGAAAGACAACTCACTACATCGGAGAAGGACTTCTACCGGAGCGGTGGCTCCAGGGTTACAGTAGTCCGCCATTGGCATGGACTGGAGGGCCCATCGGGCCAGATTTACGCTGGAACTAGTTAGTAGTACTTAGTCCTACTTACTATCAAGTGCTTGGCATATAATGCTGACAATTGAACTTGAGGACTCGTTCCTTTCCAAGATTTTGGAAGTGTACCGTAGTTGATGAGCGAAAATGTAGAACACGGCAGGGAAAGAAATTTCTTCAACAAAAGAATCAATCAAATGGAGAGCAGCAACATCGCCCAATGTCTACGTCGTTCGCTGCACCCAGATCTTTCGCGACAGGGAGAAATCCATGGCTTCATTGGTATCAATGTTCGATGTTGGCTTATCGGCTTTGAGAAGAATATTCAAATAGCTGGCAACATCTGTACAATCTTGGTTCCAGCATTATGAGCTGGGCTCTTGATCAAATGCACATCTTCGCCAACAAGGAATACAGACTGGAAACGGAAATTTGCACGCTGTGCAACCACCACTTCTAATTCCCTGCGATGGATTGTGCTTTCCAGGTCTCCACAGCGATCATACCCCAAGAATAGTACCAAGTGGAAGTTGTGCCGACTTCCGCCATCCACGATGCAAGTGATCGTGTGGTGACGCTGACTAAGTCAAGTACATCTTAAATAGATTCCTTTAGGTTATGAAAGGGTAAGATCGATTCGAAGGACTGCAGAGGGTGATGCCTCCGGAACATGCGGCGGCATGACCGTTTGCGATATTGCCTGTCTCTGGCGGTTTATATTGTGCTGCACACGCATTCTTCGAATCCAGCACCTATGTGATTCTGTGAAGATGTATGTAACTTCGTTGAGTGCGATGGGATGAGCTGCAGCGAATGTGGTTAAAACCACCAGTTGCAACAGTCACAATTTGTTGACGCCTGTGTAACTCGGTCGCATGCCTTTGCCACAATGCGAGCAATCAGCAAGCTGGTGGTCATGAAAAGGAGAGATTCGTATGCTTGCGGACAGCTCAGAGCCAGCTGTGCTATCAAAGGAGCACAAATTAGATAATCTGACGCAAAACAACTCTTTTGCCACATACATTTTGTGATGTGAAGTGTGGTGAAAAAGGACTATATTCGCCCAACCATTATATTTCTGCGCCCCACTAGAATGGCCAGGCATGGGTGGAAGTAAGTATGCAGGTATGCCCACCAGATTCACATTTGGCCTTGGGCAATATGCAGCAACGTGCCGAATCAAGCATTGCCAATCGATGCGACGATCATGATTTGGCAGTTGACGCAAGAAATATGCACGGCATCGTTATGCTGATCAGGGCGAATACTGTCTCTCTGCACATGCCATTTGACCACGCAAAGCACTTCTAGAATCTTTCAGGGTGTTGCTATACTCCGTGCAAGCTTCAAGCTTCTTGTAGATATCGACGCTAATGTTTAGGATTGCCATGGCGATCTCTGAGATAGCTTGTAAGATCAAGGTAGGGCTGGAGCTGCAAATACCATGGGCAAACCCTGTCATTCCCCAGATCCTCATTTGACAGCAGCGTTGTGTAGTGACACAGAGCTTTAATTCGACTTCCAGATATCAATGGTGGTGTGAACAACCCATTTGAATATGCGTCTTCGATGCGGAATACGTAAGAGAAGATCATCATCATCAAGCAGCTGTTCGAATCAGTTTTCTTTTGAACATTGGGCGGGCTTTAGATGCGTCTTTAGTCAGGACCGTTGGTGCTGATCTGGCCAACCGTTGAGCTCCCTTTGTAGCCAAATTTTCCCCGTTTCTGCCCCAATTCCTTCCACCGCCTTTTCAGGCCCCTCTGTTGTCCTCTACCATGAAGCTTAGATCAGCGTAGATTAGTCGAGTCAATTGTGTTCTCCTCTGCTCCTTTCTGCCGCCACTGCTGGTGGTGTGCGTTCAATTGGCTTGCATTGGCTCCAAGCCCGACTCTGGACGGCCCAATTTCCACAAGTGCATACGATTATGCAACCATAGGTTGAACACCACCAACCCTTCCCGCCGCCACCTCTTTCTTCCAGGATTTCGTTTCCTCTGTTCATTCATCTATTGACACGAAACGCACCCCCCCGGCCTCATCCTCTCAACCGTCCTACCCTTCTTTTCTACGTTCAATTGTGTTTGCTATCAACATCTGAAGCGGAGTCGTTCGAAACCTCGAGTCCAGGGTTCTCGGTTGATTTCTTAAAAGCCCAGTCTTACCGAGTATCTCAATCAAGGATAATCCACCGCCAAAGCATCTCTCCATTGCTTAGTCAGTTGTTGAGACCTGAGTCTACATATCATGCGGTTGGCGTCTCCTGGGAGTGTAGGAGTACGATACAGGCTGAAGGATAATGGGGTCACAGTGGCCGCCTTCCCCACGAGTGGAAGATGAAGAATCAGCACTGAAGAAAGAGGTCACGTATGGATCAGAAGGGAACAGCAAGGCCGAGTTCGAGGAAGCTCGTTGTCGGGGCAGCGTCGATCAGTATCCAATTATTCTTGACAGCAATCATGAGGCCGAGCCGAAATGTGACTACACGTCAAGCACAGACAATGACGGTGAAAGTGTTAAAGATCAATCGTCAGACGACAGTGATGGACCTCCTACTCCCCAAAACTCGAAAGCTGGTCGAAAGCATTCCCAGTATCCACCAGCTCCTCCCAACTCCCGCTCTTGGTCTGACAAGGTGACTCCGCCTTCGACGACGGTGAAAGAGCCTATGGAATATGTCCCCTCTCGCGGTCGCCCAGGCATACCGCGAATACAAACTGATCTTGGTGGTGACTTGCAGGGGATGATTAGTGGCCGAAGACGAGCACCTTCACCGTACTCATACACAAAGCCAGAAGCACCTACCAAAACTGACACATCCAAACGGTTATCTGGTAATACACTCCTATCGCCGAAACATATCGCTCCTATTCAGGCATCCCCCAAAGCTGAGAGCAACAAGCGGCATTCCTCGGCTCGGCCACGATCGAAGCCTAGGTTGAAGAGTGATTTTGACGATTCATCCGATAGTGAAAGAAGACAGCGACATCATTCCCGGCATAGGTCAACACGTGAGACCTTTTCGCAACCTCTATCCTCACCAGAGGATGGGCCAAAAGAGGCTCCAAGAGCTGAGAGAAGGTCATCCTATTATGCCTACGCTCGATCAACCAAAGACGGACACTCAAACAAGGGTTCTGAGGCGGAGGTTTCGCATCATGCTGAGGCAAACGACCAACAAGGCAAGCGGCTTCCCAAAGAGTCACCTCATACGTCATCAGCAGAGGACTCAAGGTGCAAAGGTCGTCCAGTTTATGTTTCAAGGTCGGACAAAGGTCTGTCAAAGGAATCGTCGCATGTCTCTTCCGCCGAGGAAGGCTCAACACGTCGCGGAGATTCCTTGCGTACGCAGGGATCCGAAAGCCAGATATCGCAGCATGGATCATCTAGCAGAAAAGAGAGACCTCGACTGGATTTGTCTGGCCATAAATATTCTTATTATGGTGCTCCTAGCGAGGAAAAACGCGGTAGTGGTAGACAGATTAAGCATGGCAACCATGTTCTCGACGGCCGACATTATCTTGAACCATCAGCACTTCGCTCACCCAAAGCCATGGAAGAATATTTAGAAAAAGCGTTCAAGGACAAGAAAGGCAGACCGTACAAAGAGTCACCTCATCCCTCCCCATCTGCCTCTCCTCGAGGCTCGCCTCCGCAGACACCTCCACAAACACCACGCGTCGATAGAAGACCGAGGGACTACTTCTCCGTGGGAATGTCTGATACATTGACATCTTCGGATTCAGTACGCCCTAGAGCCCCCTCCCGTGGCGAGAGCCAGTACAATCAGATCAAGCCCTTGGCAACTGTGCTTGCTGCTGCTGCTGCTGCTGGTAGTGCGAGAGCTGTGCCATCTCTATCACGATCTTCTACGTCATCAGCAGAACTACATACTAGCGGCATTCCTAGTAAACCAGCGAGTGGGCGCAGATCTCGCAACACTTCACCGATTCGCGAAGAAAGAGGGTCGTTCTCTCGACCAGGGCACGAGCATGACAAAGGCATCCCAAAAATTGTAAGGGACGAAGAGCGCCCAGACTCGCGGCCAATTTCCAGATCTGGATCGACATCTTATATCTCACCAGCCATGGCATCGTTAAATCGTTCTAGTAATAGAACTGGCTCTTATGCTCAGCCGCAAGTGGATGTGCCTCGACTAAACCATAGAGCATTTTCCTACTCTGCTCCAGAAGACGCTCTTTACCTTCGCCAACCAAGCTCAGCAAGACTTGCACAGCTCAATTCCAGTCAGCCGATGACACCCAACTCTGCACCTCTGCCTACGAGGCCTCGGCTGCCTCGATCGCCATCATCACCGGAAAAGACCCCGCGACACCACCAGTTATCGGAACTGCCGCCTTGTCCTCGTTCGGTGGCACAAGCTGGTTACCACGATTGGTATACAGTCGTTGGCATGCCACAGCTGGACATCTGTCCTTCGTGTATGACGGTACTCGGCGCTTCACGGTTTCGGGACATGTTCACTCCCAGCACCTCCAAAGTGCCTGGCCAGCGAATCCTGTGCGACTTTAGCAGACCTTGGGTCAGGCATGCATGGGCACAGATCATCAAACAACGTCGTAGTAGCCTAGAAATGATCTACCAGATTGTTCGCAACTCGGAAACAACGAAGCCTTGTCCTGGAAAGGGCAGCGATGTCAGAGCATGGTATCGGTTACCCGATCCACAAACCGGCAACAACATTCCGAATTTCGACGCCTGTTCGGAGTGTGTGCGATCCGTGGAAATTATCTTCCCACAACTGCGCGGCATCTTCAAGAGATCTGGTGCATTGGTACAGGAGAGAACGTGCGATCTCAACACGCAAAGTAGACGACATGATAGCTATCTGAGACTACTGGATGCAGCTGCTGTGCAGTATGACGTTGAACGGCTGCGGGAGCCGGACATCCAGGCCTTTGCAGATTACGCTCGCAAGACTGCACGAGTGCGTGAATGCACTCGTGATGATATGGTGATGGGACAGCTCTGGCACTTTATTCCCAGCCTCCCCGAATTGACCATTTGCGAAGAATGCTTCGATCAAGTCGTCTGGCCTGTGGCAGATCAGCCTGTTGCCAGCAGCGTTACTCGCACACTTCAGCTCGTACCTGGTGCAAACCACCACTCTGGCATCAGCTGTCAGCTATACAGTGAACGTATGAGGAAGAAGTTTCTTGAGGCCGTCAAATATGCCGATTTTGAATATCTCAAGCAAGTTGCCTCAAGGCGGCACAGTGTTGAGAGACTGTTGCAGGAGAAGCATAAGAACCTGATGAATGATATGGCAACAGGGAAGGATCGAACGGCCGAGTTGCAAGCAAATATTGAGGAGTGGAGGAAATGGGAATGATTGAAAGAATGAAAGGGACAAGTCGATGTTTCTATAATGAACAAAATCACTGGAACGAAGTTTGGACTATGGCGGAAATGAACTCCAAAAGCTTTAATAGGATAACAGTCACTATTGAATGAATCAACGGTTTTCTTGGTGTTGGAGAACCACCTGCCAGTGGTTGCAGGTTGCTGAGTGATACGGGATCTCCTGCTTGTCTCCTCATGTAGTTGAGTGCGCTTGTGTTCATCCTCTCGTACTGCATCTAAGGTAGAAGGCTCCTCTAAAGTTCATACATAGCTGAGACCCTATCAGACCCTATCAGACCCCTCTGAATACAGCAAACAACCATGAGCTGTCACCATCTCCGTCCCCAAGCCATTCTCGAAGACCTCATAACTGATTTCCCTTATTCGTGAAAGCGTGCCAAGGGGAATTGATGCCAAGTCTCAGCTTGACTTCAACTTGAACTCCAAGCTTCAACGTCACGGGTTATCGTCTCTCTTGTAGTGGGAGATTCGCTCCATTGCCTTCCAGAGATATCGGTCTGTACGCACGATGCTGATACGGCCGAGTCCTGCGCTTTTCAAGCGCTCGGTTTGGAAAGGTATGTTCTTTTTCGTCGGGCATGGCTTTGTGGTTGTGCGTGGGTTACTTTCTTGGGCCTTCTGGCTTCGAGGCGATCCAGTCAAATGGAGCATTGCAAGCCTGTCTAAGCGCGTTGCTGCTAAAAGACACTGCGGAGCCTGTAGCGCTGGCAGTTCTAAGCCAAGGTCGAAGGACGATATCGCGAGTTCATCCCTGTACCATCCGAGGTCTCCAGTCGCGAACAGACAACACACCTCACTCACTCGATTTCATTACACCCATCGCAGCTAGCATAACGGAAATTTCCTCGCCTGCTTCTCCCAACTTCGCAAGCTAACATCATCTCTCCCTATAACAGGACCCAACTTGCTCCCCATAACATTCCCAGCGCAAATGCCTCCTCCACCCGGAACACCACCAATCAAGACCCGCGCCCGCTCTGCCACAATTCTCCCCAACTTTCTCGGACTACGATTCGCCGTGCATAACGGGAAGACCTACGAAGATGTTTTCATTACGGAGGACATGATAGGTAGGAAGTTGGGGGAATTTGTCTTGTGAGTTGACACCGACATCTCTTTTTTTTAAGGGGCAAACAAGTGACGGGCATGGCGATTTGAGACGCAATTGCTTGATCAAGCCTGAGGGCTGATGTGTAAACGCAACACAGGACGAGAAAGACACCTAACCGCAGAATGTACAAGCCTAAACCCCCTGGGGGAAAATGAAGACGGGGATGGGGAACCACACGGTGGACTGGGTTAGGAGATGGACCGCGGACTGCTGAATCACAGGAAGAGCTCTAATCTGCAAACGAGACATGACACCCCAAACAATGAGAAGCCCAGTGGAAGGTCAAGGCGAGCGTATGTTTGAGGCACGTGCACACTTGCGCAGGTGAGATCGTTGTGGCAGCCTTTCCCAACTCCACCTGCCAAAGTGTCCTCAGACCAGAATCATTTGCAGCAGGACGGGAAGGACGAAGCCCAGGCATCTAAGACCGCCAAACAGTCCAGAGGCGTTCGACACGATTAAGGTCATCCAGCACATCCTGGCGGACGGGTATCTCTCTCATGGATATCCCACGCTGAGAGCGATAGGGCAAGATCTGCTGTGCTGGATTGTTGTTTCTGACAGGGCGATGGCCCAAGGGTTGCCAAGTAGGCGTTGTATATATTCTCCTGGAGCAAAGCAGCCAGCCAGGGTCGGCTTGGCTTATGTACTATTACTAAAAATCAAATGCTAGCTTTTACTTCGCGCCAGCAGCACAAGATAACGTGCGAATAGATATGCGTCTGATATCCGAAATCTACCGTAAAGATAGAGGAGGATGCACCCCGCTGTCGCAGGGGCAGGATTTGTGGTTGTGATGATGTTTTCTCTGCTGCTCAGTCCCAGTCCCAGTACCACACAATCACTCTCGTGATCAGTGCTTGGGAGTTGGATGTATCATGCTAGCCCTGCATTCCAACCTTACTTCATGAAAATATAGCTGTCTAGCTGACTCGATGCAAAGCGGCGTGACGTGTCGATGAACGCCAGATGGTAAATGCAAGCGCGAAATTTTTGCGATTCATGTCCACAACCATGCCCCCGTGCCGCATATCCATACTCGCAAACCATATGCAACCCGTAAGTAATGCAATGGAGGGGAAAAACTCCAGCCTTGCCTCCTTCCAGCCAATGCCGCCTTCCAGCCAATGCCGAGAAACCATCCTGCCCTTCTGGCAAACCAACTTGGATCAAGGATGAAAAAAAAACAAACAAAAAAACTGGGCGGTCAACGATAAAACTCGCCCCTCCTCACATTGACGCCATACTCCCCCACCGCCATGCCCAGATCCTCCATCGTCAAGACCGTCCTCCCCTGGCCACTCTGCCCCCCATCCCACCGCCTCCGTACCCGGACCTCGCAACACCGAGTTGCGCTCCCCCCTGTCCTCCTCCGCTTCCGCCTCCCTTCCCACCCGCTTTATCGCCGCCACCAACACCACCTCCAGCCGTTATCCCCGGCGCAGCACCCCCCGGTAGGATGGGATTGGCACTGCTGGCGGTATTGGAGGCGCGGATGCGCGAGTACTGGTACGCGTCGGCGGCGATGTCGGCGATGAATTTCTGGGTTGCGAGGGCGAGGAGGCGCGCGAGCGGGAGCGGGGTCGAATTCGTGCTGCTGCCGGTCGGGTCGGAGGGGTTGGGCGGCGGCAGGCCCGACACCGTCAGGTAGTGCGACGTCACTGCGTCGGGGATCTGGGGATTTTTTCGCATGCAATGGTTAGTGAGGGGTTGGGAAAGGGGAGGGGAGGAGGAAGAGAGAGACGGGTGCGGGTTGAGGCGCCGGGTGGAGATGATCAAATAGAAGTGAGAGGGAGAGGGAGAGAGGTGAGCGTACGATGGGAGCGTAGTCGTCCATCTTGCTGAGGAATTCTCGTAGCGAGGCATCTTTCCGGCTGGGGGGTGGGCCGTGCGAGGTGGAGTTGGGCTGTTGCTCTTGCTGTTGGGGTTGGGTGTCTGTTTGGGTTGTGGGTTCGTGATCGAGGGTGGAGGAGGAGGTATCTTGGGCGTGCTGGGTCTGAGGGTCGCGGGGTGTCGTCTTCCATTTCGAGGTCTGCGTCGAGATCTGCCTGTCCTGTGGTGGAGGGAGGGAAACTCTGGTCCAGCGTGGAAGAGGTAGTCTGCGTTTGGCGTGCCTGACTTGATGAGTCGGCCATGATGGAAGGGAGGCGGCGAGGTCAGTGCAGACGAAGCTCAATGACTTGCTGTGGTGTCCACGAAATCTTGCAGACAGGTAGAGATGCAAATACTATTCAAATAATATGCAAATACTACATGCTTGTAGCACGAGGCACTATAGTACTTAGAGTGGGTCATTTGCTAAGTAACTCAAGGCCCGGAGCTCACCCCATGATACCCGTGTAGCCCGCCCTGAAATTTATACGCTAGTTAAGGTGTGGGAGTACTACTACGTAGTAAGTAACTTACTCCTAACCGATAATGTTGTAGCTACTCGTAATGAGAAAATCAATCACTCTTTACACTTCTTATTTTATGCAACCATGAGTTCAACTCTGGTTCGTTATTTCTCGCTTATCAGACGTACAGTGCCTGATACTGTCTTCCTCGTAAGCTACATTACCAGAAAACCGACTAAGGTCATATTTTATTCTTCTCAAACTAAGATCAAACATATCGCTACAACGCCAGTTATAGGAACTTGAGGACATATACGCTCTCTACACACTACATTTAGACAGCACAACATGCTATTTCTACTTCTTCTGTGTAGTAAGTTGAAATTATGTTGCAAATCAGAGTGTGTTGCACATGTCAGCTGTGTTTTATGATTCACAAATGTGGTTGCAGGGAAAAGGGCAAGAAGCGGAGACACGTATCCGGAACAGCACTTATTCAGTCAAACGAAAGCGATGTTCAGTAGAATTTCTCTTACGATTCTGGGTCCAAACGATGATTGCAAGCATCCCAGTGGCTTTACCCATCAAAGACATTTGCGATTGGTTTCAAGATCGTCAATCAAGATCGAAGGACTGGGCCATTTTTGTGAAAGAAACTGTCCATACAGTTATATATACTATATATTTATCTTGACGTTGAGTGAGATTTAGTAACTGCTGACGAATTTCGCTAGACGAATAGCTTGTGTTGTGTAGAGTTTGGACTTGTAAATGTTGATCTTGAGTAGAATGAGAGGGATTAGAAGAAGGAGGAGGAGGAGGAGGAGGAGGAGGAGGAGGAGAAGTAGAAGGCCTATTGTCAGGCCTATTAGTATCTATGTAGAATGCGTAGAATGCGTAGAATGCGTAGAATGCGTAGGATGCGTAGGATGAGCAGAATTTGCAGGATGAACAGAATAAGCAGAATTTGCAGGATAAACAAAATTTGTGCAAAATAGCGACAGGGATGCTGACAGGGATATGTATGTAAAGAAGGCGTTTGTAAGATATTTTGACCAGGGAAGGGGTACAACAATTCGGCCTGATATCGTAGTACTCCTCAATCCCCTCTGTCGTCTTCTCTCTTTTTGTCTTTTACTCTTTTCTCTTCTTTCGCTTCCCTCTTAGCTGCTTTCTTTTCTGGCTGACTACATCATGGCTTCTGGGCTCTGTAGTGTTGTAGCGTTAGGCCGCTAATTAGCTTCTTGCCTCTAATTAATGTTTCTATTTCATCTTTGTGCTCTTATTTAACGCTTCTCTTGTCGGTTAACTCAAATATTAGCCAAACCAAGATTAATTGCTGTAGAGTCTCCCGGGCTCGGACGAAGACCGTGATTTAAAATGTAATATCACTTAGTAATTAATTCAATGTCCGGGCCCAAGATATGCACATCCGGCGAAACGTTCCGCTGCCGCGTCCCGAAATTAGTCTGTTTTTGAGTTTGTTTAATCCTCCTCAACCCGTTCGCAAAAATCCGGGTGACTACTCCGTACCATCTGCGCAATTGCCATCACCAAAGACGTTCAGTCCGCAGATCATGAGGAAATCGAAAAGCATGATGCTGTCATCAATTGAGGCTACGACGAAAGCATAGCCAATCTTTCAATCAGCAAGGGAGGTAGCTGAGCATGTAACCGAGATTTGCGACTGTTTGTCCTATCCAACGAGCCCAATCACATGTAGCCCTGACCACATTTCGGATCTCCTACAGGGTACCACCTTCTTCTTGAAAAAATGCGATGATTCTAATCCTTTGTAGCCATATTTAGCTGCGCGAATGGCTGTCGAATAATACTCCGTCCCCTACTCAGATTACAAAAGAAGCTAAAACTGTCCTAGGAAGTGGAGAACATTTTTTTTAACCGTCCCTTGTGAGGCTGGCTGTACTCAGCCTCTGCGAAGTCCAGGCTTTACTCCATATTGTTTTATCTAATCCAACCTCCATCCCTAGCCGTATCTGGGATTTGACTTTGCCTATAAGGCTAGCACGCGATCTTCATGACATCTCTTAAAATATTGAAGCACTTCCATCCAGCGGCTCGCTTTCATCTCAGCTGGCAACAAACCCGCCACAATGCAGACTGCATCCAGATCTGCTCGACAGATGTCCTGTAGAGGGGTCTCGTTTTCACTGGCGCCATTTGTGGCGCTCAAGAAGAAATCACGCCGCATCCTCCTAGTCTTTCTTGAAGAGTCAGGGTTACAGTTCTGCTATTGCTGAGTAGAGATTATCATCACTTTTGCCCTCCTGGAGATCTTTTCCGTGCCATTCCATCTTCGGATAGGAGAATTCAATGTTACAGGCAGGAGGGATCTGGCCATTAGGGCGAGTTCTCATTGGGCATAGCGCTTCTACCCTACTATTTCTACTCCTCCATAGCTGTGAGGCCTATCCTCAGCCTTCAATTCCATAGTCATGCAGACCCGTTCTCTCTAAGCAATACGCTTGAGTCCCCCCTAGAGCAGTAAGTCTCTAAGCCTCCCTGACAATCAATATAAGCAGCTGATAGGGAATCACTGCATCTCTAGTTGAAAGAACTGTGAACAGCTAGTTGATTATCCGAAATCGTCACCCCGCCCTCCCTTCTTCCTGCTGATCCCTTCCGTTGTTTGGAGCTTTTTTCAGTGTCCATCCAAATAGATTCAAGAGCTGGAACTGTCCCCCTTCTTCCCCTCCCCAGAAGGACAGGTTTATGGGGCAAAATGTGACGCTCGAATATTCAAACTGTTCATCTGGTTCACCGGACTTCAGCAAACCGAGGCTCGTCAAAGTCAAAAGATGGAAAATAATTTGGCCTGTCAGATCGACACATTATGATCTTCAAAAGCTGTATCACATTTCCTCCTATTCCTAATCCTGAGGGGATTCAGCTTCTTTGTTACCGCCGCCACAGTTACGCTCGAAGATCTGTACCAGAAGTAGCAATGGATTCTCAGATTTCTTTTCTTCATTTCCACTAGCCCCCTGAAAGAAGACAAAACCTTAAGGTATGATGGTGACTAGCTCACCTTTTGGAAGCTGTGGCTGACAGGCTCGAGCTGAACGCACCTGAAAGTTGGGGGGATATGGTATGTCTTCTCCTGGAAGGGAATACTATTATCTAAATAGTGTGTGATATACGTCCTCTTTGGTTGATCTTTCACCAATGGGGCATTGTCTAGCCTGTTCTTTGACGTATGTTTGGAATTGCGGTGAGAAGGTAGGTGCCAACCTCGAAGGTATAAATATGGCGTTCATTTCGTTCGTTGCGTTCTTTCAGCAAATCCAACCAACCATTCTTCAGATTCTTATTCCCAGATTCTTCATCGCTTCTTTCTGCACATCCTGTCTATCAAGATCACAACTGTGAACTCTCGTCAACAGCACTTGTACAAAGAGGTTCATACCAGTTCGAAATGGGTATAATTAATGGACAGACCACCGGTGGAGTTTTTGCTGTTGACCTATCCCACGACGTCCGAGATGCCGCGCTCAACCTTAACCTCAAAGCATATGAGTTTCGCCGTACTTTGGCAGCTGTCTGGAATGTCAAACCAACCCGCGCAGAGCCACCTCCAGCCGAGGCCGCCATTTCCCTGGACATGAAGAACGAAAGCATTGAAAGTGTTGTCGGTGGTGGCGATGAGCGCCTTAAGGTGGACAATATTCACTTTGCGCCAGGTGGAAAATATCGATGTGAGTTCATAACCTCTTGTACTCTGTTATACACATGATGCTAACATTGCTTCCTAGCAATCGTGAAGCTCTTCATCCGTTACGAATTCCAGCCACCCGGTTCCTGGGCCATGGGTACGGGCTGGCTCATCAGCCCAGACATCTTCGTCACGGCCGGGCACTGCAGCTATGACTGGGGCCATAAGTGGGGTCGTGCTGAAGAGGTCAAAGCCTACATAGGTTACAGTGGACGTGACTCGGAGAAAAGTCGCAACGTCCAATTCAGGCAGGTTAAAAGAATTGTCACCACTGAAGGTTGGGTCAAGACAAAGGGCTCGAAAGCATTTGACGTGAGTTTTATGCAAGTTGATACGCCTTTTACCGGTATCAGGCCCATCAGATACGAGGAGACCCCTGCTAGAGGAAACTTTGAACTCGGTGTCGTGGGCTATCCCGGCGACTTGTCTGACAAATACACGGGCGAGAAAGGAGCCCATATGTACGAGATGTTTCTCCGCACGGAATTCGACCTTGCTGGCTCACCAGATACAATGCTTGAGTATAACATTGATACTTTTGGAGGTATGTACTCCAGTTTTTTGTTTTGGCTGGAGGAAATATCTGACATACATCGACTAGGCAATTCTGGATCTCCAGTCCTCAGACAGTCGGATCTAGTCTCTCTTGGAGTCCACGTTTACGGAGGCGCTATGAACTCTGCCTCGGTCATTGGGAAGTTTGGCAATCCGTACAAGGACTACCTCGCGGCCTTTGATCTGCACTTGCCCAGCGACGCCTTGCATCTCATGCCCGTGACAGAGAGCGGAAAATCTTCGGCCACCGGACCATCCGGAGACTACCAAAAGCCTCTGGGAAGCAATCCTGTCTCCGGATCCAAGTCTCGTGTCAACGGGAATGATCAGGGAGTTCGTCCGCAGGTCTCCTCTCAGCACCAGCGTCGCCCTTCTGCTATGGCTAAGCTCATTCAAAGTGGCGTAACCTCACGAAGCCAAGCAATGAACACCAAAAGCGAGTCGCTTCAGGCAGAAGAGTTTGCTTTCATGGATATACTGAAGGTGGTAGGCGGTGCGCTCCCAATCATTGGAGGCCCAATCGGTGCACTTGCTGGTTTCGCATTGAACGCTGCGAGCTCTGTCGCGGCGGAGTCAACTGGCGCCGAGAGTGTGCAAGATGGGACTCCTCTGCACGAAGGGTCCATGGAGCGAGCAATTCTGGCTGAAGCCACGCTGAGCGCCCTACAGGCGGCAAGCCTTCCCGACGAGCTTGAGGAGAGCATTTTCAGCGACATGAAAGATGCAGTTATGAGAGCCTTGCCCATCGTCCGGAAAGCTGCGCCCCACGTCATGAGTGCTATGATGGAGCCGGCTCTGAAAATTGCCCTCGACTCGCTTCATAAACATAATCAGAGTGGAGCGGAGAGCTTTGAAGCGGCGTACGACGAACCTTTCCAGCCAACCACTTTGTATTCCTCTGCCATCGACCAAGAAGCCGATGCTGATACCGAGAACTTCTTGGGTGTCCTTCAATCTGTTTTGCAACGCAATCTCCAAGAATCAGCCGTGGATGGCGACGCCGAAGAAGGCTTCCTCGACATCATCAAGGCAGGTGCGCGTCTGGCCAGTAAAGGCGTTGTCCAGGCAGCCAAGTTCGGCCTCCCCATCCTGGTCGATGCAGTAAAAAATATTGCCAATGCCGAATCCCTCGACGACCAAACCGCGTCTGCGGCCGGCACCCAAGGTCTGACAGCCGACCAGCTCGCCAAACGTGCGCTCGTGGCCGATGCCGCCCTTGAAGCCGTAATGAAGCTTCCGGCCCAGCACCTCGAGGAGTTTGGTTTCATCGACTTCATCGGTGACGCGGTCAAGAAGATTGCAGGCCCGGCCATGAAGGTGCTCCCGCAGGTTGCGAAAGCGATTAATCCGGTCGTTGGCAACGTGATCTCTAATTTGCTTGGGCAGGATTCTCCCACTGCTAGAGGCAACAAACCTGCCGGCGCTGCCAGACGCGCACTTCCGGCGTCCGATCGTCTTGCTCCGAAACGCAGCTTGGCGTCCTTGAGACAGAACAGTGGGAAGGGAACCGTCGGTGGGGCGGGGAGGCACTATTAGTGATCAGAGGAGCACCGTGGCTCTGTGAAGCGATCAAGACCATTGGTCGACCTGCTGTGCAGAGTACGTAGAAAAAGCAAGTTGTTCGATAGCTAGGGGGGTTTTCATTGACGTTCTCTCTCCCGGACTGGTATCATGGCTAGCGGAATGGACTGTTCTGGATCAAGAACAAACGTCTTATCAGTACGTTAATGTAGGACTAGATTAAACACTTATACCTATCTTTAGATTGTTTTGTTTTCATCTATCCATATTGCAAAATCGTCTCTAAATGTCTTTCTGCAATATCAACTCCTGACCCTGATAGATGGTCTTGGAAATCGAAATCTTTTTGCATGGCGCATGCAGTCCGGACATTCTGTGCCCCGCTCAAGCATGTTATTCACCGTCTAATACACGAGGCTGTCATGGTGTACGAGTGATCTCGATCATCCTCAACCTGGAGGCCAAAACTAACTACTAGCACGACCGAAGTACCAACTTTCGTCCTCCTGTTACTGAATTGGCTATCTCACGATTTGTAATATACGAGACTCGAGAGAGAAAATTCTCTGGACTTGCAAAATGGCTATGGAATTCCACCACCCGGGCATGCTTGGTCTTTTGCCTATTAGGAGTTGTTGAACCTGCGTCTCAAAATGGTGCCCAATGGCAAATCGGCACCCTAAACCCATTATTGCACTCCGCCAGATGGCAAGACGGAATGTAAAGTGGGGACCTGGGCCTGCTGTCTGGCTTCGCAGTAGGCTGCGGCCTCGATTTGCACACGGCCATACTCGTTTGCATATTACTTCCCCAAAGAGGTGAGGTGAGGTCCTCATCAGATGTCACGTTACCTGCTAATCCGAGCCCTAGTACTGCCGGCCGCCACAAAAGGGCGGGATTGAGGTCCATCCCCTGTACCACATCCAAATCTTCTATTTTATCATTTTCTGCGTGCTGATTTTCCATTCGTCCTCCCTGGCTGTCGCGTTCTATGGTGGGATGTATGCGTTCGAATCCCTTGCGTTCTATTAGGCGGCCTGGTGGAGTCACTCGGAAGACTCAGGGGGCGTTGTCGATGAGCCACCATTTTAAGTTATTGAATGACTGGAAACCACCCGTCCCAGGCCCGCTTGATCGGCCAGTCGATCCACAATCTCTTATAGCCGTGGCCCAATGGGTGGATCCCTCTGGGACCTTCGGACCCACTTGCAAGGGGGTACCCCCCCTACAAGCCCGCGCGCAGCGCGTGGCTCTCACCATAACGCCCACATCAGCGTAACGCGCATCTTGATGCCACTGATTGAATTTGAATGAGTATAGACAATGCAGAATTCGCTTAATTAGGAAACTATTACTCCTCAACGAATGGGAAGCCATTTTCGACGCTCCACCGAGTCAATTTGAGGATATCCGTTACACCAACTCCGCCGCAGAGTGGAAATTTGGGGCCATCTCGATTGCGAGTTGTTAAGGCATCAGTTCACGACGAAGAGGTGGGAATGCTCGAAGACCGGTTAAGCGAAATCCATATTTGATTGGATGAAATGGGACAGCGGCCACTCAATTCTTAAGATATAGAGCATTTGGAATTATGTCCTTTTCGCCACACTGGCTTATAGATAACCCACTGGAAGGAAATGCCTTGGAATCCGAATAACTTGATGTTGTAATAAAATCTCTCTATGTGGCGGGAAGTCACGTGAGACGAAAGTGGAGGTGCAAGTGCAAATATCAGGGAAGACGGCCGGGCGGAGACCTATGTCCCAGGGAGTTGTTGATCTTCAAACTAAGTTAGAATGATCCATAAACCAGTTGACAAAGGAGACCATCCGGAAGCCAGCCGTCCGTTCAGACACCTAGCATCAAGGCTCACTTTCACCGTCAAGCTGTCCGGGCTGTCTGCTAGTACACCACAAAGATGTCACTGGTCACAGAGGCTGTGGCAGGGATTAAATTGACCTCTAGGTAAAAGCAATGTCGAGTCAAGGAGGCATATAGTGGAACCACAAGATTGCACCCAACAGGGGCACAGCCAGTAAATACTGCTACGACTCTCAAGACATGGCCCTGAACTACAGCGTCCCTCCAAACAACACAGCGATATACTCACATTCAATCTCCCTGACATTAAACACCGAATCATGCCATGACAACAACGTGCCCGCCAGCTTGGAAGTTCTTCTCTATCCCTTTCTTCACATTTGCAATAATAAATCGTCAAGCGGCCGCTGTACCCCAATTCACAGAGGAGACCTTGAACACAAGCAGACGTTCTTTTCACAATTCCCAGCACCTGCTGATCTACTTGTTAGAAGTATGCCATGAAGCAGTGCAGATTAGATTAGTAAGCAAGAGAAAGTAGATGGAATGGATTGATTGACTTGCTATCTCAACTCCTGAGGAGTAGGATGACCGCTATATATACGCATAGAAGAGGCAAGCTATAGAATCACCTAGAAGGAGATCATAAACCAGCGTTGCAATGCTAACTGCAGCATTTTGTGAGTGTATGCGTTTCTGAGTAATAGCGCGTGGCGAACAGTTGCGGTGGTCGGAGAACTCCGTCTTCCGCTGACACTACTGATACCACATGTTCAAATATGGAAGAAAGTATACGTTTGGATTGTGAGCTGTATTCAGTGCAAAGGACAAGCGGAAGCTGTGCATAGCTATTGTTGAGACTATTGTTGACGAAGAAGAGGAAGGCTTCTTCCTGTCTAGAACCCGCTGACCTACGATACAGCGGTGCCCATCTGGCAGAAGACTTGTCCTAGTATCTTCATGTTGTTCTGGAGCAGGCGTTTGAAGGACGCTGTCCGGCATTGTGCTGAACATGAATCACGAAGAAAGCATATGGACATTTGAGTACTTCACGACCGCTGGCTGGTCGGTATTGCAGTTACTGTCATGGTAAGGGATACGTTCTTACTTTCTCCTGAATCTTGATAGCTGCGGAGTAGACGGACGCCCTACGGCTAGGATGAAGTTGTAGGAATGATTCTGCTTCTAGGAGTATTGCCTGAAAACGTAACTCCCGAGTAGAGCCACTTACGTGATGCAGTAACTCCTCTCTTGTTCATTTTGTGCTTGTGCACGTTCAGTCACTGGGTTGCACATCCTTCAACCACCCATCCCAAATTCTGCGTAGCCGTACCCATCTGGCATTCCCTGCAAGTACGTCTTGGGTCCTTTCCAGCCAAATCCAGTCCTCTCCCTCCATTCCTTGATGTATGCCAGTGGCTTGTCGCGTTTAGTGACTATTTCAGTGCTGAAGTCAAGATCTTCGTGCATAAGCGTCAGAACTGCGGCAAGGAGGATGTACGTGAGGGTTTCGGCATTTGTGGACACCTTGTACCTATCTGGGGATCGAGCGAGCGCAACGCATAGCTCATCCCCGTAGACCCTGATTTCGCTTTCCCATGGAAAGCGTTGCTGATAGTGAACAGGGCAATGCTGGAGAGCAAGCTTGTGGTCCTCGCCTAAGACTCAAATGTTAGTTGACCTGGCAGCTAGATATGTCCATGCAAGAGCAACAAATTGTGGAAAACCTACTTTTCAGAAATGCATGCGTGGTCTCGTGTGTTGCAGTCACTGATATACTTGTCCCAATATCACCTATAGACATGCCTGGCGCAATAACCATACTTGTGAGAATTTGATTGCCAAATGGCTTTTGGGAATATTGTTTAGGAAAGAAAGTGATAGCTCGTCCAGATTTGCAGGTGCAGGCAAGTCTGGATCCTTCTTGCTCGGAGAGATGTACATGTATGACACTGTTCCCGTCCCCTTTTGCTTCTTTCTCATGCAAAAATGGATGAATGTGGAAGTTCATCTTGGGAGCCCAATTTTCCGTCTTGAAAATGCCTGAAATATGTCATTAGCATCAAGTATTATGTAGCATACACGAATCATCAAACCTGCAAGCCCTGACGTATCTCTGGTCTTCATGTAGCGATAACAGATGTCTTTGGCTTCCTTTGTGTCTGCAAACTGGGTGAATAGAGTGTGCGCAGCATGCCAAATAAGTGGCTGTTCATGTTTGAAAGATATCTGCGTCAGCAATAGCTGAGCTCTCTGCGTTTGTCTGTATGGCTTTTCATAATCTGGACAATCTTTGTTGAAGGGATCCACAGACATTGTGATACAGACATATGATATTGCTAGGAGTCCAAGAATTGTGGTGGTGGAAGAAGGATATGGAAGGACGGCTGGTGATTTTCTAGCTAACAGGACCAAAACGAAGCATTACTCCTTAACGAGGAACGAGCCAATACTTCTCACAAGGGGGCCATTCTGTGGCCGCCTAGCATCTGACTGAAAGACGGAGACAAACCCCCAGTGTCTGTATAAGGAACCAAGTTATTGCTTCAGAACAGCATCTTTCATCTGTGGTAAGGAATGACCCTACGATAACCTGCCATTCCATATCGCAAGATGCCATTGCTACTCGTGCATCTTTACTGATCTGAACCGCATTGGCAAGGACCATCAGCTTAGAGAACAAGATGCACCGAATTTTGTGACTGAATCATCTAGGAAGTTTCCAGGTATCTGCAACAGCAACTTATCTGATCCAATACCAATGCTGCTAATTGATATCCAGAGAAACCTGCCAGGCCCAACAAGAGATGATGCACGGAGCATGCAGCAGCAGCAGCATCTCGAGACAGCGAGTTACATGGCACATGAACAGCGGCATGACCATCATCCTGGCGGCACAGCAGGAGGCAGGTACTAGAGACTATGATCACAAGGCTGAGAAGAGATGAACAACAGAATGCTCGATCTTCAGATATCCTAGTCTTTGCAGAAGATGGATGGAAATGAAGTCTGATAGTAAGAGGCGGCGAAGAGGCAGGAAAACCAATGATGGCTAGTGCCTTGGCATAAATGCCCCCATCTTCACGATGCCAAGGGACTGCCCCTATCTTTAGCAGGCGGGACTAGGCGCATACAATTCATCCTACTTACACTTTGCAGTCATTCGGTTCCTCCTGAGTTGAGAGACAGGAGGAATACAGTTTAATTGTGACGCCTAACACCCCAACATCTAATCCCGCAACGGTTCTCTTCATATCTAGCCACAAGGCAAACACCACATCTCGACCTCTCAAATGAACAAGCTGCGGCTTCAGCCTCGGTTCCGTCATCTCACTAGCCAGCCAGGTATCTGAGAATATGGGCGTTGCAATATCCGTCGATTAGTCTCGCTCTGCCGTTGAACTGAAAGGCTGAAAGGGAAGACACCAACGAGAATAGTGTCGGCGTCCTGGACGGGATCAATCTGCTGGGAGGATGAGTGGCAAGTATTGCGCATCTATCCAACCCTTATACTATATAGCTAGTCCTTGGGAGACAGTGATTTGGTACAGGGATGATTGTCTGAGCGATGCCATACCAGAGGTCACCGACACGACTACCTTCTCGGTCTTCCAGATGAAATGAGATGGCCACCAATTCTAATCCTAGCCTCGTTCTTGAGATCCCTAGTTTTTCTCAGGGCCTTCCATGGAATCAGCGATGAGCATATTCCGATATTGAGACAGAAAGGTTTCTCTTCCGCATCATCGATCTCATGCAACTCTCTCGCTAAATCCGCAATCATTTGTTCATCTCGTAGTTTTTGATCCATCCTGCGACTTCCGTTCTCCTCACAGCTCGGCCGGATAAAAGTTCCCACTCCGGCCATGACACTAGTAGATATAAGAAGAGACATATGGTGGCAACGCTCTCTGCGTTCATGTGCGCATACTTGCAATACTTTGAATTGCCCAAGGCTCTACAGAGCTGGAAGCCCCAGACTGTACACTCGTTAGAGCTGCTCTCTTGCAATTGGAAGGCTGTAGGCTCGGATTTTGCATCGGAAATACCCACTCGAGGTAGTACGGCATGTTTACCTATCAGGTAGTTAACGCACGTTCCCAAATTGAGCAAGGGGTGGATTGGAATGTGCATGGCTTTTAAAAGGCCTGCCACTGCATATACACTTACAATTGGTTATTGCATGACTTTTTTGGTGAATCAGGGTTGGCGTGATACATCTCAACATTGTGTCCACATCGAGTCCGGAATATGGCTTTATATCTCGAATGAGCCGCGAGTATTTAGGATCTTGATACGCAATAGGTAGTATAGCAATTCTGCCTCGCTTAGCCGATGCCAATTGTACGGCACTTTGACCTGGCCCAGCATTCGTCTGGGCAGGCTCATCTGTACGAGCGAATGTGACACATATATTAAAAGGTTTTCGAAAAGAGCGGTCTGCGCATTCCCATGGGTTGTCCATGAGATCTTTCCTGAAAAATCGTCTTTCGGGAATGTTGGTCTCAAGAGCAACAACCACATCTAGAAGTATCATCAGTATCAAGACTTCACACTGCATTTCAAAGCCATAGATGTTTGCTACGTACCATAGATACTTTGTACTGTCGCCCAGTAGTTAGGCACAGTGTTATCTTCACCTAGGAAGACGGCAACAATCTCTTTTACTTCCGTACAATCGCGTTTGCCAGAAAGAATTCGCCTGGCAATTCGAAGCACAGCATCTGACTCGTCAAATGCGTCCCGGACCAGCTGGTATTGTTCATTTGCTATAGTTGCAACTATTAGCTGGCGCTTCCGTGGGATATTATCATAGTGTACTTATGCTCATGGCGTCAAAGCCAGCAGTTATTGTTGATGTCCGTGCGGTGAGGTCGATCTCCTTCAGTCTCGCAATACTGTCTCTGGTGACATGTGGTCTTGATCGTCCAGAATAAGAGATGGAGGGGTACTCAAGATATACAAAAGTGGGCTTCTATCACTTGACGCAATGATAGTTCACTTCGAAGAGCGAGTAGGAAAAGGTACTAGGCGTCTTGAGTCTTGGGGAAAGGACAAAGAAAGTTTTCGTTCCGAAAACAGGTGGTGCCAAACTACGAGTGAAAGAGAAGACGGTTTCTTGAAGGTGTAGTACAGTGCCATCATTGCGGCTTTTCAATTTTCTGCCTGTAAACAACCACAAGGCTTTTGGATTCCTGCAGCAAAAGGTAACATCGGCGTCTGGATCGATGAGGCCATGGAGAATGAAAGTGGTCTGGAGGTTGAGCGCTAGACCTACTCCGGAGCATCCATATGGATTACCTAAGCAGCCTCTCAATCTACAAATTTGCTTCCCATGGTGGCGGCTCATCCGAGGAACGAAAGTTCGTTTCTTGGCCTCTCGACCCGTCAGATCCCATTCTGGCCAAACACAAGAAGCCGGCCAGATAACAACGATGCAAGACTCTCCGCATTTCATTGGTTGGTAATATCTTCTGATGATTGGGCAATTGCTCTGCAGAGCTCAAAGTTGTATGCAACGCACAGCCCGGTCTATTCGTCAGGCCTGTGCCTTGGATATTGCTCGAGAAAGCCGTCTGGCGGCTCCTCCTAAAGCTCTACTAGTATGTCACGTGCTCGTAACGCTTGGCGTTCCGTAGATTAGCTTCCGTTGCTCTTTTGCAACTGCTCTCTCGACTTCATACTCAATCAATCAATCAATTTGCCCATGCCATGATACTCTACGTCGATGGCTGTCGGAACAGGTCAGCATGCGTGGGGTACTCTGTAGACTAGGCTGCTACATACCTCCAACACGGTAATGAGCGATCTCATGTATCATTAGCGCAGGGAAGTTTCGGGTCACGCCATCGGTTGGCAATCCCTCGTATATTCAGATGTTTCGCAGCGCATCGTCGGGGTGCTCAAACGCTAGTTGATATAAATTGATGCCGACTCCCCAGTAGCAATCAGCAAGAACGCCTCTCCCATTCTTTTGAGAAATCGAATGACTCGTCGAGGATGTGGAGTCCTTCCTATCCTGTGCTTTGGCTCTCGCAATTCGGCTCTCGACGTTGTCTTCTGCTCGACAATGCGCCCTTCGTCTTCTCGATCTGTAACCATTTGCCCGATTTTCCCTGTCCATTGTCAGAGATCTCTTTTAAAGAGGGAATGCATCGACTACTTAAAATTCCGGGGTGATTGATGTTTCTCATATCTCGTCCAACCATGTATATGGCAGCCGGTGCTTAAGAATCTAGGGATAGAGGCTCGGTAGCACGTCATCTTTCGGTTTACTGGGGAAGGTGAGAGGGTTGGTTCGATATTACGTGGAAGGTGGGTGGAAAATTGGGGTTCCAGACCATGGCAAGGAGGTGGATAAGGAAATAAGGGAGAGGCTTGGATGTTGCGTACTGTGTACCCGTGCAGTGCTGGTTCTTTTGCGGGCGGGGGAGGGGAGTTGTTCCAGGGCTACCGCGTATTCGATGAAGAGCAGCCATGGTGGATTGTGGTGGGGAGGATAGGCTAGAAAAACGGTATATTTGAATGGTAGGGCAGGATAGGCTGGAAAAACGGTATATTTGAATGGTAGGGCAGGGCAGGCTGGTCTGAATGGCATGACCTGATGCCAGTTAGCATCGGTATTCGATTGTGTAAAGATTCAAAGACATAGTTTTCTGGTATATCTGGTTAAGTAAATGGCAGTCTACGCTGCTTTGGCATTGAAAATTGATTAGCTCAAATCTCCCGGGCTTTCTCTATAATCTGTAGACCTAGAGGATAAGTGGGATCCACCTTTCCATAGCGGATCAACCGTTTTTGTGTGCATCTCACCTGTCTTACCTGCTGCTTGGCAGAACAATCACACCAATGTCAGATGCCACACTGCAGCCATCCAGTTGCTTGCAGGCTCACTGTATGAGCACAATCATATGTCCGTTGTTCTTTCTTTCTCTCTGTCTCTTCTCTCCTTGTCACTTGCCGCTTCGCGTAATTCCCCTTAGGCAATGCACTGGGCCAAGATATAGAGAGTGAGACTAACGCGAAGTGGCAGGTGTTCCATTTTGAGTCATCATCTGGATTTTCATGCTACTTTTTCTTAGTATTGTAGGGTGATCATGGTTCGGAGTGTCGAGGAAGGGCTAGGTACGTGTCAGTGGGTGGGCAGTGATGTCTCTGTCCGTGCTTGGATGTCATGAAACGTGCACATTTGAGCCGGGGGCCTGTAGGTCCTTGATGGATACTTCTTGTAAGAACAGATAGACTGGGTACATGTAGTATTCTCTAGCTGAGAACCGTCCTTTACTTCTGTAGATGAATGAAAACGAGCTCGCCGGCGCTAAGATCGTGACAGAAACATGTGATGAATGACCATTCCTCGTTCGCCCTTAACCATGACGGTGCTAGGGTGCTCTTTTTCTGGTGAACATGCAGAAAGACCTCTTTGAAAACCCAGTAAAGTCAAGAACCTGTCACTGGAAGCATAGCTGAGCACCAACATCAAGAAACGTCTTGCCAAAGAAGCCTCCTCGCATCCACCATAGCCAGTAGTCCACCTTCCGACTGTCTTCGGAGTCACAACCAGCAGATTGACGACTTTCAAAATCTCTGATCGTCAAGATGGCCGTGCCCAGGGTAGTCCCGGCAGGTTAGTACTGATCTCTTTGACACACCTAGCATCGGACAGTCATGTAGAGGAAACTTTCAAAGGATTCTCTTCCCATGTCCCCCTCCACTGGCATAGCTGACGTTAAGTTTGTACTTGAATTACAGAGGATATCGAGCGAACAAGAAAAGCCATTGAGCAGGTAGAGATTGCGGTGTGGGCAGCTGACTTTGTTCTCCAAAACTATGAACAAGTCGCAGCACAATACCCACATGTAACACAGATAATCGGGTTGCTCATGGGTTCTGCGGCCTCGACCAACATTCATTCAATAGGACGACTTCAAGGTGAGCCTGTTATTTGAGGCAGCGGTTTTGTACTGACTAGCAATAGACTTTGTTTCCAAGCTGAAAAAGACGAGAATTGGGTCGATCGACGGCTTTTATACCGAAAGACACATTCTTAAGTTCTGCACCAATGATCTCGAGTCGTCGGAGGGAATTTCCGTGCGTTTCGCAACATACGATACGATGAGCCCAGCGGATCTCGTGGCTGAAACACAGCTCGGAGGTGATACCATCATAATGAGCCGTTCAACATACGAGAAACCTTCAGGAAGATATGTAAGCTGGGGGCGCCTTTTGAACGAAGTCGACATAGTGAGGGACGGATGGCTGGGTGATCTGTGTCACACTCTGCCCCACGCATTGCTCCATGAGCTAATTCACATAAAACTCAGAGGTAGAGTAACCAATCAACCTGCGTGAGGGTCATTGCTGACTCCTTGATCTGGTAGCTGTGGATGTTTGCTTGGAGAACAACAATATACCACCGTATTTTCCGGTCAATCTCCCACAATTTCCTCGAGACTCGACGGGCAGGTACATTGTGAACGGGCTTGAATTGTGCCAGGTCCTGGCTAACTCTCCTCAACACCGGGACGCTATGATAAATGCGGATAACATTGCCTGCTTGATTATCTTCCTAGCCCTCTTTTGGGAGTATCCAGACATCGACAGCAGCAGCGCATATGCTAGATACTAGAGAGTCCCTTCGATCTCTGCACTTGGCCTTTGGAGAGCGAGCGGGCCTGTTATCCGCTAGCTACAAGAACCGGTAGACATGACTGGAAGTCAGTGTGCTGAGGGGAGAAAAATACAGCGAGTCGAATAACTTCAGTAACCAGCAGCGGGGACGCAAGAGTCAAATATTGAAGGCAGAAGAAGACGGGTGCTGAAGTCACTTGGGATTGTTGTCTGAAGAAAAGATGAGACTAGTACTAGTTAGTAGTAGTACAATTCATCAATGCCAAGTACCAATTCCCGGAAAGGTGTGTTTTGGGTTGTGTCACATGATTCTCAATGTTCTGCTCTCCTATCATTCCCTTACAACATTGAAGGTCTCTTTGTCCTATTCTCGGAACGGCTAACCTATGTTCTGCTCTGCACCTGCATCTATGTTTATTCTTAACAGAAAGACGCTCCCATACACACTTCCGAATCATCAAGCAATTCTCCCTCATGTCCTGCCAGTCCTTCTCATAGACTATTTAGAACCGCCCTGTATCCTTTATGCTTTTGCTACCCTGGCTGCTCTAATCGTTCATCTCCCTATCCATTAACTACGATGGAACCTGTCACAGTCATATATGCAGCTACCAAAAGATAATCTTTAAATATTCCCACTTTTCCATAACCCAGTCTCTAAGGTCGGAAGCCTTCCATGATATCGGCTCAACAAGTCAAGCGCCCAGTTTAGATCACTGTTCTGGTCTTTCTGATGTAGATAGCATATATATACCTGGAGCACTCCATACACAGGATTATCTAAACAGTTGTCATGAATGAAACCTCACTTTCTTCTCATGTTATACTTATCTCCTTCTCATCATTTTCAAGACATTTCCATTGAAAGTGCTTGTCAGGGAAACACCCCTGAATAAGGATCTCAATGCTATGACTATCCAACCAGAACTGCAAAGTACACAATTTGGCTTCGCTAATATATGTGATATAGAGTAGGACCAGAAGAAGTCGATAAGTTTGTACAGAAAAACCGTACACCATATCGAAAACCACAAAAATGCAATATCATCTCAATATCACCGCTTCTTCCTCCTCTCCACAGCTTCTTTCGCATACGTCTCCCCACCCACAGGCTTCCCGTTCAAAGGCGCAGCTGGGCCATCAGTCTGCATCTGTGATTCCGGGCTCCCTTCAACCCTCCTCCTCACCCCCTCTTTCGCCGCCTCCACACCATCCTTAGCGGCAGCAGTGACGCTCCCAACCGCGTCTCCTACTTTCAAATCCTCATCTTCTTCCTCATTATCACTCCTTTCGTCCTCCTTCACAGCGTTAAACACATAGTTTTTCGCAATCCGTAAAATCAAGAATAACCAGAACAGATTCACGGCCTGCAAGCTAGCCAAGAGGGTGAAGGTGATCCATTGGGAGAGCGAACATTTGTACTGCTGGGTCTCCCAGTTGAGGTCGAAGGGGCCAACGGTGCGGAACTCAGTGAGGGTGGCGTAGAGGATGGTAAGGTTGATGTAGTGGCGGAGGTAAATCCAGATCAGGACAAAGAAGCAGAAATAGGGTCCGACGATAGGAGAGTCCAGATAATTGAGTGTTTTGGATGTCTGCAGAGTGAATGGATTAGCATAGGACTGGTTTAGGCCTTCGTGAGGGAGGACTTACAGCAATGAAGAAATCACTGATGTCATGGGTGATGTAGACAGCTATCCCCATCTTTGCAAAGTGAAACCGGTAGCTCAGCGCAATCAGCGCAAGCGTCACCATATGATGCAGGACAAGCTCCTTGAAATCTTTTCTCGGCTTCTCCAGCTGCAGCAGCAAGACAATGGCTTGTTGGGCCCAGTAGCTTGCCTGCAGTAGATAATATGCCTTGAAGATACCATCATGCTGTTTATGGGGATACCCTTCAAACATTGCCGTTGTGTTAAAGTACCACAGTGACCCCTGCGACATGATATACATCCCCAGCGGTCCGAAAACGGCAAAATATATCGCTGTATATACCTGCTCCATGAAACGGGATTGCTTGGCTCTGCCTCGAATACCACATCGTATGGCCAAGGGCCGGATCACCCTTTGCATCAGGAACTCGCGCGTAAAACTCAAGACGATCGTATAGAAAGCGACAAATGCAAGATCGTTCCGGCCTTTACCGTACATGGTAGGACCACCCTCTGTTTCCGGGCCCATGGGGTAGGAGAGGAGGATGGCTTTATGGAGAGGGTTTGTTTTTGAGGGATTTACGGCATAACCGCAAAGGATAACCAACACGATGATCAATGGATTGAGCCATGTGTGTCGCAAAGAAATCTGCTTCCACCTTCTCAATGCTGAGCGTGCTTTCCGCCTTTTGGAGTGTGGTTTGTAGAACTTCTCAGAGGACTATACGGGATTAGCAATGTTCTGGTATGCGCAGAAGAGGACGCTGGACAGCGCAGCATACCGGAGACGGGAATGGAGGCGAGGTAGATGGAGTTAGAGTCGAGATAGCGGGTGCACTTGTATCTCCCCTGGGATCAGCACCAAGATTGCTTGAATGCCGCCGCGGCCGAGCCATGCCTCCAAGTTGTTCCCACGCGCTGTCGCTCTGTGTCAGTGCGCCAAACCTGGATAGAAGCTGTTTCCGGGCTCTAGAGAACAAAACACACACGAAGTCCGGGCGTAGAAGCGAACAACACGAAGGGGATATACTGCAGGCTCTCGTAAATTTGTCAGTGCCTGCAGAGTACGCGCCTCAGTGCGGGCGGCGGACCCTTGACAACTTTATTTATACGGAGACTTGCGGAGATTTGTAGTAGGTCTTGGCAATGGTGGTCTCACTACTACTACGGAGTACTAGTATCAGAAAAACTAGTTAGGGGAAATGAGCATAAGCGGGAAGATATTGTGTCCACACAATTCTGCAAGGATAAAATCTTCGACCTGGAGACATCGACCAGATTTTGACACTGATCTGAACTTTGGCAGCGTCTTATAGGCCTCGCATTTTCCTTACATCCGTCCAGCCTATCGAAGCGGTCTGTTGACGTCCACTGTGCCTGTGATCTTGGCCGTATCTACAACTCCTTCTGGCTTTTTGCTCTTTCTCTCATCGGCCATGTTGGGGTTCATTGAATTACTTCGGGGATCCTCGGCCTGAAAGTAGGTTAGCAAATCGTACAGAACAAACACAAGAAAAGGATGCGGTATGTGCCATAACGATATATGATAGGGTAGGAATATTGCAGCATAACACGGCGAGAGTATGCTTGCTGTATTTCGAAATAGAGACAGGGGAGAATCGGAGAGCAATAGTATGTTGGCTGAACTGGGGCGAGCAGATTGCCAGAAGACCAGAACTGCTCCTTGCAAGGCGATACTGCAGACATGGCATAACTAACCTTGCGTTTCTTGTCGCCTTCTGTGACTCTAGTCCCCCTTTGCTCGCCTTCGTGGCCCTTGTCAACATTGGCGCTGGGCCCATCCTTCTTGCCCTCATCAGCATCAGTATCCACTGACTTGATCTGCTGAGACTTCTTCTGGACCGCATCATTGTCGCCCTCCTTCAGACCCTCATCACCGGACGACCATTTGTTCTCACTAGGCGAAATTTCGTTGGGGGGCTCGTTTCTGATAGTTTCCCCAATAGGTCGTTTGTCCTCCTCGCCTTTTGTCTCTTTTTCTTCGCCGCCATCATCTCTCTTGTCCTTTGCATCATCACCTTCTTCTTCGTCATTTGCTTGTCTTGAATCCTCGGTGTCCTGGGGCTTTTCATCATCGGTCTCTTCAGGGTTCCTGTTGTTCTCTTCTTGTCCTTCTTGCTCTTCTCCTCCAGCCTCTTTCTGCTCATCATGACTTGCATGGCCGTGATGGGCATCGCGCTTGCTCTTCTTAGGTCCTTGTTGCCAGAGCCATGTGGCCGATGGCACTGTGACAGCCACAGACCCGATCAGCCTGTAGAGTAATTAGTATATGGAAGCTACTTTCAGATACTTGATGAAAGGTTGTAAGGATGTAGTAGACTGATGGAATAGTGTGGTAGAACGTAGCATACCAAGGGAGATCGCTGCTTGCTTTCTTCGCTCCTTCATGACCACTAGCGTAGGAGCGTTGTCCGATTTGTCGCCAAGATTGACCAGCAGCTCGAGCCCGAGCTGTCCTGTAAGCCTGCACCCGAAACGCACTTGTATAAGCCGAATTTCGAAGGAGTACCATGATGTGTTGTAATGTGGTGTGAGTTGTGGGAAGAAGTTGTGATGCTTTGAGCTTGAGGGAATTTAGGTAAAGCGAAAGATGACGGAGGGAGAGCTCCGGTCAAGCTTAAACAATACGAGCTTCTGATTGGCTAAGGCCGTTGGAGGCATCCATCTCCAACTCCCCACAATATTGGACATATTGGTGACCTACCGCTCCTTGTCAAGTGTCTATGAAATTGCGGAACTTGTCAGCCTCATGATTTGCATGCCTTCCTGAGCGCTGGCAGTCAAAAGGTCTGCGTGCGCAGTCTGTCCCTCCCTCATCATCTCTTGTGTCAAGCATTGCAGTGGGCTTGCTCTTTGTGCCCATGCTCTGACCCTTTAGCACTCATCTTCAACGTGCTCCTCTATTCACCACTCACCTTGCTTTGAGACAGTTATGGCCAAAGATCGGGCCTCTGCAGCGCAGACTCTTGCGAATCTTCTCCCAAAGCTACATGACCCGGACCCTGACATACGTTTCATGTCCCTCAGTGATTTATGCAATATCCTTGTGGCACCAGCTTCTAGCTACATCTCCAATGACAGCAACTCGGCTGCACGGATTGTTGACGGGCTGCTGAAGTCACTGACTGATACGAATGGAGAAGTGCAGAATCAGGCGCTGAAGTGGTGAGTGCTTGCGTTAAACTTATGTGCTGGGTCTGACAGTTTTGCAAGCATGGGTCCACTCGCGACCAGGTTACCGGGCGAGACCATAAACCCGGTCATTGAGAAGATCACGAATCTGACCAATTCGAATTCCATCGATGTCTCAGTGCCCAACACTGCTCTCCGAACACTCATCTCTTCTCTACCACAACCACAGCCAATGGGGCCTTCATCAAGTGAAGTTAAGACCGCATATGGTGGAGTCAGCAAGGTACTCATTCCGCGTCTGGTCGGCCGCATTGTCATGCCGCAGGATAAGCCGAGCCCACAGCTTCCGAGAGGCTTGCTGGAAATGGATCCTGTCCAAGGCTATAGTACCGACGCTATTGATGTGCTTGTTGAGGTAGTCAAGTGCTACGGATCTATGCTACATGACTTGGAGCTGGCAGCACTGAGCAAGGCTGTGATGATTATCATTGAAAGTCCACAGGCCGGAAATGTGGTGAAAAAGAGAGCCCTGGCAGGTGTTGGCGCTCTGTTGGTGTATTTTAGCGATCAGAGACTGAGTCACTTCGTCTCTGAGCTAATCGAAAGCTTTCGAAGTGTTCACCTTACACCGGGTCATCGAAGATATCTAATTGCCACCATCGGAGCTCTAGCTCGCTCAACCCCAGCCAAGTTCGGACCCTTTCTGAAGACACTTGCACCTTTTGTGTTGAGTGCTGTAAGTCAGGAAGAATTTGACGAGCTGGCGGCAGACAGCGATGAGGATCATGAAACCGACCAGGAGACAGAAGAATTACGTGAAGCTACTCTTGTCACGTTAGAGGCTTTACTTGGTTCTTGCAGCGCCGACATGCAGCGATACATGTCCGAAGCAGTTAATGCAGCTCTACGATACCTCAAGTACGATCCCAATGTCGCCGAGGCTGAAGACGAGGATATGAACGATGCCCAGGACGCTGGGAGTGATGATGGGGTAACGGAGGAAGCGGAAGAAGACGAAGACGACGAGTTTGCGGATCTCGACGACAACGATGCCTTCAGCGACGTAGACGACCTAAGTTGGAAAGTCCGTCGATGCGCTGCTAAGGTTCTTTATACCGTCATCTCCAGTGGTACTGGACTTGACAGTGTCGTACTCTTTGAAAAGGTCGCTCCCATACTCATTTCGAGAATGCACCTAGAGCGGGAGGAGAACGTCAAATTCGAGATTATCTCTGCTATCACAGCTATGATTAAGAGAACGGGCCAAGGAGCCCTTGTCAATTCTACACAAACCGAGGGCTCGTTTGAAATTGCGGCACCATCCTTCAATTCGCGAAAGCGAAGACGTCAGGACTCCGATGCCAGTCTGGACAGCCTGGACTTGACCGCCTTTCAACACTCGCAGTCATCTCCACCAGTGATCCCTACCTCACCAGCGGCGGGTCCTCAAGCTGACTTGGCAGCATTGACTCCGAAACTTGTACAAGCGCTTGTCAAAATTTGGAAGAAAGCTAGCATACCACTCAAACAGGCAGGGGTGAGCATGCTGAGAAGCCTGACACTCACTCGAAACGGGGCCATCGCAGATTATCTACAACATGTGGAAGATCCCATCGCGGATGCTTTAAAACCATCAGGTCCTGCGTCCACTTCTGCGAGTGGAGCTTCAACGGCCTCTGCTACTGCAGCCAGTCTGCAAATCGAGACACTGTCCTTGATCAGTGTCATCACCGAGACAACCTCAACTAGCATACTCCTTCCTTTTGTCATCGCCCTCATCCCAGGGGTAACGAGCACTGTACGAGACCGAAATTATAAGGTGTCAAGTGAAGCGCTTGGGGCGCTGGAGCAATTCGTCAAAGCATTGACCCCACCTCGATTACCAACGACAGACCAAGATCTTGCTATGCAGCTAGAGAAGCTATATGAGGTGATATCAGAAAGAATCACGGATAATAATGCTGATCTTGAGGTTCGCCATCGAGCCATACAAGTGTTTGGTGTTCTTTTAGCTCGTACCTCACCAACTAAGATGCTCAAACCCAGCATGCGGTCAAAAGGCTTCGATACTCTCAAAGAAAGACTCGCAAATGAAACCACCAGGCTGTCCAGTGCTCGGGCTATTGCCACCAGCGCCGCTGCCGTAACTTCTCACAACAACGTCCCCCCAGAATGGGTTCGGAATGTGTCGCTCGAGCTGGGATCGCACCTTCGCAAAGCCGATCGATCGTTACGATGGGCATGTCTGGATGCATTGAAGAGCCTTGCACTCAATCCCAATACGGCTGCACAATACGACGAGAAAACGATCGAAGAATTAACCAGTCTTCTGTTACCACTACTGAATGTGTCTGATCTCCACCTACTCACTCCCACTCTCGTCATCTTTGCCCGCATAATCCCTACCAATCCAACCAAGATTGTGGGCGAGCCTCTAGTCGAAGCCCTGACCACCATAGCTCGTTCACCTTTGGTTGGGTCACCACTCAAAGCTCTCCTGTTGTTGGTGAAAGTCATCGGAGAGCAAGGCGCGGGCGCTGCACTCATGAAAGGCTTCCTTGCTGTTGGAATCAATGGTGAGGTCTCCGTTGTAGGACGATGCATTGGTACCTTGGTAGTCTACGGTGGTCCTCATGTTGGAGTTGGCATAGTTGACTTTCGGAAGGAGTTGCAGTCATCCCATAACGAAAAGAACAAGTGCCTCTCGCTTGCCGTGCTAGGGGAAGTGGGCCTTCGGACGGGTTCTTCGTCTCCAGTTGAACCATCCATTTTCCTGGAAAGCTTAGAGTCGGAGTCGGACAAAGTGCGGGTATCTGCAGCGGTGGCCTTGGGAAGTGCTGGATCCAGCAACATACCAACGTACATGCCTCTGATATTGGATAATATGGGTCAATCTACCGGTTCAGATTATCTGTTATTGCACGCGGTAAAGGAGATTTTGCAGCATCCGGAGAATATTGCGAGGAACTTGGCCCCATATGCCAAAGAGCTGTGGCAGAAATTGTTTGTTGCATCCAACTCCGAGGACAATCTCGCGGTGGGAGCTGAATGTATCGGCCGGCTGGCAATGATTGATCCCGGCACCTATCTTCCGGAGCTACATCAGTATATTCGTGATCCACAGCCGATGGTGCGCGGTACAGTGATCACAGCATTCCGATTCTCGCTTGCTGATTCAAGCGACGCATATAATGCTTTTATGAAAAACACCATGGTGTCTCTACTGATGACCATGCTGAATGATCCGGAAATCGGCAATCGGAGACTAGCAGTCACTACGCTTAATTCTGCGATTCATAACAAACCTGATATGGTGGTGCCTGAGCTTGGACAGATCCTACCCGTTGTGCTGGCAGATACTCATATCAAACAGGAACTTCTTCGGCAGGTTTCATTTGGACCTTTCAAAATTACGGTTGATGACGGTCTGGATTTACGAAAGAGTGCTTATGAGACCCTGTATGCACTCCTGGACACACCTGCAGCGCTCAGCCATATTTCCATCCCCATGATCTATGACCGAATACTGGACGGGATTCCAGATGACCATGACATCCGTACCCTCTGTAATCTGATGATTGGAAAGCTTGCCGTGGTCGACCCCGACGAATCGTGGCGCAGACTAGGAGCACTATCCGAGAAGTTCAAGGTGGTTCTGAGCCAGAAAGCGAAAGAGAATGCCGTCAAGCAGGAGATTGAGAAATTGGCCGAAGCCAGTGCTGCGGTTGTTCGGACCAGCCTCGAGCTCGACAAGAAGTTCCAATTGTCGGGTAGCGAAAGTAGTGGAGATCTGGTGAGCTGGAAGGGATACCTGGAATGGATGAAGAAGGAGTTCTCTGTACTCGTTCGCACTATCCAGGATGAGGGCTCAATGTGAGAGGTTGAGGCAGGTGGACGATATGAACGGCTTGCAATGAGGAACGGGCACCCAACGATGACTAAAATGAGACGCCTGACGAGAGGCCGATAATGGCATGGGAAGAAATGCTAATACGTATTCGAGTAAAGGAAGAATGAACATACTATGTAGAAACGCTGACCACCGTCTCGCGTCTTGCCTGCTGTGTTCGTGGAATGCGAACCCGTGAGCAAGCAGGCCAATAGCAGAGGGATCCATCCAGATTCTTTCTACTACGTAGTAGATCTCGCTTCAGCTAGCCTTCACCTGCCTTCACCTGCCTTCACCTGCCTTCACACCCTTCTGCCCGTTTTCGTGTTCGGAGATGTTGCCCCTTTCACACCTTTACCCTAGGAAGTGGAAGGAATTCAGCAAACACGTCCATACTACATACTACATACTTTCATCCGGTGTGATGGCACAAGCAATATGCAGTGCAATCCTCCATTCCCTCGGTGCCCGGGTAACCCTTGTCTTTTAGGTCCAAGCAAGCGCATTGGCTCTGTAAGTCAGCTTGGTCACACCAATCACACCCCTCCAGACAAAGACTATGTAACTCATCGCTTGAACCATGTGGGTAACTGGGCGCTCTAGAGCGAGTTGCCGTCCAAGCCGCTCTAAGTGGAGCTTATCTATCTAACTAGTTAGAGGGACTGCTGATCTGTGATCTGCTCGCATGGATTCTCTGGTTATGATCAACGGATTATGCTACAGAGTGGGCTGCTCCTTGGTCCTTTGTGGGAATAGCCAATAGCCAAAAACCAAAAACCAGTGGCCCAATCTCGCATATCCTGGTGTTTTGGCCAGCTACTACGAGAGCATTGGGTAGTAGTGGAGAACAAGCTTCCATTCAAGTATGATCTTTCTCATCCATGGCCATCAAGCATCACCAGAGAAGGATTGTGGCGAGCTTGTTTCACGTTACGTCTTGCTTCACGGTTCTTTGGAAAAGGTCTTCTCGAGAATGCCGGCATTCGAAGCATTCGAAGCATTCCTTGTGACCCACACAGTTGCTTCCCCCCGCCTAACAACGGCCATATCAGAACCATGCAGTCTGCATTCACGACAATAGCCTACATGGGGCTGCGTCTCCTTTGCCGATCACCTCCCACAAAATCCTGATCCCTGGATTATGTTATTTTGTTATTCGTATGCTATGCCACATTCAAGGTTGCATGAGCGAGCAAATGACCGCTTCCGGTTCAATGCTGTCACTTACCTCTCATAAAATCCATCGCTGCCCCCAATCGCTTGCCCATTTCCACCTGACCTGACTGACCTGACTGACCTCACCTTTACCTGATACTCACTTGTAGCTTCAGCTTCAGCTCTAGCAGCAAGTCACCAATTGTAATCATGGCTTGGGGAAACATCTACCTAATCGCCGCTATCGCCGTCATCGGCGGTGGTCTTTTCGGCTTCGATATTTCTTCCATGTCTGCCATCATCAGTACGCCGCAGTATAGATGCTACTTTGACCAATCGCCCGACCGTTCTTGCGCCGGTCCAAGACCCGATGTTCAAGGAGGTATTACAGCTTCTATGCCTGGAGGCTCTTGGCTCGGAGCCTTGGTCTCGGGCTTCCTTTCTGATATTCTGGGACGAAAGAGAGCTATCATGGCCGGTGCTGTGGTCTGGTATCTGATGCTTCTTCTATCATAACTCTGCATCTTTGCTTATGCTTGACAGGGTCATTGGAAGCGTCATTGTTTCCGCCTCGCAGAATATCGGCATGCTCATTGTGGGGCGGATAATCAATGGGTTCAGCGTCGGCATCTGCTCCGCCCAAGTACCGGTATACATTGCAGAGCTGGCCAAGCCCTCGACGAGAGGCAGATTAATCGGTGCCCAGCAATGGGCTATCACTTGGGGCATCATGATCATGTTCTATATCAGCTACGGCTGTTCCTTCCTCGACGGACCCCAAGCTTTTCGAGTTCCATGGGCACTACAGATGCTTCCTGCTATTGGCCTCTTTTTCGGCATGATCATGCTACCTGAGTCTCCTCGATGGCTCGCACGCAAAGATCGTTGGGAAGACTGCCACGCCGTCTTGGCCCTTGTTCACGGAAAAGGCGATCCTAATAATCCTTTTGTTGCCCGCGAATATAAGGATATCAAAGAGATGGTGGAATTCGAGCGGCAGAATGCAGACGTAACCTACTTAGAGCTGCTGAAACCCAACATGATCAATCGTACCCATATTGGTGTCTTTACTCAGATCTGGTCTCAACTCACAGGGATGAATGTGATGATGTACTATATCACCTACGTTTTCACAATGACTGTACTTGATACCTCTTCCAATCGTTGACCAGACTGGCTGACAGATTTCCAGGGAGCCGACTCCACTTCCGCCCTCCTCCTTTCCTCCTCCATCCAATATGTAATTAACGTCGTCATGACCGTTCCCGCCCTCCTCTTTGTCGACCGCTGGGGCCGCCGTCCCACCCTCTTAGTGGGGGCAACCTTCATGGCGACCTGGATGTTTGCCAACGCCGGCCTGCTTGCCTCGTACGGAGAGTACGCTGGCCCTGAAGGCGTCAATAATACCCCTGAAGCCAGCACCCGCATCTCCGGGCCGCCCGCCAAAGCCGTTATCGCATGTACGTACCTCTTCGTCGCATCGTTCGCTCCTACCTGGGGCCCCGTATCATGGATCTACCCGCCGGAGATCTATCCCCTCCGTGTGCGCGGCAAGGCGGTCGCCCTCTCCACCTCTGCGAACTGGGCGATGAATTTCGCCCTCGCCTACTTCGTCCCGCCTGCATTCGTCAACATCACCTGGAAAGTCTACATCCTCTTCGGCGTCTTTCTCGTGGCCATGTTCATCCACGTCTTCCTCATGTTCCCTGAGACGGCGAATAAGACGCTCGAGGAGGTCGAGTCGATCTTTTTGGATCCGCACGGGATTAAGGGGATCGGGACCCCGGCCTGGAAGACCAAGGTCAATCATAAGAGAATCTTGGATGTGGAGAGGCATGGTAGTGTGGCTGGCGAAGGGGAGGAAGTAGAGACTAAGGGGATCACGGGTGGCTCGGTGGAGGAGCGGAGGATCGAACGGCAGAGCAGCGGGGAGAGGTCTACTGGTGATGAGAAGAAGATCTGATCGCCAATTTCCTGCCCATGGGGCCTGTGGCATCTTGCTCATATTGGATAGCTACTTGAATATGCTGGTCTGGGCTGCTCAGAACTTTCTGAAAAGTCCCGCTCACTCCCAAGCAGTCGACGGGAAGACGTCCAACAGTATATCCCCAATCCAGCACATACTTGGGCTTTCTTTCTGTGCTTCCAGCACAGCTTCTTCTGGCAGAAGCCCTAAAAGATATGTACAGCATCACACGATTCCAGCTACAAGTTCTTCTTCTTCTTCTTCTTCTTCTTCTTCTTCTTCTTCTTCTTCTTCTTCTTCTTCTTCTTGTTCTTGAAACCATCTCACTGTGTCTCTTTCCTTTTCCGTCTTAAGAGAAAAAGAAAAAAAAAAGGAAAGAAAAGAAATACCATCTCCCCTCGCCTTTCCCCGTCATCCCACCTCCCCGCGTCCTCACCGCAAGGCGTGCATACCAACCCGCCCGATAATTCTCGTTGAGTCCACCAGGACCAAGCAAGTCCCGTACCCATGCATGCTCCTTCGCTCCTTCGCTCCTTTGGCCATCTTTCTTGCATATGCTATGATATCCCTCAACTTTCCATCGAATACGAGTGCTCGGGTACCTATCTTACATACCTATCTACCTACCTGAACTCTAACCAACGTAAGTATAAGAAGGAAGAAAAAAAGCAAGAATTGATATTTGAACGTTTATTTCCTTCGAGTCCCAAATCAGATTCCATGTCGGACGGTACCTGCTTCGCTGGACGTGCATGGTGTTGCGTTGCTCAGACTACGGCAGGGTACATGAAGCTTTTCGGGAGGTCTGTCCGACAGAGTTGGGCTCGGGCTCGGGCTTGGGCGGGGACTTCTTCACATCACAATGATGTACATGGGGTGTATGTACTTCCGCGCTCTCACTATCTACCGAATAGATATCCAGCAAATACCATCCTGTTCCCGACCTGCAATTACCGGCCCATTCGCTGTTCCAGTTGATCAAACCAGCTCCCAAGCCGCCACGCCACTAAAGCCCATGCCCACCCTCCCCTTGCCCTCTTTGAATTCGCGAACACTCAATCCCCTGGCATCCTGCCTCTCGCCAAACGAACTCACCGCGAACAGCGTGAGGGTCTGACCCGGCGCCCCCAGCTGCCTGGCCTCGACATCCACAACCCATTTATCCCCACCGCCTCCAGAAGTGTTGCTGTGACCATGCACGTGTTCCAGAGGCAAGAAATCCTTCTCCCGTCCATCAATGCCATGAACGGCCAGGATGAAGACAGGAGGCGGTCCCTTCCGGGTGTGACGCTCAAGCGTCCAGTGCGGACACTCGAGCTCAAAGGAGAATCTGATCACACCGCCCAGACTCGGTTGGAGGGTCTTACTCCTCGGCATGACCGTCTTCTCCCCGACGCCGTAATCCGGTCGGGCGTTGGAGAAAATGGTCGGCGGTTCCGTTGTCCCGGGCCAGCAGGCCGGGTTGATGGTGATATACTCTTCCCATTCCATCCGCCGTCCGTCGGGTAGGAAGAACATGTTTTTATCCCCGGGGAAGTGCTTGATGCCGAATTCTTCATTGCTCATGGTGAAGTAGCGGGGTTCGAAGCGTTGCACGTAGGGCATTCCAGCGCCCTGGACGTGACCGGCGCCCCAGCACGCATCGATCAGCTTCCATTCGCCTTTGTCGATGCGCACGGCATTCCAGGCATGGCCAGCATTGTAGGGTGGAAGTGCAGCGCCGGGTGGCAGGGGAGTGTAGCCATAGCCTTTGCCGTGGCCACCGATGACAACGCTTTCGAGACCAGCGTGTGTGGCGAGGGTGGTGAAAAGGGAGGCATAGCCTTCGCAGACTGCCAGGCCAGATTGAAGGGTTGAGTTAGGAGTGGAGGCTTGAACGTTGCCGGCGAAGAAGGACTTGGTGTCGTAGTGGATGTTGTGGTGGAGCCAGGTGAAGATTGTGCGAGCCTTGTCGGTGGCAGAGGGAAATGGAGAGGTCAATTGTTGTGCAAGCGTCTGAAGCGAATGGACGGTCTGACGTGGAAAGAGAGTGGCATGATGGTCCGGCGCAGAGAAGTCGCGACACACCATGCATATTGCTGTGCCAGACGTGGCGCTTGAATGAGTACCGTTGGTCATTGAAACCGGGCGAGGTTTAGAGCTCTGTATGGCAGAAATGTCTGGGCGAGATGCGATAGGAATGGCTGGTAGATGGTTGGTTACAGGAGCGACGTCAGGGTGAGGAGCACCATTAGTTATAGGCCGATCTGCTGGTAACGGTGGAGGTTCGCTCTTGGTCATCCCGAATGACGATGCAGAGCGTTTGATTTTGTCAAGAGCCGCAGCGGACGGAAGTGGAGGTGCATTCCGAGGCAGGCCGGATTGTAGAGATAGGTCGGTAGAGTGGACTGTCTGCCTCCGAGCTGGAAGTCGTGGTGGTAGCGAAGGACGCGGCGCTTCTATTTCTTCCTTTATGGACTTCTCTATATCAGGAGAAACGTTGGCTGGTCCAGAAGGAGCTCTGTTGTGGTATTTGGGTTTCTCGGCTGAATATTTCCGTTGAGGCAGGCCGGCTTGTTTGATAGGTAAGGGTGGGAGTTCAACTTCACCCCAAGCTGGTGCCTTTATCCTGCCAGATGAGGAGTCCCTTGATTTCGATCTTGAAAGCTCTGTTGGCGTAGCAGATAGTCTTGAAACGACAGAAGAGGTAGACTCCAGAGAATCACGTCTCGAAATCTGGTCTGTTGGACATCTAGGGGGTAGGGGGGGGCATGGTTGAGAAGACTGGCGTTTTGGTAGTGGCGGAGGAGGGGGCTTTGATCTGTCTGTCGCATTATGTACAATGGGAGGCGGAGGTAGCTTTGGAGTTTTGGTGCCGTTGGGCAGATTACCAATTGTGGTGTCTGGTACTGAGCCATTAATATGTTCCGGAGGCTTGTTGATCGATCTTTGTCGGTGTGATATCGTTGGTCTTTGTGGGGGAAGTTGAGGCTTCGGCCGAGTTGGAGGCGGATCTCCAGGGACGCGGCTGATATGGGAGGCATTCAATGCAGCAATCCGCTGCTGGAGCGTCATGGGTTGGGGATCTTGGGCCATGGTGCGAATAGAGATGATATGTGGCGTAGAGGAGGGGACCGAAGTGTAGAATCGATTGCAAGCGCCGGTGGATCAGAGCTGGTTACGTAGGCGTGTTATAGGCATGTTAGTGAAGATAGAATTGGGCACAGAGTTAGGATCCGACCAAGATCACAGAGGCGTTTCCGGCTGCGCCTCTGGGCTGCCAATGGCCCAACCCTCCAACGGTGTAGACGTGAGGCTGGCCAAGATTAAGAAGGCCAGCACCATATTCAGCGCATAGAAGAGTACTGTACAGATTGGATCGAGCGAGTGAGATCCAATGTATTGAGTTTGCCTGACTGCGGAGGTTTGGAGAGCGGCCAATGCAGTGCTGTCGGGGCGTTGCCAAGGGCCGGAGGGCTTACGGGAGATCAGCAGTCAGTGAGGGGTACATCAATTAAGTGTGGTTCGAAACCCATCGGCGCTGTCCTTTTGGCGGAGTGGTTGATGTGTCCCTTTTCTGTACCAGTAATTAAACTAACTCAGCTTTACGTACTACGTAGTAACCAACCCCAAGGCCTGGGTTTACTGCTATTGCTTAAAGACTACTCGGTAGGGGCCCGTAGCATCTCCTCCTCGACCTTAATTCAGCACTTGGTGAGAACTCTGCAATACATCACTCACGCGTCCGCATCTCAGGTGTGGTGAGTGCAAGAGACCCCACATAAGAAAGACCTTCATCACATTTCTTCAGTATTCTCATGCGAATCAATGCAAAAGAACAACAGGTCAACAAACACGATGTATTGTCATTCCCCGCAGCGCGGGCTTCTGAACGTTCTGGTGCTGGCAAAGGCTCCCGAGACAGCATAGGTTAGGATCGCGCCGATCGGGAAGAACCGATACCCTGTGCCATGGACTCGGTGCTTGGATTGCGCCCAAAGCAACCGGGCAAGAGAGAAATTGCTACACTCCATCTTCAGTCGCTCCTATAAATATCTGCAGATTTAATCTACCATGAAAATTGGCCCGCTTATCACTTGTCGAATGCCCGGATGATCGGTAGAGAAACCTGATCGAGCAGTTACTGAAGTAGTTACTGGGAGTCAGTCATTCTTTTGTCGATTCTCTGGAGGAAGAAGAGCTTTGAAGTGACCCCACGCCCGTGCGAGAATCCCGCGAGCGCAATGACAGAAGTGCTCATCCACTCAAGGACCAGAACCCTTCAACCAGAAGGCCTTGCATTGTATCACTACCCTGGTTGCTATACATATTTCGGAGGCTCTTCATGAATTCTGAAAGTGTCTTTCTAACTCTTCTGTCTTCGAGAACGCTCCTGAACAGTGTGTCACCATGACGGTTCGGCTTCCCACAGCAACAACCATCAAACATGACCAATCACGCCACCAATGCCCGAAGCTCCTTGCTAAACGTAAAGTTCCCTCGTGCACGGACGATTCCATTGCTTTTACCCATCCTGGCTCATCCTTCGATGTTCGTATCGTTCGTGAGCATACATCATGATGACATCTTGATATCATACAACGGTCTGATACAGAAGGAGTGGCTCGCCTACATTTTCGATTTCGGGGATGGTGCATTTCAGGTCAAATGCCTTGGATAGTACGATCTTGAAGATCTGAGCTGGTCAGTAGGCGAAGAGAAAGGATCAAACAAGCTGGTCTTCTGACCTTCTGAACATTGATGCTGTGGCTAGTGCTGCTGAATATCAGACTTGCTCTCATGGCTTTCGCAAACCGTCGTGCCTGGTCAAAGGTTAGCTAGTCATATTCGGTGATGGCTGGCGGTAGGGAGTGCTAACTTGAGTGCTGATCTCCTCTTGGTCTTCCTTGGGAAAGCTGACGAAATGGTCGTATTTGGTGCCGATGAGAAAGGGAATGGCAGTCTTGTTGAATCCTCTCCCTTGCCGATACCATTCTTTGATACTGTTCAGTGTGCTCTTTCGTGTCAAATCGAACATGAATAGTATAGCAACCGCATCATTGCAAACCAGTGGTAACATATTGACGAATTCCCTCTGTCCACCAAGATCCCAGATAGAGAAGGTGATCTCGGTATTCCGGATCGAGATGGTTTTCTCCATAAAGTTGACACCTGCATAAGTCAGCCTATTGAGATGAACAACTGACGAGCGTACGAACCAAGCGTCTGAATGTAATCTTCATCCCAGCTTCCTTCCACGTATTTTACCATCAGACTCGTTTTGCCAATCTGTGCATCTCCAACCATTCCAACTTTGATCACGACACTGCTTTTGTTCTGCTGCTGCTGTGGTGGTCGATTCTGGTCCTGGTATTGCCCTTGCTGTCCAGCCAATCCAGAACCTGGCCTGGGAGATGGTTGCTGATGGTATGTAGGATTAGGAGAGTTCGTTTTGGATTCTGAGGCAGTATCGAGAGGCGGTGATAGTGATTGATTGGGCTGAGAATAGTCTATGGATTTATAAGCTGGCTGCATTTCTTTGCACTGAATGCTGAGAATATGTACCTATGGGTTCTTCTGCGCCGCCCACATTTGTGTCAACCTCGTTGAGGATCTGAGGACTGTATGCTGAATCAGTGGTGGAATCCTGGGAGTTTGAGAAATCCATCTTGATGTTGGATGAAGGCTGCAAGGTCTGTCTATTCAATCTCAATTGCGCTTAGACAGGGCGCAGGTAGTTTGTTCCGGCGCAAAATAAGAAGATCGCTGGGACTGATTTGCTATAAAGGAGGGGAACTTTGGAGAGCTTTGCAATCGACGTGGGACCTGGATGATTTTCTGACGGGACGAATTGACTTTCAATTTCTTGAGGTGGAAGTCGGCAAAGTCTAGAAGAGATCAAAGGGCCCACTCGGCGCGTCAAGGACCTCCGCAGCAGATCTAGACACGTGAGGAGGGAGCAACGCTGTACAGACAGCCCTAGATCAGCAGAAACAACGCCCGCAATTCAGAACAGCAGAATGTCACGCAGTACTCGAGGAGTGGAACAATTCGATTGTTGATATCAAGTCTAACCCCCGGTCCCAAACACACAAAGCTGGGAAGGCCCCGCACTCAGGCACAATCAGGGGGTGGACCAGTTAAGCTTTCCCTTTTGACCCACCCAGGCTAGCTCCAATCGCTCCGTCAGTAAAAGAATTAACAAAACCCTAATCGATTATGACAGGTACCATAAAGCAGAATCCTCCGACTGTAATTTGAGGTCATCGCTCTCATGGCGAAGCGAGCAGCTGAAGAAGAAGAAGAACAGCTTGCTCTAAAGGCAGGCCAACGCCCGTCCACTACCGTAAATGGGAACGAGACCCTGGAATTTGAGGATGAATTTGAAGACGAGTTTGAAAGTGAGGATGAGATCATGGAGGCCGGCGTCGACGGTAGGCCGGATGCTGAAAGAGAGAGAGGAGAAGCAAAGGGTACGTTGATGAGTTGAGGTACATGCCTCTACATATCCAGGACGAGCAGGGCCTGACATAGCCAGATGCCATGGATATTGATTCCTCGGAGCAAACCTTCATACCTGGCCGATCAGCTCTTCAACCGGGTCAGTCTCTGACTCCTGACACCACTACATATGAGATGCTCCACGCACTTTCAACTCCTTGGCCATGCCTCTCATTCGATATCATTCGCGACAACCTTGGCAACAATCGCAAGCACTATCCTCGAACTGTTTTTGCAGTGGGTGGGACTCAAGCAGAAAGCGGGCGATCACGGGAGAACGAGTTGATGATATTAAAGCTGAGTAGCCTCTCAAGAATGGACAGAGGGAACGAGACAGATTCTGAGTCGGACTCTGAGTCCGAAAATGACGAACCGACCTCAGCAGAACCAATTCTCGAATCAAAATCAATACCCTTGCCTAGTACGACAAATCGAACCCGCGCTTTTCAACCACCTTCCCAGACGCTGTCCGATCCCTCCCAGTTTCCGGCAACAATAACAGCGACCTCACTGGAGAATGCTCAGGTGTTAATCCATGACGTGACACCACACCTACAGTCTCTCTCAAGCCCAGGCAATATTGTTCAGCCTGCTGCTTCTAAACCGCTTTCCACGCTGCGAATGCACAAGACCGAAGGATATGCCATCGACTGGTCTCCTGCTTCGCACCATCCACTTGGTCGCCTGTTAACTGGTGATGGTAACGGTGCTATATTTAGCACTCAACGTACGGAAGGAGGTGGATGGGTGACGGACAATAGAGCATTTGTCGGTCATGGAGGTTCGATAGAAGAGATTCAATGGTCGCCGAGCGAAAAGAATGTGTTTGCATCGGCATCTAGTGATGGAAGTGTGAAGGTATGGGACGTTCGTTCGAAATCTCGAAAATCAGCCGTCGACGTCAAGATTAGTGACACGGATGTTAATGTGATGTCCTGGTCAAGATCTGAAACGTATCTTCTGGCAACAGGAGCAGATGATGGCGAATGGGCAGTATGGGACCTGCGACAATGGAAGCCTCAACAAGGTCAGGCAAGTGGTGATCAACTTCGTCCCAGCCCAATTGCAGATTTCAGGTTCCACAAAAAGCCCATCACATCAATTGAATGGCACCCAACAGACAACTCTGTGGTAGCGTTGGCCTGTGCTGACAACACTGCCACACTGTGGGATCTGTCTGTTGAACTTGATGATGAGGAGTACAGTAAAGAGTCCGGTTTGGGACTTGGGGAAGGTGACGAAAAAGTGCCTCCGCAGTTGCTTTTCATCCATCACGTGGAGGACGGTAAAGAGATCCACTGGCATCCGCAAATGCCTGGGTCATTGATGGTGACGGGTGGCAATGGCTTTGGTGTCTTTAAAACCATCAGCGTTTGAGATACAAAGCCAGCTGGACACTGATCTACATGATCAATCCAATTCCAGCAACTGTGAAGGGTCTGTCATTGTGCTATGTGCTTTCATGAGTCAAAGCTCATTGTGCTGTGACTTGCAAGATTGTCTCTTGGAGGACTTTGTACCGTGTGAATTGAGGTACGGCAGGAGTCACATAAGGTGTGGAGATCCTTCTATGCGCCTCGGACTTCTTGCAAAGATGCAAGAGCCTTCTATCTGGCAATCTGGTCCTCCTACAAACCACTCTTTAAGGAGCTACCGTTAGCACTGACTGACCATATGTGAGGTTGCTTCCTCCATGACTCTTTCACACTGTCCTCCAGCAGAAAATCAACCCTGTGAGATGAAATGGAGAATCTTTATGGCTACCAGTCGCACACTTCTACCTTCCCGTGCCAGAAGGAGCAGAGAAGGTATATCGAAGACCTGGGAAATGTTATCCTCAGAGCTAAATCCCACAGCTGGCCGTTTCTACCCGCCAAAGAAGCAGCTGGAAATTCGTCAATAGCCATTAACAGTGCTCGAACATCGTGGAATTCACCATTCTTCATAGACACAGCATCCAGCCTTCCTTCCAGAGTGGAAGCTGCTCATAAAGGAAGCTATCCATCAGAAAAGTCTAACGAGCTTCCAGGCTCGTTTGACCTCTATCCAGAAATACCAAATCCGACCCATGCCAGCACACTCCTTGCTGAAAAGACACATACCCCAATACCATCGAGTTCCCAGGCTAGGTCTCCCTCTTATGAGGCGCCAGGGTTTTTTGAGCTCGCTTCTCGACCACCCCGTTCAAGCTCGCTCGCTTACACGCATCGACATCTTCGTCATCGTCCGGACTCTGATGATCTAAACCGCCAATATACTTTGAAAGAAGCGTTAGAACTGCCCCCTACGCATATATATGACACCGGTAATGATCACGGTCTGGATTGCACAATAGGCCGGGTCGTTCCACTCAGACTGGGCTTTTCAGAAGCAGATGAGTCGCATGGTACCGAATCTGTCGAAGATGGCACAATCGAGCATTACCAGCTGGCAAATCGCTTCTATCGCCAGGAGCCTTTCCAGAACACGAATTCACAAGAGGCTTGTCGCCAAGGTGAGAAGGCTGGCGAACATTCAGCAAGGATTTTTTTCAAAAAGCTCATCAGACCACTTGTCTGGTTAAATTCTATAGCTTCTAAAACCTCGGCCAGCCCCGAAGCGGAAAAGAAACCTATCGACATCAGTCCACCTTTTGATCCTAGGAGATTTGCAAGCAGCGTTGAGCCTCGTCACTTCAATCATTCGCATCTACTAGGTCAGCCGCAAACACCGTTTGCCCCAATGAGACGTCTGGAGGAAGATTTGTGTCCAGTCGTACCGCCAAAGCCTAGAAGGCTCTCCGTCACTGAGTCTTTTGGTCCCTCACTAGCCGAGAACATAGAAGAGGCGATTTTGAACCACAATCAGCGTAGTGTTACTACGTCACTTTGGTCAGAAACGGACTCATTGCGCCCCTTTCTATTAAGTCGAGGGTCCTCCTATCCAAATTGGAGGGTAACACAAAGCAAACGCTTCCGCGACCCCGAGAGTTATGGGCTTCCCCGTCTCCGTGTAGAGATTCCGTCTTCAGAATATCCTGCGTCCACTTACGCCTACCATCCATCGGGTCAATCGCGATCTCATCTACCAGAACCATCTAGTCTTTCATCTGAAAAATCCCCTGAAGTCGACTTATCCCTCCGCGGCGGCTGTCTTCCTGCCTCCAGGATCTACGAATCTCCTCGACCGCGCATCCGCCCCTCTCGCAAACCTGCTGACACCGCCCCTGTCCCTCCCGGCCTCTGGTATCTCGCAAGCGGCCGTCCCGTGCTTAAGGACAAACCGGGCAAACCGTGCTACCATGGGCAATCCAAACGTAAGCATCACTCCAATCACCCTCATGGTCAAGCAGGAGTCGATATCAGCCATCAACCTATTCCGAACGCCGAGCCATCCCAGCCTCTGACGTTCGGATACCTGAGAACTTGGAAGCAGAATAGTCGACCTGCCCCTCGGCTGAACCCAAGGACTGGAGTGATGGAGCCGGGTCATAGATCATTCTGGCGGGAGTTCGCGTACAGTGCTAGTAGGGGAAACTGGGCGTCTGGAAGGCCACGACGCCGGCAGGGCTTCGGTAGAGACCGCTATGGGCATAGTCATGGGCAAGGGATGGGGATGGATGGTGGTTAAGGTATCGGATTGAGTCAAGGAATGGGTATGGGTGAGCCGGAACCAATGACGGGTATGAATCACGGTATGGGTGCGGGCCCAGCTCAGCGGGAGCACAGGATGTTGGGAGGACTGGGCTCAGGTCCAAATCCGAACGCAGCATACGCTGCAGGACATGGTGTTGGGGAAGCGGCGTGATCCGCTCAGGGGCATACCTATTCAACGAAAAGAGCCCATCACTTCTCTATTGGCTATGGGGAGATGGCGGATGGAGCCACCAAAGCTCTGCTTATCTACTGCTAGCCGTGCACAATAGCAAATCATAAGGCCATAACTTGAAGCAGTGCCACAGCTCAACACAATCAATTATATCTCGAAGCTATGGATCGTGCATGAGTGCTTCTTTCTTCCAAAGTGACGTAGGCATTCAGATAAATAGTTGCTCGTAAGGAACGATGGCAGACAACAGATGCAGATTTTTGTTAAATCACAACGCTACAGTACTAGGTCAAAAGTATTGGACCGACCCCGCATTTTCACCCCACCAACATTTTCCACTCTTCCCATACAAATTACTACTGTACGCCCGGTATTTATTGGAATGAAGCCTCAACAAGGTCAGGCAAGTGGTGATCAACTTCGTCCCAGCCCAATTGCAGATTTCAGGTTCCACAAAAAGCCCATCACATCAATTGAATGGCACCCAACAGACAACTCTGTGGTAGCGTTGGCCTGTGCTGACAACACTGCCACACTGTGGGATCTGTCTGTTGAACTTGATGATGAGGAGTACAGTAAAGAGTCCGGTTTGGGACTTGGGGAAGGTGACGAAAAAGTGCCTCCGCAGTTGCTTTTCATCCATCACGTGGAGGACGGTAAAGAGATCCACTGGCATCCGCAAATGCCTGGGTCATTGATGGTGACGGGTGGCAATGGCTTTGGTGTCTTTAAAACCATCAGCGTTTGAGATACAAAGCCAGCTGGACACTGATCTACATGATCAATCCAATTCCAGCAACTGTGAAGGGTCTGTCATTGTGCTATGTGCTTTCATGAGTCAAAGCTCATTGTGCTGTGACTTGCAAGATTGTCTCTTGGAGGACTTTGTACCGTGTGAATTGAGGTACGGCAGGAGTAGAACATTCATCACTAAATATGATCTTGCGCTAGTTATCTCATGTCTAATTTTTTCGTTTTAAATACTAAGCAAGGTGTTTAGCGACTACTTTAGGAGTTAAAAGAGGTCTTTTTTTTTAGCAAGCTAATTAGTAATGCCCTTGTCTTTGAGTATTCGATAAAGGATGCTTTTTGAAATAGGTACCCCAAGGGCAAGTCGAAGAGCTGTATAGGTAATTCTTAGATTAGCTTGAATAATGCGTAAAATATTTCGTTTTTGAACACGATTTAATATAAGGGGTCTACCAGACTGCGGCAAGCTATTGCCTTCGTTACAGAGTGGATTTCGTATAAGGGTGTTGAAAATAGTGGATTTGCCGCAAGTAACTTTTTCGCTAATTTCTGCATTTGACAGCCCCACAGCCTTATAAGCTGAAATCTAACCGCGTTGAAATGGAGATAGCTCCTTGCCATAGCTCCTATTGATTTCTAGAGGCGCCAAAGCCCTGCGTTGATTCATGGTGGTTGGTTGAAAAAGGTAGTAAAAAACGCGTGTTGGAAAAAAAGTGCGCGTCGATCCAATACTTTTGACGTGGTACTGTACAACCTATTCGGACGAGCTGAAAAATGTCCTTTCCTTCATTCAGAAGTAATGCCCAAGCTCATTTTCTTGGACACTTACCACTTACTACTAGTAAGCAGTAAGTAGCAGGAAGAGGGCCTCTCTGAAAACCGCTCCCCTCCTATTCTGGGGATGAAACAGAAATCAACACGGAGAGAAATAGGTATTGACAAGCGGTTCTTGTCAGTCGTATCTATTGCCTCTCTAACTAACCAAGCTTATGGCTCCATTTAGTATCTTAAGATCCCCAGGGTGAACGGCATTATTCGCGTTGGCGATCTAGGAAAGTCCTAGGAAAGTCCGTGGTGGAGGCCAGAGCGCAGTCTGTTGGTATCTGTCTGTGCATTCCACCTGCACTAACGAGGCTGCCTCCCACTATGGAATAGAAGAATTATGAGGCAGTCACTCGAGCAGGTGAACGGTTGCTCATGGCTATGGCGGGAAGAGGACTTGATCTGGCAGGATGAGAGGGCTAAGAGGTCTTGAAGAGGGAAGGGAGAGACGATTGAGACGTGGATGAGGGAGGAGAAGCACGGGATTGCATTGGCAAGGAGGACCTGGCATTATAGTGGAATACGTATAGCGGAGTGAAGGAGATCGGGCCTGGAAATAGTAATCACGAAGCTGGACATGTTTAGACAACTGCAACTGACGGACGAAGAAGGTGTATTTGACTACACCATAGCAAATCGTGCTTTCTGGTGAAAGGCTTGTGCTAGGAAGAACCCATGTGCACTCCTTCGCTTGGTATGGTCTTGAGCAATAGATCCCACTGAGCACCATTCCCACTCCTCCAGAGAGACTACTTGAAAGTCGAATTCCTTGAAAACGTCTTCCATCTTCTCTGAGCCTGAATCACACTGAGACCATGGATGGGTTTCTCGCAGCTATCCTTTGAAACGACCTTCATAGCCTGCTGGCTGATCATACCCTGCAACTGCAAATCGAGAATCACCGTTGGGGTGCAGATCGACTGGTGACCAACACAGGTGAGCACTTTGAATGAGTGGCCATCGCCAAGCTTGTCAAAAGCCCACTGCACATGATGTAGTTGTCTGAGGTATGGCAGACTCAGTACTCAGGACCTCCAATTGCTGGCTTTCTAATAGTGTTACCGTAACACGGTAGTTCGCCGATCTTCAAATTCCCTTGGGCTTGGAACGTACCAAAGCATCTAGGACATTTGGTGCTCCAACCACGGCTCCACGCGTGAACCTTGTCAGCAAAGTTTCGATGGTCTTTGGTTGGGATCAGCTTGCGCCAGTCCCAGCCACAGCGATGGGGTTCCCAGTAGGTGGTATCTTTGGGCCGCATTACTCCACATTTGATGCACAGACTGAGCCGCTTGGGCATCCGGTTGCTGAATCCTTGATTGATGCGCAGCAGCTTTGGGCCAATAGGGATGTAGTGTTTGTCCTCATTTATGGTCGAGCTCGCTCGAGCGAAATATTTGCAGGTGAGAAGCAAGCAGACGCGGTCATAGTCGTCCAAGTAGTCGAAGAGCAATCGGTGGAGCTCAGGAGGCAAGCACATAAGCAGCGACACATTATAATTAGGTGGAGCACGACGCGTTCGATTTAGAATCTAATGCTTAGTCAGCGGACGGCTGCCGGTGTAGACATGATAGTATTAGTGACCTGCAGGTTGACGACAGGACTGTGAAGCTGCACAAGCGACTCATGCCGGTGGTCTGGTGGCCAAGTCCACCTATTGAACGTTGCCATTTCTATTTTGCTGAATCAGTGTTCTGAATGAAGCCGGCGTTTGTTTAGTGGGCGTTTGTTTGGTAGGCATTTGTTTGGTAGGGGTTTATTTGGTAGGCGTTCGTTTGGTGGTTCACTGCAATTCACTGAAAGCTAACGGCTAAAACACACTGTAGCTGACACATAACCCAGCAGGACAAGAATCACATATGATCCATATGTTGTTCAAGCGTCAAGCAGATATCTACCAAGTGGCAGCCTGATTAAAGGAACAGAAGCCTGAGGTTGTGAGCGCCACAAGTACTACTATATTACTACCTGTAGTGATTCAAATTGATTGGTGCGTGGAAGAATATTCATCATGCTTGGCGCAACTTCAAACCACAACCCGTAACTACCTAGTTTCAAGTTGTTTCTTTCCACCTTAACAAGCTGGGCGAAATGTTAAGGTCTCAATATTGTGATGAGCATGCACTGGAAAATACACAGATCTTATGAACAGGTGTAACAAGGCTCAGTAGGAATGTCACATTTCCGTCTGAAATCTCTAAGGGTGACACGACTTCTAGGCATCGCATCTTGATCCAACACGAACCCAAAATGCAACAGAGCAACCTTCTTTAACAGTCAAGGATGTTTTATTCTCACCTGATATGTATGCTCAATGTAGGTTCTGTGTGACTGTTTTATGAAGATGCTCAGGCTCAGATGGTTACACGCATTCATACCTTCTACTGCATAAGGGGGCTTATACTTCTTAAATATGAACGATGCATTGCATCCCCTGGCCCCAAAATGATACTGTATCTCGCTGCTTCCTAGGACCAGAGCCACAGAGAATAAAACTGCCTTACCCTTCGGCCGGATGCTCGAAAGGACTGCAGAACTATAACAGTCGTGTTATCTTTTTCCGTCTTCATCTTTCAAATACGACTCCATCGACAGCATCACAACATCGACTTCGGATGCTAAATTCATGCCCATTGACCTCATGTCAGACACGGAAGAGGCTACACCGTCAAGAGAAATGCGACTCGTCTCTAGTTCTTTACACCCTCTGCCACCAAAAACTCTGAAGCAAGAGACTCGATTCTGGGCTCGAGGCTCTGGAGTTACCACGCTCTGGACGATACTCGCAATTCTCTGCACGCCGCTCTTGGCATATTTTGTGCTTGTGTCGTGTTACGGTACATTCCAAAGAAGACAAAATGTAATTGGTGCTAGTCTCCTCGAACCATGCTTTGCAGACTGGTCATGGATGGGGATTTTCGAGGTTAATATAGCTTTTGGCTCCTTCACTTACCTGCAGGCGAAGTACCTCGATGCGGCCTGGAACCTGCTAGTTGGAAAAACCTCGCAAGCGTTGGCCGCGTGGATCTGCTACAAGGTCTTTGCCATGGCATTGTTGCGGATTACAGAACGGTCAAGAGTGTCGTTCAGACTGTATACAGCCACAGCATTCTATCCAACAGATTTCCTAACATTGTGGAAATACGTTCGTGGTCTTGCAGTGAGTCGCACGGCACGCGAGCGAGCCATACTCGTTTGGTTCTGTTTTGCGGCGGCGTACGTCCTCACCCTTTCCACCATTCTGGATCTGGTGACTGGATATGTCACAACACAGGAAGCTGCAGTCAGCTTGGCAGATGGGGGTTTTGCTTCTTTAAGGGGAGTACGATGGTTCGATGGCGCTTACAAAGAACTATATTCTTACGATGTCTCGGTTTATCCCAACAAGTCTGACATATCTGTACACACACTCTCTGGTCAAAACTTCACTTACCTTGATCTGATCGACAATTCGACCTCCGTCTGGAAGCAACCTCCCATCGTTTGCATGCAGGGCTCAAAATATCGATGGGGTTTCTCGGTAGGGTGGATCTGGATTCTGCTACCTTCAACATTGATCTGGATATCGGGAATGTTTGGCATGTATGTTGATGCAATGAACCACGACTTTTTGTGGCAAATGGGCAGACGACCAGGAGTATATCGTGATATTCTTGACGTTGCAGAGGCCATTCAGGAAGAGCTGGGACCAGACACATGTGGCTACAGCGACAAAGAGCTGTCGAGGGAGATTGATCGGCTCGATGCAATAGGCTTTGTCGGTCTACAAGAAGGCAATGTGCAAAATATCAGGCTCAGTACCCGTATCTCTGATGTATATGATGGCTTGGGAAATGAGGATATGTCTTGTGAAAGATTAGGTACGGCGATGTCTCCACGTTAGTGGCTGAAGAGAAATAACCGTTAAGATCACGATACTAGCTTCAAGGCATTACGGCTTCACGACGACTCGACTGCGACGTGAACGTCTTCATGAACCTAGATATCTATTTGATTTTAATCTACTCTAGTCTTGAGGATCTTTGCTTGATATTCAGGATCGTCAGGCTAAGTCACTTGAAAACAGATCTTTCGGTTCCGAGAAGCCGGATACGCAATTGGACCTGATCGACTGTAGGGTCTTGGAGTCACTCTTTCGCCGGAAAGCCATGGTGGTGCCAGATTGCGGAGACCTTCTAGCTCCGCCATAACCCACCTAGAGCAGTTCTGACGAATGCACAGTTTGGATCGCGAAATAGAGCATTCGAGGTTACCCTTGGAATAACATAGTTACGATAATCACGTGATGGAAATAAGAGAGTTGCGCAAGCTATGTAACGGAACGCTTTTACCGTTGGGAGGGATAGCCAACTGAGAAAATGCAAGCAGAAGGTAAGAGCATGTTTGTGCATGTTCGCAAGAGAATATGCAAATAAATCCAGTCGTGATGCTGGCTCTTGAAGGGCAACACCAGTACATGGTTGATTGGCAATAGCCTGCAGTGGTCGTCAGTCTTTGCTTTCTCCTCCTTAGTCCTGAGGCGACAAAAGAATGAAGCTCGTTGCAGAGACTGAAACGCTGCGCTCGAGATGCCAACGGGAAGTTATTCGCACGTCTCCAGTGTCATACGGCAGCGTTTCTCTCGGAACCAGGTGCCGTCCCACTGGCAAGAACTAACGGATGCTGTTCACGAACTCACTCCAGACAGTTATAGGAGCAACCGAAAACAAGCAACAGATATGCAGCGGCCAAATCTGTCTTCTCAGTAACCATCCGACTGACGAAATTGGCGGATACAAAAAGCGCCTGGAATTATCCAACCGCAACACATCCCATTGAAGCAGATGGAGAATGCCTCAGCTAATGCAAAATCATTGAAAAGGCCTGGAAATCCTCGATGCAACCTATTTGACTCGGGACCTTTCCCATCTGATTTCCTTCTCCCGCAATGGATGACAGCCTCATCAGCGTTGGACTCGCCTCCATGAAGGACGGTAGACTTTACATGGCTCCGAGAAGAGTCTTGCTTTGGCGGTTGCTCGGGCCATCGGGCCAAACTCCAATGCAGAGCTTTCCAGACCGTCCCAAACATCACCGTATTCATGTCAAGTGCTATTCTGTATAGGTGTTTTGGTGGTATAACCACTTGCTCCTCGATTTTATAAGTCGGGCATCGCGGATTTGGTGTTCCATTATTCATCAGCTTTAAAGAAAATGTCTAGGTGCTCAGCCGGGTGGAGCGAGGAAGGGGGTTTTGTTGAAGAGAAGTCCAAACGAGAAACGGGAAAATATTCAATGAAGGATCAACCTTACCAAGGCACTCGTCAGGAATATCATCTGCATCACAACTCCCTTGCCATTAGATAGCAGCCACTTATCGATGTAGTCATCGGAAGACATGTCAAACTGACAGCCTTCCATGTCAAATATCTGTGTACTCGCGAGTAGAGCAGTACAGCGACTCTCAAACTTGTCTCCCAGGCCTGTCATAACAACACCTCTATAACTCATAATTCACAATGACAGCAAGTCCATATCACAACCCACCCAAGATGGCAAGAAGACCCAACTTAACGTGGATCGCCCAGCACATAAATCTGCATAAACAACTTCACCCAAGCGTCATAGAAGACATCGTTAAGCAAGCGAAAAGGGTTCACCCACACGGTCGTCGAAGCAAGCTCTGGCATCAGCGCATTCACATTATCCGCTTGCGAAGCCCACGCTACCAGCTTGATTTCAAGCAGACCAGTGGTTCGCGTTGCCTGGGGCGCCCTGCCCCCCAAACGTATCTCCCGGACACGATCCGCCAACTGTTCTACATGTCTGATGCGTTTATTTCTCTCTATCGGTGTGCTGCCGCTGAGATGCTCGGGAATGGTGATTCTGCGTAGGATCGGACCTTGGTGGGTGAGACTGCGTGGACGGGGAGGGTACATAATCCATAACATATTGTCCGAGACTTTGGAGGAAGGCTGGGAAGTAGCGGTAGAAGAGCGGTTTGATGGTGGTCGTCGTGATACGGTTCGGCGGCGAACTGCATCCCATCTTGGTACAGGATGTGCCCAGTCTGGTAGTTGTTCCACGGAGGTAAGGGATTGGTCTATGATCAAGCCGTTGAACGGATCGGAGAGGAAGTCTGCAGAGGATTGAAGATCATCAACAGGCGTTCTGCTGGGTCCAGCATCAACAGCAAGCACTCCGCTAGGTCCACCATTTTCCGTCGGGGGGGTGGAAAGAGACTGATGTGCTCTTGTTGCCTGTCCGTCGTCCTCGCTGCTGCTGCTAGATTTTGCTTCGACTTGTGTGACTGCCAAAGTAAGGACCCTTAGGTCTTTTGATAGTGACCTGGGTTTAGGTTTGTTAAGACCTTTAGACGGTCCCCGCAGAGGTCTAAGAGACATAGTAGCTGCTTAAGTCTGGTCTCTGCGGTTTATAATGCTTTAGAAGGGGAGTAGGCGGTGAGGGCCAAGATGACCAGATAAGAGAGTGCACTGGTTCTAGACGTAGTTTACGGCTTGAAGCACGGAAAACCCAAGTGATATGCTGATAGTTATTGATTGCAGAGGCCTTCTTGATGTGAATGGCTTGTGTTAAGAAAAGATCAAACCCACACGAGTAGTTATTGTAGTTTTGACTCAGACAAGATAATAGTCGAGATTATTATTTCCTTTTAGAAGATGAATGGACCTGATCTGCTCGGATCAGATTCACCACTGTCTGATATTTTCAGTCTACCAGTGAAACACGACATCGGATACGTATCGTGTTTGAGAGCACACATGGTCTTGAACTTACTCTTACTGGAAAGTTTTGGCTTTGTTTACAACAATCAGAATCTGGAATTTGCAAATGGTTTATGCAGATTCAAGTCTAATATGCTGTGAGGTGAAGCGGGAAGTGTCATATGAGATTCCAAGTTGAAACAATGAAGCCCAAGGCCTGCAGTGGTGGTAGAGTTTGTGGCCATCTGAGCCCGAGGCCATCGAAACAATTGGTGTCGCTCTTGACACAGCACAAACTGACGAAATAAATGAGAATTAGAGCAGATAGATCACACTAAGGTCCATATCAGCTACTATGTCATCGAATATCATGTCGAGAGTTACACCACTTGTCCCACCGGGCCTCGGCCCTTTGGTCCAAAGTTAAATAAAATGAGGAGCTGGAAAAACATCAAAGGCGGGGGCTACCTACGGCGGACCATTAGTACCATACGGCCAATTGAAAATTTTCGAAATTTTCAGCTCCGCAGCAGGGCCTGGGAATAGGCCACCAAAATCGTATGAGGGATTCCGCACGCTCGCTTGCTGCGTGATATCAGTGCAGAAATCGTCTCCTAGAACCAGTAGACCTATCCAATTACCTATTTAGGACTCTAGATAGCTGTTCTTAAGACTATGCGCTGGTCATAAGGATCAGGGCGTTAATTCTCCTCTACATCAGGGCCCTCACCCGTCAATTGAACCCCCTTAATCCCTTCCATTGTAGCTTGCTGAGGACGCCAGCTAAATGCTCCGGTTGGCTTCTCTGATAGAGCTAATTGAGGCTCTCAATAGCCTCTCAAATGCTCATCGATCATCATACGAAGTCAGAGATAGTATGCTTGATAAGGAGCTGACTTGTCATCTTCATAAACTTGCTTATTAGGATTGAATCTAAGGGATTGTAGTTGATTTCGACACTATTAATACGTTTCAGAAGGCAGAAACTTATCTATATCTAATAAGGATTAGTAATGATAGATAGATCTATCTGAAATAGCTTACTCTATTCTTATACGTTATTCTGTAACTCTCTCAAGGTCTCAGAGTCAATTGAGAGACCCTGATTCTGAATATGAGGAGGAGGATAATGATATAGAATAAAAGGCTTGCCTGACGTGACGTTCGGACGGTTATGTTACTTATGAATCGAATAAATATTCTAAGTTCGTACAAAACTCTGTATCTGTGTACGAAGAACTGGTATATAAATAGCAAGTAAAGCTATCTGATCGCTAAGAACCGTCGGATTAAAGTTACCTTTTTGTAGAAGGACTCTAAAGTAGTTCTATATCAGAGTTAGTACATAGTAACTGCTAATAGTATACTTCTATAACTTACTCTCTATTGAAAAAGTAGTCCTTTAGTAAGCTGATTCTACTAAGTCTTAATCCACTAATTTGTAATACTAGCTTTGTATATATAGCAGTCTTTAAATGCTATATCAGGGTCTACTGCTTATTATAATAGATGATACGCTTAAGCTAGAATAACTGTCTTGCTGCTATAGTCAGATTATATAAAATAAGGGTGTTGATTTAATATTTTAATTATATTAAGATATTAATAAAGAACGCTAATAGCTATATGCCCTGAGATACTAACGTAAATCTAGATAATATAGCGTAAATAAGCGTTAATAACTCTATATATCTTAATATTATAAGGAGCAAGCTTAAAATATTTATTAATAGACTATAGAAAGTTCAGACTAGGCATAATATACTCGTTATAATAACATTATATATCTTGTACGCAGCGTTTAACAGTATTAAGAGCAAGTATACAATAAATTAAGTAGATTTAATTACTAGAGATAAGTCAGCTTTAAATTTAGCTATATATATAACTAAATTTGCAAAGCTGTATATACCGAGCGATATAGACTCTAAGCTAATAAAAATAAGTGTATAATAAGCCACGCCTATACCCTTAAATAATACTCTTTTGTAGCTCTTTTATTATTACTTTATTCATAGTTTTATTTGCCTCTTCTTAATCTTCTGCTATCCCTTGTGACCCTGAATATCCCTGGCATAAGAGTCCTTCCTTATAGGGCTTAGTGTTAAGAGGTACCCGCGTTTAGCGGTGAGGTTATTCTGCAGCCTTGGCATTAGGAACATCAAAATTATGGAAGACCCATGCAGTCTTAGCGTTCAGAACATCAAAATCTACCGCGGCTTAGATTCAGCCTTAGCGTTAAGAATACTAAAAGTAAATTATAAGAGTAAAACTTAAAGTAACTACATCAGGCTAATTATTATGTTGAAGTTCTTATTCTGTAGTATTATACATTCTCTTATCTAGATTTTTTAGTAACTACCTAAATAGAATTTCCTGTGCTATAGCACAGGAAATCAGGGCACATGACACGCCAGAGTAGCGCTAAGCCGCTTTAGGATTTGGCTGTACATGTACGGCCAAATCCTCTTAGCAGTTGCAGCAGTTCGCGCTACCCTGCAAGGAGGTTGTTAGCTATACAGCCGTACCAGCTAAAGCTGTGTTGCTTAACACTCTTACTCAGACGTCTAGCTAGCAGATTACGAGTTGCAGGTGACAGTAACGCTAGGAGAATAAGAAGAAGTATTATTACTGAATATCCCTGCCCTTTGTTATTTACCTTACAGACCAGCCGTAAAAGAAAGAAAAGTAGCGACACTATAGTACGTCAATTAAGGGAACTGATAAACAAAAACAAGAGAGAGGACCTGCTACGCAGCAGGACCAAGATATACAGGGCTATGACGAAAGATGTTAGATCAGGCTAAGGAAGTTGTAGATGGCGAAGAGGGTCTGAATTGCTTTATAATAGCAAAGGAGAGGGCAACAACGAAGTTTAGTGGATTCTGAATATATAGCTTGGTTGTAATAGAATATAGTAAGCTGTAAGTCTAATCTAAGTTGATAATAATAGTGCTATTTAAATAATAATATTAGTAGTATTATTCTTTAGGACTTGTAATCTAAGTAGCTATAAGTAAGTATTAAACTTATCTCTTAATAAATCTTTTATATAGTTATTAGTAACTATTTTGTTTATTTAATAGTATTATAGCTTAATATTCTAGTTCTTAAAGCATTTATATATAAAGTAATAACTAATATTAATATATATTAATTATTTAGTAATTTAATTATTATTAATTATCTTAATTATTACTTAATTATTCTTATTTATAAATATAATTTAACTATTTACTTTAATAAAGTTAAAACAACTAATTTTGATAAGGAATTTTGATAATTATATAATATATTTTATTATAAAGACTAGTACTATTAATTCTACTTTTGCTATAAATATAGTAATTAATTTTTGCTTATAGCTAGCTTATAAGATTAGCCTATCTATAAACTTAAATATAAAACTAGATACTAATTATTTATTATCTAATACCCTTCTTGCTATTCGCCTTTGCATTCCTAAAGAAAGTATCTTTAAAGCACCTTATAGTTCTGTATTTGCTATATTAATAGCTATCACTATTTCTGCCCTCTACCTCCTTAGTTTTTGTCTCCTAAGATGTATTATAATTAGTTTTGTTTACTAGTTTGCTCCTCTGACGTCATTATATATCATCTTGTTCGAAACTTCTTAATATAAGCTTATTAATCTAAATAAATCTTACGCTTTTTACAGGTATATTATATTCTGATATTAAGGACTTGTTTAATTATATTAAGTTCTTTAATCTTAAAAATTAAACCTAGTTAATTCTTAATATTAATTATTATTTAAAGATGCCCTTTAAGAGTTAGAATTATTAGGTTATCTATATATAGCCTAATAATAGCGCTGTCCTTTTAAATAAAGATATAAGAATCTGTATTTGTTACTCTAAATTCTATGTCCTTAAGGACTTTATTATATTAAAGGTATTATTTGTATACTAACTACTTAAGGCTATAAAGACTCTAAATTAGCTATAAAGTAAAGCCAGGTTAAATCTGAATACTAAGAGATAGCTTTATATATAAATTATCTTATAAAGCTTAGATTTAATAAAGGTGTTATTAATATTTATCTATTTAGCTTTTATGTCTCTACTATTATAATAGCTATAAGCATCCTTAATTAATTAATGCATATTATTAGAGCGAATATCTCCTTAAAATCTTAATTATAGATTTAATTAAATCTATAGGCAATAAGTCTAGCCTTATAATATTTAATACTACTATTAATATTATATTTAATAGTAAAGACTTACTTACTAGTAACCTAATTAGTATCCTTAAGAAGCTTCTTTTCTTACTAAGTATTATTACTAATTAGTCTATTAAGTTCCTTCTAGATTACTTCTTATTACTTTTGTTTATAAACAGGATTATTAATAATAGTATTATAGCTTATAAGAATAGAGACTTAATTATTAACTCTGTAAAGTTAATTAGCTTTTGTTACTTTTACTTAAAAGGTTATTTCTGTTATAATTATATTAATCTCAGAAATAATATTCTTTATATTAGCTTTAGCTTCTTTTGAAGATAGCTAGGCTTTCTTATTATCCTTAGAACTAATATTGTCCTTAGTATAATATTTAGATGCCTTTAAGGCAGGAGTAATAGCAATAAAAGAAGATTTCTTAACTTATAAAGTCTTTAGTCTAGCAAAAGGAATCTTAATAATAATTCTTAGA